GAGGAAAAGAAGAGGAATCAAGAAGCAGGAATAGAAATGACAGACAGTGATGAGGAGAGTGAGGATGAAGAAGACTCAGAGAGTGAAGAGGAGAGTGAAGAGGAGGAGGAGAGTGAGGAGGAGGAGGACTAAATGTGTCAAAGTATTTACCTCTACTATGTATAAGTTGCATATGAAGTGCGCATGAAGCACACATAAACCACATATAAAGTTCACATGAAGCGTACATGTATGTTATATAAACTGCACATAAAGCATATATATATGCTGTATAAACCACACATGATGCTCATATAAAGTATACATTCGCTCTACACAAACCACACATGATGCTCATATGAAGTTTACATTTACTCTATATAAAGTGCATGTAGTGCATATATAAATCACATGTAAAGCTCATATAAACCACACATGAAGCTTGTATGCACTTGTGTATGAGACAAACTCATAACTTAGTTGTAATCCATATGAATATAAACTCTTCATATGTGCTTCACATGGACTTCACATGAAGCACATATGAATGTCGCATATAAACTTCACATGCAGTTCATATAAGCTTTACGTGAAGCTCCTCAACAATTGTTATTGCCTCAAAGTCATGAAGAAGTAAAGAAAATGTAGAAGAAATGTAGAAGAAATGTAAAGCCATATGAAGGAATGTAAAGTTTCGCAAAAGAAGTGGGCTTTATATGACCTTTATATGAAATAAATGTACGGAAGATGTGAAGTCATGTGCTTCATATGAGCTTCATGTATAAATGTGGTAAAGCGCCAGATATACGGAAACCCTATCTAGCGAGAACCACAGCTCAGTCCAGGGATATTGACCGTAATCATCACCCGGCAGACCTAGATCGCGACTTAATTCTAACAGCCAGGTATACGTGTTCGCTCGTGCATCGCCCAGTTGGTCGCTTGCGTAATGCTTCGCTAGAAACTTCAACCATCGTGCGCTAATTTGGCGGGAGTCTTCCAAGCTTTCGTCGGAATCAGAGTCGTCGTCGTTCAGCAATCCAGGAACACCTGGGTCTGACGACTTCGTGAATTCGGCACGCAAGGCATCATCATGCGATCCCAGCGCAGCTAACTCAAGGTGTGCAGAGCTCGCTTCGTCGGGAAGGTACTCATCAACCATGTGCTCCGCAAAATCAATATGATTCACACGAATACCTGGTGGTTTACCCCCCCTTCCAGGTAAGAGGTTTGCTTTGGGGCAATTACGTGCAATATGACCAGCTTGTTTGCACAGGAAGCATTTGCCTTCAGATTGAAGTCTCTGTCGCTCTTGGGGCGAAAGATCCTTGCGCCCTCCAGACACTCCACTGTTGGTCTTACTGCCCGAGGAGCTACCAGCCGCAGTTCGCACATCATTGCCTGAAGTCACTTCTGCATAGTTGTTATTATAATTCGGTGAGTTCCGGCGACTGTTATTTCTGAAATTGCGTGATCATTGATTGGAGTTACTTCCAGGTTTGTTCGGACTTCCTGAGCCATGGGATGAGGATGATTTCGACTGAGTCAACGAGTCCTTCGAACGCTTATCACCCCGAGGGTTATCTTTACGAATACTTGAGAGGACAATCTCCTCATTCTCGGCTTCGGCGACAACCTCGTCCCAAGATGCATCCTCGGGATTCAATCCCATGCGCCGACAGGCAATCGCAAGTTCAGGATTCAGACCACGGAAAAGATGTACGACGCCCTGACGTGCATCAAGGCCTCCGATGGTGTTTATCATATCATACATTTGCGCCGCATATTCCTTAACCGATAACTCACTTTGATAGAATCGCTCCAATTTACGGCGTTGTTTCTCTCGGAAGTTGGATGGGAAGCACGCATCGTAAATGGCCTTGAAATAATTTTCAAGTGTCCAGTTCGACTCATCATCCGCGATGACATTCTGGTAATAGGCTTGCGCCTTTCCTTCAGTATAGCGGGCGAGGGCGCGGATTTCCTTCCGCTGTTCAACTCGGGTGTCGTCCAGGTAGTGCAGGCCTTCGCGCATCCACCGATTGAACAAATCAATCTTAGGCTCACCCGTAAACACAGTAGGTGAGACTGCTTTTAATTTCGACGACCGTTTCCTTCTCTTACGACGAGAAGGTCTCGAACTGCTTCCTCCTCCAGAGTCCGAACCGTCTGAGGACGGATCATCATCGGAATCGTAATCATGATTACGTCCGCTAACTCGGTTGAAGATACGACCAACGTTCGAGGACGGCGGTACTACTTCATTAGGGCGGGATACATGACGCCGGTCACGACGATTCCAGTTCGGGAAGTTCAAGCTTGTGTTAGTATCATTCCGAGCGAAATTTCCCTGCGCCTTGCGTTCAATAGATCTTCGTTCATCCTCAGACAACACTTCGGGTGTGAACGTAGCATGTTTGGGCTCACTGTGCTTCTGAAACTTATTCTGCCCTTGAGACTCAAGTTTGTCAAAGCGGTCCTGGATGAGCTTAAGATTTTTCAACAATTCCGTCAAGGTTATATCATTTGGATGAATACTAGGTACAGTATTACTAGAGGTACTGGTTTTGGGTATGTTGGGCAAAGGTGTGAGAGCTGGCTTGGGCTGCCAAAACTCAAACGCGGCCTGTTGCTCTGCAATTTCCTCTTCTGTCGGAGCATTGAACTTTCCGAGGAAAGGGGCGTGTGCACCCAGTTGTAAGACTGGCTCGCCACGCTCACGTGGGTCTACACCCTTGCCTTTATCTTTAGGCGTGGATTCAGAATCCAGAGAATCGTCATCCGTAATTTGTACGGATGCGCTACGCCGCAGGATCATATCTTTCTGATCCTGGGTCAATAGATCTTCCGCGCGCCTGATATCGGCTTCTTGAGCGGGGAATAGTTCCGGAGTTGGTGTGCGGAGAGGGCGTCCACCACGACCAATCGTAATCCAAGGGCGTTCCTCGTGGGAGGGCCCGGATTCTTCGGGGTTATTCTGGCTGAACACCCCGGCATTCGAGCTGACATCCAAGGCTCTAGGAGAGCCAAGTGAGGTAACTTCTCGCAGGGGAGAAGTCTCTCGCGGGGTGGAGAACCCAACGCGAGTGTTTGTAGCGGCGATGCTGGAGTATGTCGCTCACATCCCGCTGTTCTGGTTCGAGCTCGAGTCATCAGTACTGGGTGTTAATGGAGGCAATGGGGACTCATCCGGGATATAAGTAGCTGGCATAGCCAGCGGGGTCTGTGGTTCAGACGAGGACGCGGGATGAGACATTACTCCAATAGGACTAAACTAAATAATACGAGGTTAGTAAAATAGGGAAACTGAATTACTCAGCGGGATATAATCGGATAGCCTTGGTTGATCAGACCAAGGGGTGCCCGAAGAGAGAGATTACGAGGGAGAAAGAGATAAGATGAGAGTGTCGATGGGAATAAGAGATGAGATGGACGAGATAGTTCTGTCTAAAATATGTGGCGGGAGACAACCGGATAGGGAAGTGTCGCGTCACACGAAGTCACACAAGTCAAAGACAGGGGTAAGTCGTCCTTGTTTATGCAACTCTGCCCTACAACGTACATAGGGCTCGTAACTATATAGTAGACTACCATGATGACTGCCATAGTAAATACACTAATAAAAGGAGAGACTAAGGTTAGACTAAAGAGAGTGATTGACTAAAGAGCGTAGCTAGAAAAGAGTGTGACTAGCCAGCGCTAAACGTGGCTTTACCGTATCGGGTATATTTCTGTTACACAGACCCAGCAGCGCAGCCGTGTGCCGCCGTATGCATTCGGCCGCTCGCTCGGCAACACATGGATCTGCAAAACAAGGGGCAAATAGGAGCTTCTTTGTCACGCAAAATATTGTTGGTTTTCCTGTGCATGAACCAGTAGGTACGAGTGCAAGGGACTCTAGATTCAGACTCTAGCACTACTATACTAGCTAAGAAAAAAATCAGAAGTCTGTAGGATTGTTATTACTTCCACAGCATTCAAGTCAAATTTGAAATGACTATTTGCACATCACATTTTGCCCGCGGAAATGGACTTGCAACTTCTCAAATGCCTTGAGATTTTTACAGTAGCTCAATGAAGTCTATTTCTCAAACATACTTCATGTCCGAGTATAGGACATGGAATCTACAACAACTTAAAATTGGTTTTGCACATCTATGTGTGTTTGCACTACAGTACACGTGATAGTACAAGAATTCAGCAAGTTGGCAACCAACCTGTCATATAGTATTGTAGCCTAAGGTGGAGAAACTTGACACACCAAGATTAACTTAACGGGAGTGTTATCGAGGCCTACAATATTGTAGGTGCGAAGTCGTATTCGCTGGTGTGAATGCGAGGACTGGGAATGGGTGGTGTTCCCACTAAAAGCGAAGTGAGAAGGAACAAAGTGAAACCGAACGCCACGTGGCGAACAGAACAGAGGACGGAAACACGACCAAGCAGCGCCGCGTGCGACTGCTGGACTTGACTTTTGCAACGCAACGGAGGGAAGGGGAAACTGTACTTCTTATTGTTCTGTAGGTAGATATGTAGCACTATATATACTTGTAGTATATGTAATTAAGGACACAGGATGTGCATGCACGAGGAAGTAACTAATACCTAAATAACTATGTGGCTGCAGCTGGTCACGGACCGAAACAAGAAGTAAATGAAATGATAATATACGTACGAGAAATCGTGTATCCGAGTCCGAACAGGGTGCCAACCCTACAATATTGACCCTTGAATTGGTGGAAGTCGGGAGACACAACGCAAAATCACCGTCAAATTCTCAATTGCAGCGCCCATCGCCTTTTGCACCCGTGGATACTTCTTCAACCAGGATAACAGTCTCCGTCTGTAATCTATGGAAAGCAAGACTGATCTGCTCCTTGGCAGGTCAGTCTTGCACTGTTTGCCTGCGAACCAGAGTGGTCCGCCACAAACGACAGGGTTGCGAACAAATCCCCTTGAGTGGGACCCCAGGTACCTTTCATGTGCATCTCAATCATCAATAGTTTTGAAATATAAGTATACTACTTGATACTAGCAAAGTCAATCGAAAGCAATATATCAAGTCTAAGGCTTCTTGCTACGTCTAGTCACCTGTATGCCAAAGAGTGGAGGAATGATATTCTGCTTTCCAAAGGTCAGCAATAGCCGAGCATCCGTACTGAGCCTCTGCTTCTTTCTCGGTGGTTGATCATCTTCATCGCCAACAAGGGTATCATCGGAGGAAGGCCCTACTACCATCTGCTGATCATCGTCATCATTGGCGGCTTCATCTGAGCCATTGAAACCATCCTCAGTCTCCTCCATGTCGCGGCCTGAGCCAGATGGCAGAGAGTGCATGGCGGCGAACAACTTCCAAGGAAGTAATCCATTTATTGAGATCCATCTGGTGCTCCTTGGACATTCCCTTTTTTGGTTGGCCTGGTTCATCCAAGTGGTTCTTAATCCAGTTGTTAAGGACCGTGTCAAGGGGCCTCCTGACTCGTCCGCACAGGGGCGCGGGAACGCGTGGGAGCGCGGACACGCAGATAAGCGGAGCACACAGGACTTGGCTTCAGCTTTGATGCTGCGCCCTCCTAGCCCTGCGGTGTCCTGATTTCGGAAAGAGCAAGGTGAGAGGCGGGCTCCGCAGAGGAGCCCGCAGCAAAGACTTAGAAGAGACAAGTGACGGAAAAGGAACTAAGATTCAGAGTGAAGAGTACATGTCTACTAGTGCTACTATAAATACTGACTAACACATGTATGTAGTGTCATATACCAGTCCTCACACCCCCTTAGGGGTCCCACCTACGCCCCTTTCCGATACTCAGACCTTCGGAGTCCCTCGGGCTCCGCCCTTGCGGCCTATGCATGGTGCACAGCACTTGGATTCATCTGTTACATGTTTCACCTACATGTGTCCTTACATACTAGCCTCACTACATACATGTGTTAGTCAGTATTTATAGTAGCATTAGTAGACATGTATTCTTCACTCTGAATCTTAGTTCCTATTTGTCATCCTCTTGCCTTCTAAGTCTTCGCTGCAGGCTCCTCCGTGTAGCCCGCCTCTCACCTTGCTCTTTCCGAAATCGGGACACCGCAGGGCTAGGAGGGCGCAGCATCAAAGCTGAAGCCAAGTCCTGTGTGCTCCGCTTGTCCGCTTGTCCGCGCTCCCGCGCGTTCCCGCGCCCCTGTGCGGACGAGTCAGGAGGCCCCTTGACACAGTCCTTAACATGTAGTGAGGCTTAGTATATAAGTACACATGTAGGTGAAACATGTAACAGGTGAATCCAAGTGCTGTGCACCATGCATAGGCCGTGAGGGCGGAGCCCAAGGGACTCCAAAGGTCCGAGTATCCAAAAGGGGCGTAGAGGGGACCCCTAAGGGGGCGTGAGGACTGGTCTATGACACCGATAGATACCTTGGATGTATCTCTTGAAATTGGTGTTCAATAGTGAGGGGTCACCTTGTACAACAAATACTCTGTATTTATCTCAGTACTCTTCAATGTATGAATGAGTGGGGAGGCTTACCTCTTCTTCTGATGTGTTGTCATTATGATGTGGCCATTTCCGCAATACTCTAAAGGCCCAATAGCAACACTTGCAGACTTCTTGACAATCTTGGAAAAGAGATGGGTCTTTCGTTCCACCCCAGTATTGAGATTGAAGGACTCCACATGACTAGAAAGGAACAGTTAGTGGAGCAGGAGAATAAATAGATAAATAAGCACACGAGGAAGGAATCTTGGCTATCATCCAGAGCTGCTTCCTGCCAGTCTTATATGCTTGATAGTACAAGTAGGTCTGCTTTTGTGGCCGAGTCTTGTCCATGACGTTGTATGGGACAATGCTGTCGTAGTACTCTGGGTTGATATGGGATTTTGCATCAAGCATATCTACCTCAATGTTTAAGAAAAAGGGGGAAAGGAATCTATCATCACATACTGTGCTTATTGAAAAGAGAAGACAAGGGATCACCCCCACCCACTGACCCACCAAGGTGAGTCCATGCACTCTCTCCAAAAACAAGATACCCCAGATAGGGGTGCTCCTGAAGGGCAATATTGAGATATCCAGGCTCGAAGATATCACCCTTCCCGTTTACATCATTCTAACAATAGGTGAACTGATCATTGAGAACTTGGGAATATATGCTTACTGCTTCATGCTTGACAATCAACTTTGCCATGCGACGGGGTACAAGAGTCCTTGTCTTCCCATACACCATCAGCCAGTGGCCATATTGCTCCCTCTGCCTTCTGGTGGGTGCCAAGATGTTATCCACCAATGCAGGCTTCAAAATATCCAGCCTATATATAATAATAAGTCAGTGAAATCATCAATATATTTGATTGAACATACCACAGATTATCATGGGACTTTCTTGTATATTCCCATAGTGCCAGACAGAGTCGGGCCACTCGAGATGGACTTTGGCAAAAGTCTTGTATCGAAATATGGATGGGAATTCCTAGGTGTTCATCGCGATGAGTGTTTGGAGGATGAAGAGGAGGAAAGCAACCTACCTGCCATAAAAAATACCTTGCAAAGTGTGTAAACCCCCATGCCAAAGAACACCCTGCTCGGCACAGTGTGCATGCCATCAGCAGCCAGACCAGCTTTGCATGAGCCCATAATGCCCTCAACAAAAGTGCTCACTTCACAGAGAAATCCATGGAAGTCAGCATAGACATCTGACGGCGTGGGTGTAAGGGCAACCTCAAGATGGCCGCACAGTGCAAGCCTAGCAGAGGGAGAATCCAAAGTAATGAATAAGACTAACTACAATACATGAGAGGGCTGCTCACCTAACAGAGGGAGAATCCAAAGAGAACAGGATAAGGATTCTCCATGCTAGGAAGCGAAGTATATACTGCAGTAGCATGAGAGGAATGCAGGATAACTGTACAGTACACCAGCCACAAGTCCGAACAAATATCACAAGGTACAAGGAAACATGTGATAATGAAGTGGAGGGTAAATGCACAGGAGTCGTGCCAGCGACTTGGGGGAGTAAGGGCGAAGAGTAATGAAGTGGGGGAAAAGGGTAGAGGTAACTCGGACGAGCCCCGAAGAGTATAGACGAGTCCGAGCGAGTCCGAAGTGTCTGAAGTGCGGGAAGACTCCGGAGTCACCGGACGCGGCTTGGATGCGAAAGGAGTGGGTGGAAAGGAAGTGGAAAGGAAAGGGAGCGAAAAGGAATGAAGGGGAATGAAGGGAATGTAGGTAAGAGTCCATGGGATGAAGGAAAGGAGAGAAAATAGGAGTGTCCCCTTACACTTCGTGACACTGACTGGCATGAACTTGTTCCTATTGTGGGTATGCCAGCACCTTTTCGTAGCCAGTTCACAAATGCAAAAGGAAAGTTTAATTCCAAAAAGGGATTGCACATCTTCGTTTCGATCCCACACCACATTTACATTGAGATCCTCAATTACCGCGACACCATTGCTGAGCAAGCTGCTGAGAAAGAAGATGAGGAAAGCTCTCGTCACCCACCAGTGGTAGTCAAGGTTAGTCTTGATTCCTCTATGATTGTATTGGTGTCTTGATGATGAATTGTTGCAGCCCTTTGGAACCAAGACCACCCAAGACAGCTATTGCTCATCAAACCATAGACCCCCCATGTCTGTGGTAAGCCCTGTCATTTGCTGGATAGTAATTTCAAGAGTGCTTATGTTCTTGTTCAGCAGCAGGCACCTGGGACTATGATCAGTAAGCAAGCACACAATTGAGATGAAGGGACAAAGCATAACCCAGTAACTATTGTAAGCTGATTTGAGTTGAATATCAGGTTCTGCTAGGACTAATACTTTGTTTCACAGCCATCATCTTCTGATGACAATGAGGACCAACCAGAAGATCAACTGTCTACTCCACCACACAAGATTCCTCAGCGTGGTCAAGAGTCCCCTGACATCAAGACCATTTGTGCAGCACTGCGAGCACAGGAATCAGGAACACGGGGGAGTGCTCATTCAAAATGTATGTGTCTACTTCTGTATTCCATGTTTTGCTCCTTACTGCTACATGTTTAGACAACATGGAGGAGATGCCATGCATCGTCTTTGTTGCACCTCACACAAGCTGGAAGGACTTGATCAGTACTCCGAGTATTGTCCAATTGGAGAAGAATGTCACCCCTAAGCGAGTGAGCATCTTTGTCAATCCAAAAGGAGAGGCTTTCTGTGGCACGTTCAAGAGTGCTCGCTTTGGACACGTTAGCACCCCCATTTTTCCTACCACACCTACCACATTGCCCTATGTTTGCATCAAGCAAGCCTTCTACGAGAAGCCTGATGGCAAGCTTGCTTACTACTCTTGCACCAAGCAGAGCGAGATTCTAGACAAGGAGATCGCTTGCCTGGTGTGGGCCTCTGCATTATTGGACCTGGTCTATGACTTCATCAAGTGCAATGAGGAGGCGCCTTTCAACATTCCCCAGATGTGCTTTGTTCATGCAGCACTGGCAAATTCTAATGAGGTGGACGGTGTCAAGAAGTCTTATCCCATTGAGGAGGTCATCAATGGGAAGTTCATCAAGTACATCAACAATGACAGCCCAGAGCTTCTTCCAATGGAGAATCTGGATCAGGAACGACAAGCAAAGTTCCTCGCCTTTGCTCAGTATGTTCAGTATTTCAAGACAGTCTGTTTTCATTTCTGATCTTCAAGGTAAGCATGTTGGCAATCAAGGAGGTGCTATTGTCCGCTAACATGCCCCTCAGGTGGTGATACTCTTCTCACTGACCCTCAAATCACTACCGATCCGTGAGTGGCTCTTTCTTGCTTTTCAGCAAGTAGCTGAAACTCGAACAGCAGTATCACCAAAGGACAGATCTTTGCATCTGGCAACCTGCCCAGTGCGTTTACGAACTTCAAAAGGCTACATACCTGCAACTATTTTTGCAAGTGGTATAAACTACACTCTCTGTTGCTTCCTTCCTCCGACTCTGAGTCCCATAGTAAGCAGCCTCTCTTTGTAGGATCTTGTAAGGGCAACCTCAAGATGGCCAACAGCGCAGGCCTAGCAGAGGGAGAATCCAAAGAAATGAATAAGACTAACTACAATACATGTGAGAGCTGCTCACCTAGCAGAGGGAGAATCCAAAGAGAACAGGATGGGGATTCTCCATGCTAGGAAGCGAAGTATATACTGTAGTAGCGTGGGAGGAATGAAGGGTAACTGTACAGTACACCAGCCACAGGTACGAAGGAATATCACAAGGTACGAGGGGGCATGTGATAATGAAGTGGAAGGGGAATGTACAGGAGTCGTGCCAGCGACCTGGGGAAGTGGGGACAAGGAGTAATGAAGTGGGAAAGGAGGATAGAGGTAGCCCGGGCGAGCCCCGAAGTGTATCTACGAGTCCGAGCGAGTCTGAAGCGTCCGAGCGAGTCCGAGGCGAGTCCGAAGTGCGGGAAGACTTCGGAGTCACCGGACGGGGCTCGGATGCGAAGGGAGTGAACGGAAGGGAAGCGGAAAGGTAAGGGGACAAAAGAAAAGGAAAGGGAATGAAGGAAAGGGGAGAGGAATGAGGAGGAAGGGGGTGGGACAGGGGGAATAGGAGAAAATAGGAGTGTCCCCTTACATCACCCCCCCTTCAAGGTTGCGGCGACCCGACGCGAAGATTCCTGCCTGCCGCGCCATGAATTCACCAACCCCGAAACTCCGGATTGCTGCGAGAAGATGTCGAAGTACGACTGCGCGGAGCCCGGAGCCTTCCGACTGCGCCAACGCTCCCAGGACTGGTCCAGTGCCGCAGGAGTCATCCGGAGAGGTAGAGCAGTCGTCGGATTCATCGGACTCGTCCAGAGTATGCGTACTGCGTCCGGGTGACGATCATGGAAGTCCTTGACCTTCCGGGCGGCATGCTGGAGGTTGCTCGCGGGCTCCCAGGAGTCGTGCTCGATACCATAGCCTCGCCAGCGCACCAGATACTTCAGGACCCGACCGAACCGTCTGCTATTCCGGACCTCTTCTACCTCATGCTCCTCTTCTCCGTCAACGAGCTGCGGAGGTGGCGGAGCGACAGGGCGTCTACCCGGGATGGGGTCCGGAACGAAGGGAGAGAGTTTGACCACGGGGAAGACGGGATGGAGACGGGATAAGCCCGGAGGGAGCTGGAGCCGGTACGCTGCCTTGCCAACCTTCCGGACGACCTTGTAAGGACCAAGTCGTGCGTGTCCGAGTTTCCGGGAGGGTCGGGCAAGGTTGATGTCCGACGAGTCCAGCCAGACCTTGTCACCCGGTTGGTACTCCGGAGCGGGAGTCCGACGCTGATCGTAGTAGCACTTCATGTTGTCCTGAGCCTTGACCAATGCGGACTGAGCCTCGTCGACTGCGGATTTCATCCGGTCTACAAACTCGTTTGCGGACTCCATCCGAGACGGTGGCTGATGAGGTTCGAACCCGAGACAAGGATGACGGCCGGTATCCAGGAGGAAGGGTGACTGCTGAGTGGACGCATGGACCCGGTTGTTGTACGCAAACTCCGCCATAGGTAGGAGGCGAGCCCAGTCGTCCTGACGCTCTCCGACGAAGATCCGGAGATAGGACTCGAGTTCCTGGTTGGTCCGTTCCGTCTGTCCGTCGGACTGAGGGTGGTACGCAGTGGAGGCAGCCAGCTTGATTCCGAGCATCCGGTAGACTTCTCGGGTGAACTCTGCGATGAATTGCGGACCCCAGTCGGACACAACGGACCGAGGGAGTCCGTGCAGCTTCCAGACGTTCTGCAGGTACAAGTTTGCGGATCCGAGGGCAGACACTGTGGTGTGAGTCGGAATGAAGTGGGCACGTTTGCTTACGGAGTTGACCACGTTCATGACAGCATCAAATCCATCGGACTCTGGAAGCTCGACGATGAAGTCGACACTCAGGCGATCCCAGCGTTCATCCGGAATGGGAAGCGGATGGAGTTCACCCATGGGCGGATGCCTTTGGGCCTTCGTCCGGAGACAGAGGTCGCAATGGCGGGTGTAGGATCCGACGTACCGGGACATGTTGGGCCACCAGTAGCTGCGCGAAACGAGCTCTAGGGTCTTCCATCTGCCGGCGTGTCCTGCGACCTTAGTGTCATGGTGCTGGGCTACAATGGTCCGACGCAAGTCCGGTGAGTCTGGAACGTAGATCTTACCCCGGAACATCAGGAGTCCGTCCGATTGAGACCATTCCGCACTCCGGACTGTCTTGCGACTGCCCTGGGTCTTCTTCAGCTCCTCCGCCGCCTTTGCCACTGCATCTTCAAACTTCGCATTCCGCACTCCAGTCCGGATAGCCGTGAGGATATCCTTCTCCTCCCCTTCAAGAGTGACACCCGTGGCACGGACGGCAAAGTAGGACGGCTTAAGTAAAACCACATCCTTGTTGTCATCCTTACCATCCGAGTGATCCGAGCGGCGCGAGAGAGCATCCGGCTTACCCATTGTCCGACCCAGACGGTGCTGGAGAGTGAAGTCGAAGCGGGAGAGGTATAGCGACCAGCGGGCTTGACGGCGGTTGAGCTTCTGGGCCTTGATGAAGTACTCCAGGTTCTTGTGGTCCGTCCAGATCTCAAACGGAGTCTCTGTGCCTTCCAAGTAGTGTCGCCATTCTTCGAGTGCCCGGATGATTGAAAGCATCTCCTTGTCGTGTATTTCGTAGTTCCGCTCCGCAGCCTGTAGACTTTTAGAGTAGAATGCGACAGGATGCCATTTACCATCATCCGGATCCAGCTGCGACAAGACCGCACCCATAGCGTAATCCGACGAGTCCGCTTCAACCCGGTAAGGCCGATCTCCTTCGGAAAGACCAGAACGGGCTCCGAAGTGATCAGCTCCTTGATCCGAAGAAATGCGGATTGAGCGGAGTCGTTCCACTGCCATTCCTTTGCACAAGTGAGGTCGAAGAGAGGCCGGGCAATATGCGAGTAGTCCTTGATGAAGCGGCGGTAGAAGTTGACGAACCCGAGGAAGGATTGGAGTTCAGTCCGAGTCCGAGGGGTCGGCCAGTCCGCGACTCCGGAAACCTTCACGGGATCCATCTCGATCTTACCCTCAGAGATGACAACTCCGAGATACTCCACCTTGGTCTGCTCGAAGTCGCACTTGTCCACTCGGAGGAAGAGCTTGTTCCGCTGGAGGATCTCTAGGACTCGCTTGAGAACCCGGCGATGCTCTTCGCGTGTCTTGGTGTAGATCAGAATGTCATCCAGATAGATAATGACCACACCTTCCGTAATGAGCTCCCGGAAGAGGTCGTTCATCATGGTCTGGAAGGTGGATGGGCTATTCGTTAGTCCGAAGAACATTACCAACGGTTCGAAGAGTCCGCGCGTAGTCCGGAACGCGGCCTTCCACTCGTCGCCCTCCTTGATCCGGACGTTGTTGAAACCCCACCGGACGTCGAGCTTGGAGAAGTAGTGAGCGTTCCGGAGTTTATCCACCAAGTCCGAGATGAGTGGAAGTGGGTACCGATTCTTGACCGTCATGCTGTTGAGCTTCCGGTAGTCCTGGACCAAGCAGAGCGATCTGTCCTTCTTCTCAACAAAGAACACCGGGGCAGCCATGGGCGACTTGCTGGGGCGGATCCGACCAGTCTGGAGATTTTCTTCCAGAAACTCGTCCAGCTGTTTCTGCTCCGCGGGGGACAGCGGGTAGCATTTGGTAGAGGTCGGTTCCGCTCCGTCCATTAGCTCAATGGCGTGATCCCACGGACGCGGCATGGGCAGTTCATCAAAGGACTCCTTGGCGAAGACGTCCTCGAATTCTCGGAGGAAGTCCGGGACTGCGCTGTTCCAAGGATCGTGGGGCTTGTTGCGCTGGAAAGCCAATGCGAGGCGCTGCGAGACCGTCTCCGAAGCTCGGACGTGTTCTTCCCGAAGACTCCGAAGGTACTCCGGAGTCGGAGGAGGAATGGCTGCGAAGATACGGTCGCCCTTCTCAAGGTCCGGAGTCGTCCGGAGTTGTGGCCTCATCGTCCTCATTGTCGTCCTCGCAGTCCTGAAGCTGCGGGAGATCGTCCGAGTGCAGTTCCTCGACCATTGGCATCGGACCCGTACGACACTCCCGGAGTCGTACGGACTCCTTGCGTCGGGTCAGCTTGTCATGGCGGAACTCCTTCCGACAGGTATCGCATCCGGACGGACAGCGGCTCATGGTCACCTCCTTCGTCTGCCAGTCAATCTCGGGGTTGTGCTTCCGAAGCCAGGTGTATCCGAGGATGATGTCCTGGCGTCCGATGTTAGTGACCGCGAACAGCATCTGTTCCGTGTGATCCTTGAACCGGAGTACAAGGTCCACGACTTCGGAGATGGATCCGTTTTCGTTTGGTGATCCGTCGACATTGAAGACCGGGATCGAGGCGGACAGCTTGCGCCGGGTGAAACCATGGGCATCAGCGAAGCGCGGATGCATGAAGACTCTGGTGGCTCCACAGTCCACCAGGGCCTGCAGGGTGCATCTGTGTTGTGTATCCGTGCTCTGCACTTCAACGGGTATATCTAGCGAAAGCTTGCCGGGCAGCGCGGAGATCTTATAGCTACTGGGTAGCCGCCGTTCCCACTGCGGGCGAAACCTTTGGAGTGTGCGGATTGTAACCGGAGTTGTTTGCTTAGCGTCGGACGAATCATCGGAGTGATCAGAATCGTCTATTTCGTCTACGCTAAGACAAGCAAATTGGTTATTTACCAACGAGGTCGCACTGATCACTCGTTGGTCCGGACAAAATCCACCGTGTCCGATTCCTCAACCGGGGCCGTTCCCTCATCGTCTATTCCTTCCGAGGTCCCCGCACTTTCTACAACATCGGCCGCGGTCAGGAGATCTTCAATGGCGGACATCCGCTCCTCGGTGGTCATGAACCGGACGTCGTACCGAAGTGGGCACTCGCGGGACATGTGGCCGGGCTTGCCGCATCGATAGCAGAGCTGTGAAGCGGCGGGCCGGGAGCGGGTGTGGTCGACGTCCATGGGGACGCCGGGTGAGAGAGCCTTCGGAGGAGGCGGAAGTTGGAAGCGGGGTTGCAGAGGCAGGAGCTGAGTCCGAGGCGCGGGGAGTACACCCGCAGGAGTCCGAGCGACTCCGGAGCTGGCTGCTGGTCGGACGAGGGATCCGGAGTGTCCGGAGTTTCCGGAGTGCACGCCAAAGTGGAAGGACTGGTTGGCAGCACAGTTGTCAGCAACCCGCTGCACTGCCTTGTACCATCCTTCGAAGTCATCCTCGTCCGGACAGTCTGCGGACTCGGCAATGCGGCTCTGGATGATGGAGTCCAGTCCGCGACGGAACTTCATCGTGATGTTGGAGCCCTCGGAGTATCCGGACTGGTCTACAAGGTCTCGGAACTCGTCGAGGTACTCCTGGAAAGTCCGACGCCCTTGGTGGTACCGGGTAGACTCCAGCTTGAGCATGGCGGCTTCGCGTTCCCGATCCGGAAGGAAGCGAGTCCGGAATTTGGTCGCGAAGGCGGCCCAGGATTCGAAGTACGGATCCTTCGGACTCCGGAGCACCATGTCCGCGTACTCCTTAGCTCGATCCTTCTGGAAGAAGGAGAGACACCAGAGGATTTTGGCCTGCTCGGTCGGGAAGTGGTCCGGACAGAGCTGGAAGTAGATGGAGCACGTGTTGTAGAACGCGCGACCATCCTTGCGGTTTCCGTCGAAGATCGGGGGAGAGGCGGGCTTCAGGCGGGAACGTGGGGTGTTTTCGGATCGACTCGGGGCGTGCTGGGAGGCTTCGGTGCCCCTCAGCTCGGAGTCCGGAGTCGTTTTCGGAGTAGTCGGACGGGGTGTTAAGAGGAGTCCTTCGATTCGGGCAAGTGTATCCTAGATGGAGCTGATTTGGGTTTGGTGTTCGTACGTCTGAGCCCACAAGGTCTGCAAAGTCTCGGAGTCTGGTCCTGAAGCGACTGGCTCGGATGGCGGGATCTGGCTGGAAGCGCCCGGCATTTCGGAGTCGTCAGGGGAGCGAGGGATGGAGTTCCTTGGGTCCTCAGAGGTGGGCGGGAGTAGCAGGAGAGCGTCCGGAATGTCCGCAAAACCAGAGAGACGTTGAGAACGAGTCCGGAGTGGCGCAGGACGTTTTCCGTAGGGCTCTGGTGCCAGGATGGGAGATCCTGTTCTGCTGTAAGGGCAACCTCAAGATGGCCGACAGCGCAGGCCTAGCAGAGGGAGAATCCAAAGAAATGAATAAGACTAACTACAATACATGTGAGAGCTGCTCACCTAGCAGAGGGAGAATCCAAAGAGAACAGGATGGGGATTCTCCATGCTAGGAAGCGAAGTATATACTGTAGTAGCGTGGGAGGAATGAAGGGTAACTGTACAGTACACCAGCCACAGGTACGAAGGAATATCACAAGGTACGAGGGGGCATGTGATAATGAAGTGGAAGGGGAATGTACAGGAGTCGTGCCAGCGACCTGGGGAAGTGGGGACAAGGAGTAATGAAGTGGGAAAGGAGGATAGAGGTAGCCCGGGCGAGCTCCGAAGTGTATCTACAAGTCCGAGCGAGTCTGAAGCGTCCGAGCGAGTCCGAGGCGAGTCCGAAGTGCGGGAAGACTTCGGAGTCACCGGACGGGGCTCGGATGCGAAGGGAGTGAACGGAAGGGAAGCGGAAAGGTAAGGGGACAAAAGGAAAGGAAAGGGAATGAAGGAAAGGGGAGAGGAATGAGGAGGAAGGGGGCGGGACAGGGGGAATAGGAGAAAATAGGAGTGTCCCCTTACAGATCTGTTGATTCACCAGATAAGATAGCTTAACTATGTATAGCTAAAATACAATACCAAAAGCCTTGTCTAGACCTACTTCTTAGCTACAAATCTTAGCTACAAATGATAACAGAATGGCCTTCGAACGAAATGAAACAAACAAACAAAACCGAGTATCATTACTACAGTCACACCATGTCACAGTCACTCAGCTAGTGTAAGGGGACACTCATATTTTCTGCTATTCCCCTGTCCTTCTCCCTTCCTCCTTGTTCCTTTTCTCTTTTCCTTCGTCCCACGGACTCTTGCATACATCTCTTTCATTCCCTTTCCTTTCCACTTCCTTTCCACCCACTCCCTTCGCATCCAAGTCACGTCTGGTGACTTCGAAGTCTTCCCGCACTTCGGACACTTCAGACTTGCTCGGACACTTCAGACTTGCTCGGACTTGTCTATACACTTCGGGGCTCATCCAGGTTACCTCTGTCCTCTTTCCCCGCTTCATTACTCTTTGCCCTTACTCCCCCAGGTTGCTGGCATGACTCCTGTACATTCCCCCTCCACTTCATTATCACATGCCCCCTGAGGGTTCAAAGGTCAAGATCCATGATCTTCAAGTCTATTAAGCCTGGAATTGTACTGACTGAGAATTGGAATGTGACAACTGCAGTCACGGACAGCAAAAGGCTCTTGAGTTGAGGGGCTTGCTTGGACATGATTTGGCGGAACTATGCAGAAATACGACGAGAGATGCTGATTTCCTTCCAGACTTAGAGTGCTTCAAAAACAGTTCGACAAGGTGCATGGACGCAGAAGAAGATATACAGCCTCAGATTATGGGTAAATCAATTGCTACTCTGCACCATAGACGGCAAACTGGAGTAGCTGGAAGCAGGTGGGAGTGTTCGGGGAGGTTGTTGCATTTCGCTCTTGCAGGGTCCAGAGCGAACCTTCGCGTTGACTTCTCCGCTGGGTAAAGTTCTCCGTTGAGTGAGCTAATAAGTAGGGATGATAGGTTGTGGGTCGGGCTTGACATTTGGGAAACGACGTGTAGAGGGAACCATTATATGTTCGTAACTTTGCGGTTGCAAGAATGTCGCTTGGTTGTGAGTCTGTGACGGTTGTGACAAACCTGAAGTAAGCGCTCGAAATAGACGCCACGCCACTACTTCTATAACCTGTCAAGCTTGTGAAGCTTCGCACAACCACGATGGCCGTATTTCCTACTCCAAGGCCCCTCAACCGCATCCTCCTGCTCTCTTTGGTGCCCGTAGCAAGTTGGTTCATTGTCAGGCCGTTGCTCGAGCCAGTACCTCAACTACCTGTCTTGTACACCTCTTTGGGATTCTCCATATTCGCTTTCTTGTTTACGATCTACCTCGTGCCGTCTCTTGGACCTACTTTCATCAACGCCAATTTGACTGGAAATGATCTCCTGAAAACATACTCAACGCTGATGTTGGTGGGTTCAATTTACGCCTCAGCACTACGCTCATCGACCATTTATAGACCGGAAAGCATGGGGCTGGTCTGCGCGTCGGTTTATATCGTGACCTTGACATTGTTCATCCCGTTTGCTTTCTCCGACGCGTTGACAACTCCGGTGCATTCATCGGCTACTGCGGAAGGAATCACGGTGTCCGAATTTCCACATAGGCAGGTGGGTGTTATGGTGTTAGCAGAGTATTAAGACTTAAGACTTGCCTTACGAAGCTAGCAGTGTATCTCTCATCTTTGCTATCCCTATTAACGGCGACCTTGCTTGGTTTTCTGGACGATGTCTTTGATATACGCTGGCGCCACAAGCTACCAATCCCAGTCATCGCGTCTATCCCTCTACTTATGGTGTACTTTGCGGAACGCGGCAACACGAACGTCGTCGTACCCTTACCTCTGCGGTCTCTATTCGGCACCCTCGTCAACCTTGGTGCGTCTCGTCACTGTTCCGCGTGCGCGGCACTCCGACCTTTGATTCGCAGGGCCGTTGTACTATTTATACATGTCATTACTCTCAACCTTCTGCACCAATTCGATCAACATACTCGCCGGAATTAATGGATCCGAGGTATCTCAAGCCCTCATAATCGCCGTTTCAGTGATTTTGAACGACCTTCTATACCTCCCATGGCCCATAGGAGTGCGCGTCCCAGTCCACCTTCTTGGCAACAACACCGAAATAGGGTTCGGAGGCGTTTGGAAGGCGGGAATGGCCTTTGGTAGCAAGGAGCTGGTTGAACGTCATTTGTTCAGCCTCTACTTCATGCTTCCTCTTGTCGCGGTATGCGCAGGCTTCATGTACCATAATTGGTCAGGCGATGTCATTCTTCCTTTCATCTATAAATACCAATGACACGAGGTATTTCAGGTATCCAGCTAGAGCGTTTCCTGGAGACACCCTCTGCTATATGACAGGGATGGCCTTCGCTGTGGTCGGAATTCAAGCACACTTCTCAAAAACACTGCTTCTCTTCTTCATGCCGCAGATATTTAATTTTATCTTGTCGTGTCCTCAACTGTTCGGCCTCGTACCTTGTCCACGTCACCGAGTCCCTAGGTGAGACTAGCGGTACAAATATGGTATCCTAATTCAACGAATCGTTACTGTAGGTTCGACCCCGCGACAAATCTCCTCCATCCTTCCAAGGCTGTTTTTGAGCGGCCTCCGTCGCGATTAACAACATTCATCCTTCAAATTTTTTCCGTGCTAGGGCTCACCGTTGCGACCCCACACCCCAAGACAGGGCTAATACATGAGACGACAAATTTGACCATTCTGAATTTTCTGCTTGTCAGACTGGGGCCGATGTCAGAAAAGAGGCTTGTCCAAGTGTTGATGTGTGTACAGGTAAGCGGCTTGTCCTTGGTGCCTTGCGTGTACGTTAACCGACGTCGTTAAGGTCGCAGGCAGTGTACTAGCCTTCTTCATTAGGTACGGGCTTGCTGGTCTGGTGTACGATGGCGACCGTAGATAGTGGTACGCAATTAAAAGTGTCTTCTGATGCGGTGCTTGCATATCCTCGATCATGGTATTTGAGTATGGCTCGGACAGTGAGTATTCCTCAAATTTGCTTTATGTATCTGGTGACAGTCTGATTAGTGTATAGGGTTGAATGAACCCTTGGTGATCGAGTTTAATGATTCCACTTGCTTTCTAAGTGATCAATATTGCTCCCTTGACCTTGACGAGGCCCCTTCAAATTCAAAAAACGGTGACACAGCCCGAATACATACATTTGCGCAATAGCCTAGTACCAAGCCTCCCCACACCCCGCTGAACCTCCGCAACGACAGAGCGTGGGGTAACGCTATAAGATTGAGCCTTGTGTAGTTGTGAGCTCGGCGGCTAGGAGATAGAGCGTAAAGACGCCTCGCCGAATGGCTGTCTGAGAAACTCACGCTGCAACCAGGGAAGCGGGTTTTAAGGGATGGGCTAACAAATTGCCGGCGAAACACACCTCCGAAGGAGCTAGACCTGAAGAGGGGGAGCCGATGGCACTATTGGCGGGGAATGCCGTAGTAGACGGGACCCGGAATCACATGCCCCTCCGAACGGAACAGGGACAGGTGAAAAAGGGGCTTCCTTCGAAATCGCTCATATACCGGGCATTGTCGCCTTGGCCTCAGCGCCTGTCCACTACTCCTTTGATCCCACTACCAATGTCGCAAGAACGTTCTGCTTTCCAAACCGAGGTTGCTCAAGTTGAGCTCTGGTGGAAGGTAAGCAAAAGTGCTTCCAATAGTGTGACCTTTGCTTATCGCGTTGCAGAACCCACGATTCGCAAGAGTCAAGCGGCCCTATACCGCTGCGCAGGTCGTATCGAAGCGGGGAACGATTCCTATCCAGTACCCGTCCAACGTTCAGGGAAAGAAGTTGTGGGCTCTGCTCGCGCAGCATGCTAAGAAGGGGACACCATCGCATACCTATGGCGCGTAAGTTGACCATTGTCTCAGTTGGCGTTTCAGTCCTAAGCAATGATTTTACAGCCTTGACACCGTTCAAGTGACCCAGATGGCCAAGTACCTTGAGACCGTGTACGTGTCGGGATGGCAATGCTCCAGCACGGCATCGTCTACGAACGAGCCTGGACCCGATCTTGCTGGTGAGTTTCCCATGTTCATCAGGTATTTGCATTTCTTGACTGATGAAATGCCGTAGACTACCCCTCCAACACTGTTCCCAACAAGGTTGAGCAGCTATTCATGGCTCAGCTTTTCCACGATCGCAAGCAACGCGAAGCCCGATCTGCCCTGAACGATGAGCAACTCCGGGAAACTCCTTACGTCGATTATTTGCGCCCCATCGTGGCTGATGCCGATACTGGCCATGGTGGCTTGACTGCCATCATGAAGTTGGCTAAGATGTTTGTTGAGAAGGGCGCGGCCGGTATCCATGTCGAGGATCAGGCACCCGGCACTAAAAAGTGCGGCCACATGGCTGGCAAGGTCCTCGTTCCCATTCAGGAACACATTAATCGTCTGACTGCCATCCGTTTGCAATACGACATCATGGGTGTCGAGAACCTTGTCATTGCCCGCACCGATTCGGAGGCCGCTACCCTCATCACTTCCAACATTGACGAACGCGACCACGCTTTCATCCTCGGCAGCACCAACCCTGATATCGGCCCTCTGGCCACTGTGATGCTTGACGCTGAGCGACACGGCAAATCTGGCGATGAACTCCAAGCTATCGAGGATCAATGGATAGTCGCTGCCAGACTCCAGCGTTTCACTGACACTATTGGACATCAGCTCCGCGCTGAGGGCCATGGCATCAGGGAAATCTCCCAATTCCAGTCTCGTGCCGCTCATGTCGCCCATTACCAGGCCATTGCGATCGCGAAGGCTGAGTTCGGTCTGAAGACTGTTCCTTATTGGGACTGGGACGCCCCCCGAACCCGTGAAGGCTACTACCGTTACCAGGGCGGCACCGAATGTGCTATTCACCGCGCCATCGCATTCGGCCCCTACGCCGACCTCTTGTGGATGGAGACCAAGAAGCCCATCCTTGCCCAGGCTAAGGAGTTCGCGGATCAGGTTCACCACGCTCTTCCCGGTCACTGGCTCGCATACAACCTGTCTCCTTCCTTCAACTGGGATGCCGCTGGCATGGGGGAAGCGGAGATGGAGGCCTTCATCTGGGAGCTCGGCAAACTTGGCTTCGTTTGGCAGTTCATTACCGTAGGTCGCTATGATGGTTCAAGTCTCCCAGCTACTAACATCTATTCCCATAGCTTGGTGGATTGCACTCGAACGCGTACATCTCTGACTTCTTCGCGAAGAATTACGCCAAGGCTGGCATGAAGTCCTACGTTGAGCTCGTTCAACGAAAGGAGCGCGCTCTGGGCACTGATGTCCTCACTCATCAACGCGTAAGTCATCGACCATATGTCTGCTTCTCATATCTCATCGTTGCTTACAGTGGAGTGGTGCCGACTACGCTGACAACTTGATCAAAACCGTTACTGGAGGTGTTTCTTCGACGTCTGCCATGGGCAAGGGTGTCACGGAATCCCAGTTCTCTGCGAAGCTCTAAGGGGGGAGGCAAAAAGTAGTTAGCCATCACAGCATCTTCATTGTACCATGTTCACAATTTCGACAATTATTCATTATTTGAATTTACACGGACATCCATATTTTGATTAACCAAGTCATTTTTCTAAGTTTTCTCCGCGGCTCCCGATGGGCGGGTCCATCTGTCGGAAGACGTCGACATTACTCAAGCGCCCGATACTCTCATGCTGAAACCACAACGCCGTCTTCCAACCTTCGCCAGTGCGCCTCAGCTACAGGTTCTGGAGTCTGCGTTCCTCTCGAAGAATCGTCTGGACGAAGAGGATAAATACCGCCTTGCTTGCGAAACTGGCCTGTTCGTCTCACCATTCCAAGATTCTCGTCTTGGCACTGCTTATCTTGCAACCTTCTAGCAACCCCGGTTGGATAAATGATTGGTTCACTAGGCGGAGAAAGAAGAAACGAACAAATTCGCCGGCCAAGACCAATGGCGAGACTGGGAAGAATAAGCGAAGGCGGGTTGCAGGACCGGATGCTGGTTTTCCGCGAATTTGTGCCGACGCCAGCCTCGACCACCAAGAAAACACCCCGCCCTCCGCCGGCATTGTACCTATAGGCGGTCTTAAGATGGAGTTCTTGCGTTACATGCCTGTTTCGTCCCTGCCTTCTTCCTCGAGGCAGTCCTCAATCTCTGCGGGGGGAACGGATTCCGGAATATCCGAATGTAGTACACCCGCAAACGAGCCTAATGTCTTGATTAGCAACGAAGCGAGCGTCGACTCACTCCCAAGTGGCGGCACCCTCTCGTCTGAATCGCCAAGCACTGGTCTGAGCGGCAACACACCTGCTCTGACTCCGGATTTAGGCTCAAGTGAGCTACACGACTCTTCAAGGTCTTTGTCTCAGTCTCCGTCTCTTGGCTACATACCCGCGACTTTCCCTTCTTTCTCCGCGCATCCTGGTACCCAACCGGGCGACCCCAAGGCGCACTTCGAAGGAACACAAAATGCACCTCTCAGCCTACCGGTAATCCAACCGGACCCTACAGTCTTTGATACTGGCGGTAGCCTGGATCTCTCCGAAGAATTCAGAGCTTCCAGTGTATTTACCCAACTCACCCAAAACACCATTCTCACTCCACCCCGGCCCGACTCAGCCTTCAACACCCATCATAGCTCTCAGCAGTTCTATCCCTCTCGGCTCTGCGACCTTTCATATGGTCTTGGATTCTCCTCTGGCGGATTGCAAACACATTCAAGCTCGATGTCGTTAAATGGCTCGTTCGGTCCTCAAGCTTCTCGTCCTGTGCCGTTGTCCTTTAGAGTTCGACTCAGCGATTTGAACGCTTACCACCAGGCCATTCTTGAATTGAACCTTCTCCGCAACTCTGGCAATCTAAACGCAAACGAAGTGGCGAGTATGGTGTCTTCAGAGCCTTTACCCCCTTCCCTTAGGTATCTTATATCCTTCCTTCTTTGGTTACATACCTCATAATGACATCGCAGCCGCAGCCACTAGAGGTGCCGTCACCAGCCAGCGCAAAATCATACAACGCAGAAACGGCCCCCACCAGTCACCTCGAAGCAAACCTGAAGCAAACCAACGTACAGCGGTCCGCTGGAGAGTAGCCTGTTACTTCTTTCTTCCGTCGCAAACCCGTTCATCCCGCCAAGAAGGCCCCTGCCAGTAACCCAACCTTCTAACGCACAGATAAATGTTAGATATAAGTAGATCACCGTTCAGAGTTTTGAGTTCTTGTGCATAATTATTCGCTTATGATGTAGTCCTTTCGACTGATAGATTTAGTACGCAGTAATATCTGGATTGTAACGTTTAACCTTTGCCCCACGTGATAAGAGCAAAATGTTAAACGGTTAGAGGAATCTATGTCCGGGAATGCGTCGATGCAGCATGCAGAATCGTATCACTAAGAGGCCGCACTTGCGTCACCAAGGAAATACTTGTGTACAGAAGGTAAAGTATCTCCACCTGGCCCAGCCGCATATAAACACAGACCACCCGGTTCTTCTGCGATCTGCATGGAGACGATGGGCTTCAAGAACCGCGTTGCCAACAAAGACCTGCCGGAATAGTCAGCAGGATGAGGTCCTGATCCGTTGTTTCCTGGATTCGAAAGCGGAGGCGGGTGGAGGGACTCGCCGGTCTGCAATGACCATCCGCGAATCCAGCCATCTTCACCTGCAGCAAACAGAAAGTTCTGCTGGGGATCTACGGCGATGCCCTATATACGGAGGGCGATTACGCATTGATGCAACACCGTAAGCTAAGATCCTCAATTAGACGTAAGCACGCACCAAGCGACGGGTCAATGTGTTTACGTGTCCGTTGAAAGAGCGGACGGGTCTTGTGTCACGCAAAAATCGAAGGTCGTATGTTGCCAGCTGGGGTTTCGTAGTGTTAGAGACATTAGAGAAGTGGACATGTGAATGCAGCGATGACCGGTTCATTCTATCGTTTCGGGGGTGGAAAAAGGACAAGGAAAAAAGAGGAAAGGAGAAAAGAAAAGAAATTGGAGAATGGAGAGAGATGGTGGTACTCACTCGTCCGTCCATATGACTCACGAGGAGTTGCCACTCTCTTATGATATCGAGGTGGACCACCGACGTCCTGCTTGTGCCATGGCCGGTGTTTCGTTTTCTGGTCTTCGTATTCCCCTTGATCGAGTCGCAGTTGGCAGCGAACCGACCTGGGAGCAGTGGCCCCAAGACGTCTGGCTTGCTTGACCGGAGGTCGAATCGCGAAATATCCCCGTTCCGAGCTCCTGTATAGACGAGAGACTATGCGATATCAATGAGTGACTGAGCCAAGAATAACACGTAATGGCATGGGATGGAACATTGCAGCAAGTAGGCGACGTACGTCAGATTTGTAGACAGAGAAGACGTCGCTTTGCGTTTCTAGAGTTCGCAGCGGTGGGCCAACGTCGATGTCTTCTATGTAAACGGCTTGACGCTCTGCCCCTGCGAAGTGCCGCCGAGATTAATTTATGTTATCTGGTATCCAAACAATTAGACATGGTTTACCTATTACCAACGAGCGTCCTGATAGATGGCTGGTCCAGATGTCATGCAGCCCGTTGAGACTGTACAGTGTTGAGTGTAAACTGTGCGATTTCGGGTGTCAATATCCCCCGCGCTCAGATATTTCATTTGAACGAGAGTATACCTTGCGGAATCGAGGTCCATGACCGTTATCTTGGCCGCTTTGCCAGCAGAAGTGGCGCTATCGACGGTAATTAAATTAGCATCAAGGGCGCCTTTGCGCGTTTATATCGTATCACTCACACGCAGCGAGAACCTGAAGAGCACATTGAGGAGATCTAGTCATTACGAAGCTGTGAAAAGACAAGCTGGTTCAGTTGGGTGTCTGCGTACCTCTGAGCTCGGGCTCAGATTGAAGTCCATTCCCCAGAAATCTTGCGAGGGGGTATCATGGTACGAGTCGTCTTCGTTATATGGGATAGTGGCGCGACAGATCCAGCCATAGCTGTCGCCAACGAGGAAGTGGGTGTCCCCGGCGGTGTTGGTTGCTTTCTGAACGGTAAAAAAATAGTTAGTGGAGGGTAGTATATTTAGATAGCTATCAGTTCACCGTGAATGTCGTCAGTTCGCCGATTAGAGGTGGAGACGTATGTTCGGACCTCGAGGTCGCAGCGAAGCTCGAGGCGTCCAAACGGCTGCGTGCTTGGTCAGTCCTCTTCACAGGAAGTATAATAGGAGATATTCACTGTCGTTGCCTTGATCTATCATGCGCGAACAACGAACGAGGCAAAGTGTCTATGTATCTGAGCTCTCGGGGCTTCGTCCGCGATAACTCGGAGGCCGCCAACTGGGAAGTAGGCTCACCAGTTGACGGGGTTGTAGCACCCTGACGGGAGGGGGCGGCACTGCTTGGTGGCCTGGATGATATGGGAAAATACCTGTTCTTCTCCTCGTCAAAATAGAACCCTGGTAGTTGTAGAGGCATTGGGCTCGGTTTGTTTCAGTGGTTACAACAAGTTGGCGGGGCCTAAGAAGTTCAGGGTCCACTTCGCCCAGTTCCATATAGTAGTCATATTTTTACGTGAGAATTCCCACCTATTTCATGGCACATGCGGGCTGTTCAAAAGAATGTGTATTTTCTCCATGAATTAAAGTGTAAGAATGGTTGATGTATAATCAGAGGAACAGATGTCAAATCAAGTCGAGAAGTCCGCAACCAGTGATCATTGACGATGTGCAGTTTTGGCTCAGGCTTGTTATCTAGCTCAACAATTGCTGGTTCCTCACATATTATTATATGAGTATGAGTATCCCAGATATCTGGTAGCTTCTGTTCGGAAGCTAATTTTCATGCAGTGTGCACATGGAAATCTTCAGGCATACGGTCAGAAACTAGTAACACCCCTTTACCCCTAAGGGGTATTAGGAGATGAGCATATTTCACTGACTCCTCTCAAGTATTTGGACTTGGACACTCTAGAGATCATTGAAATTGGATGGCTGTAGCATTTGACAGTGGTTCTACTTGTGAGCACTCATAGACAGCTCAGCCACTAGGACAGGTCTTGGCGCAAACAAACTGTGGATTTACCGAGATGTGCAGTCACATATGTAGTTATTGAAGTAAGTAGATGTCGTGCAGGTTCTTTCTTGTCATCCTCCGGGCTGCTCGCAGTCATTCAGCTTGAACCAAGTCGGATTTTCCCGCAGACGTCGTGATTTTTGCGTAAAAGCAACATGCCGTGGATCAATCACAGGGTTAACATAGGCTTGGAAGTTTGCTGAGCCAGCGTGTTGAGCCAGTCATAGAGCGAGAGATATCGACGACTGAGAGACAGAGGGCGTCCCGATGCCATGGGGCGTGTCATTGAGGTGATTGAGTGATGATGGATGGTCGTGAAGAGATTCCTCGAATGAGGCGAGTGAGCGCAGATAGTCTTGAGTGTGGGCGTTGGCGTTGTCAGGGAAATGAGCGGCTAACGAGCCTCAAGGTTATGAGCCAGCGTGACCTGGCAACTCCCAGCTGTTATAACCGACCGTCTGAAATTTCTCCTCAGATTTCACCCTCGAATTTACCACTGGTGCATGTGCCAGAGCCTTTGTCCCCACTGCGACACCGTTCCGTTTCCTGAACTACAATTATCCCGCCGGGCTCAATAGCCAATTTGGAGACTCGCCGAATCGCGAGGAATCGGCTTATTTCACACCGCACACACATGGCGACCGCCCTACAATCCCCAAATATCACTGCAGGTCTTTGCCTTTCTCAGGGCGATTTCGAGAACTCCTTTAAACCCGACCACCATCATCTACCCACCAAGCAGATTCACGTTTTTGAACGAGACGACGTGCTCGACGGCCACTGTGCCCCAGTCGACCTCCACGACATTGGAGGAGGCCGCATCTTCGTGAGGGACCCTCCGTTCGCAGGATTACTCGCCCAAAACCATTCTAGAAGCTTGGTGAGTTGGTTAGCCTTTATATGCGCGCTTGGCCGTCTTCTGCGCGTCCCTTGCCTGATTTCATGGAATGCCCGGAACGCGACTTACGCGATTCCTTGATGTTCTCAGCCCAGTCGCAATTTTGTTATGCGCGGATTACGAGACCAACATCTCACGTTGCTTCTGCTAGGCACACATATACATCACGACTCAAGCGATCACTTCATTCGTGACACCCAGTTCCCCTATGGCAAAGAAACGTCGTTCCTTGCAGTCGATACTTATCCCCTCTTTCTTACATTCACCCCCTTCGAGCGTTCCCCCGACCCCCTCGACCCCGTCTACCCCAGAGCTTCGACCATCTCGGGCCCGTTCCCATTCAGAACTCATATACCACCCTCCTCTAGATGACGCCGCTTCACGAGCCTCCCCCACGTTCCTGCTCGATGATGACCCCTTTGCTAATCTGTCCACTGCTGCCACCCAAGTCACTTCTTCCTCTGACGCGAAGGCGCCTCTCGCGTCCACCGTTTCTACTCGAGTTACCCCGCGTTCACCTCTCTCTCCATGTCCCTCTGAATCCGCGAACCGACTAGCGTCACCCGTCAGGTCGTCCCCCGCGACAATGAGTTCGTTCCCTAGAACACACCTCACTCATCCTGCGCACAAACGACCCGCTTTTGCCCCTCGCCCTTCTCTTCCTTCCCTACACGCGTTAGCTCAGATGAACGCGCCCCTTGTCTTACCTAGAAAGGTACGTATCAGCCAATTGGAACCGTTTATCCCACCCTAAACCATGGTCAAAAGCATAGGAAAGGTAAAGTTGGTGCGCGCCTTCCATTCGAACCTTGGGAATTGGGGTCTTCAATCTCTGAGTTTGCCGAGATGGTGCCAGGGCCCCCTTCGTCCATGCTTTCGCCCCGCGGGCAGGACTTTACAACTGACCTTGACACCGATTTCTTGGACTTTACGGACGACAACGACGGAGATGATGACGACTTTGACGACTTTGACGACCCAACCGTGGAGCCGCATTTTTCTGCCAGCTTCGATGTGAACAACGAACACTCCTTCCAGATACAACCACTCTCACAGGAACATCTGGATGTTTCCCCCGAAAGCCTTTCTGGTGCCGATTCTTCTTCCTCCCTCTCAAGGTCCTCTTCCTCCAGCCGTTCTTTATCCTCCAGCTCGTTGTCGGACTCAGAGGACCGCATCTGCCGGGACTCCCAGTCGCGACACAGCACTTCTCGTCGATCTGATGACTTCAAACACAGTACATCCGGACAACCACACTCATCTTCTGCTGAGAGCGACAGCGACATCCCGAACTCCCCTCCAGACGAGAGCTACTTCATCTTCCCGCGATCGTTGTCTCCAGATTGCTTGTTGGTTGATGAGGATCACGAAGAGCTTGATGGCGTTGGATATGAAATTGGCAGCGGGGTGGATGTGCCATATCATGGTCTGGATCGCACGCCTCATCATTCGATCTATTTTCACCACTCAAATTCACTGAGCATGGGCAGCACTGACGCCGCGGCATTCGAGCCAGGCTCGTCGGAAGGTACTATCCGCGGTAGCTCATTCCACGCTTGGGCATTATCTCGAGGCCGCCGACACTCAAACAAGTGGATGACTGGCGACGACGACGGCGAGATGGTCGAGGGATCGGAATGGCAGGGCGGACAGAACGGTCATTACTCGTCCAATGGGAGCACAGGGTATTACGGAGGTAATAGTGGCTATGGGAGAGCTTCTGGCCGTAGCAACGGTGGATTTGGCGGAGGTAGTAACTGGGGAAATGGCGGCGATGATGGTGATGACCGACGCGGGCGTCGTGGGCGTGAGGGTCATGGACACCATACTGACCCGACCTCGGGGTCTGAAGAGGAACAAAGCGAGTCGGAGGATGATTATGGTGTTCCATCGGCTTCCCAGTCGAAGAAGACCGTACCCAATGATTACTCGGCGTCTGACGACGATGTGCCTCTCGCCCAGCGCATTCCCACCGCACTTAGGGCGCAGAAGACTATACGAAGGAAGGTAAAGGAGGAGAGAGACCAACGCCGGCGCGAAAGGGCCGCAAAGGCAGCGTTGAATGGGGAACTCCATCCGCCTCATCCTCGCACCCCCTTGAGCCCCGCTGGGCCTTCCGGACCCCATACAGCAGTAGATTCCCAAGAGTCCAATGTACAAACGCGATCGGGTCGCATGCGGACCATGACCATGCCCAGCAATAGCTCCAGGCCGTTTGCAGTTGACGATTTATCCAAACGACTGGAGGCCATGCAAATACCGGAACCCCAAACGCGCATCGAACGAGCTCGTTCTAAGTCTCGGACCCGGATCCCCTCTCCTGACCACAATCCTCTCCCGATGCCAGAGATGCCGCAACTTCGTCGTTCGAAATCTAGACACCCTTCCCCAGATAGGAATCCGTTACCCACCCACGAGCCAGGCCGGACTTTACGGCCGATGAGATCATTTCATAGAACGGAGACGCGACCGTTGGTCGATCGCGCCGCTCCACCGATTCCAGTCGAACATCAGAAGCTAGCAAGAAGTAAAACTGAGGGCCGGTCCCGGCGCCGCGACGACCTGACTGTCGAACATGGCGTCAAGTCTAAGTCTCTCAATATGCAAGCAACGGAAACTCCGGATATCGACCAGTTCGCGAGAGGACGTAGACAAGATGAAGGACAATCGACGACGGTCCATCTCAGTGCACGACAACGATCGGTTAGTCGACCATCCAGGCCGTCAATGGATCGGGATGCATACCCTGTCCCTAGGAAAAGTCTACAACGCCAGACCCCTTCACCCATCCCACCACTTCCTCTGGCCGACATAAAGACCACTGTTATCACTCAGCAGCGCGTTTTCATCGGCGACATGCAATCATTTAACACCGTTGAAATCTCGTCAAACACCACTGCTCAAGACGTGCTTGACATGGTGAAGGCCCAAGGGTCCCTCAAGCAATTCGTAGGTTCGGGTGGCTGGATGCTCTTCGAAGTGGCTCAGGATTTCGGCATGGGTAAGTGTTTTGGTTTTTCAAGTGCGTTATTTCCAACTCATATGTCGTGTAGAACGCCCCATCAGAAGCTTTGAATTACTGGCCGATGTTCAGGCATCGTGGAACAAGGATAAGATGGTCAACATGTTTGTGATCAAGATGACGTCGTTGACTGGCATTTTGTCTCGTTCGGTTCGTCGGCAACTTGACTATCTACTCACTCTGCTGACTCGTTATTTCTTTTATAGAACATTCCTTCCAGCTCGCCAATGCACTCTGGTTGGGTAGAGTGGGAAGCCAAACGTGGCAAGTGGACGAAAAGATGGATGCAACTTCGAGAGCACAGCTTGTGGTTGTCAAAGCGTGATTCGGTTGGTGCTCTCCCATAGTACCTGCCCCGATTGTAGCTAACGTAAACGGTTTAGGGCAAAGACGAGACTTTCCTTTGTTCACTGTCAAATTTCGACGCATACGCTGTTACTCGCGTCCATAAGGCTCCTAAGCCCTATGTTTTTGCGACGAAGTCTACCGACAATCTCTCATTCTTTGAGAACACGGCAGACTACCTGCACGTCTTTTCGTGCTCGCAAAAGGACGGTGAAAAATGGATGGAGGTTATACTTCTTGCTCGGGTAAGTATTTCGTCTCGAACGCCTGCTTCGCCTTTGCTTATTTCTTCCAGTCATATGTTTTATACCAGGAAAAGAATGTTCTCTTCAATCCCAAAGCCGGATCTTCTACAAGCGGCACGGGGTTGTCTCGAAGCGGCACCCGAAAGACTCCCTCTGGCCGCACAGGTCAGACTTTCGTCGATGTCAGTTCGCAAGATGTATTTGTTCCAGGTTCCCTCTTGCATAGAAAGTCTTGAATTATATGTGTAGCGTTTATTTAACAGTCCTTCCTAGACCCTTATTTATACCAGCAACCTATGTATAATTATTACTATGTGTAGCTTCTGTGGTACTTTTTGGAAAAGATTTTTTTCCGAACTATGGTACATGATGAAGCGAAAAACTGCTATGTATATTATACTGAACCCTAGTCCTTGACCTTCAGTTTCTTTTTCGGAGGTTGTTCGTCATCTCCTGGAGGTGGTTGCTTAGCCTTAGCCTTCGGTTTGGGTTTGGGTCGTGGTTTCTCGCCATCGACATCCATGTCATCTTTCGACGGACCAGCTTTGGCAGCAGCAGCAGCAGCGGGTTTTGCCTTGGGTTTAGGTTTAGGTTTCGCTTTCGGCTTATCGCCGTCCTCGTCCACATCCATGTCAGTGTCTTTCTTCGCCTTGGGTTTCGGTTTAGGAGCAGGCTTCTTCTTGGGTTTGTCGACATTGTCATCCTCAGCGTCGCTGTCTTTGGCGGCGGCATTGTCTTTCTTCGCCTTTGCCTTCCCTTTACCCTTCACTTTCTTCTTCATGAAATCACGGTCACCGCTAGCGTCCGAAGCAGTGTGCGCCCCGGAGGCATCGGAATCTGTGTCCGAGGGCGATCCACTATCCGAGCCAGACGCTTCGAAGTCCTCTGTAGGATAATGTCAGACATATGGTAGACGCAACATTACGAGAACGATCGCACCATCCTCTTCACTATCTTCGTCGTCGGGGCCGCCAGTCCGTATTTTGACTTTAGGAGCGACATCCTCATCAGAAGCAATACTTTGCATATCGTCATCGTCATCGTCATCTAGATTTCCAGCAGCCAACCTGACATCAACGTCTGGGACCAGCTCGTTCTTCAGCTTGATCTTCTTCTCCTTGAGATACGTTTCAGTCGATTCATGCTCCTCTTTGTTGATTGAGGAGAAGGTGATTTCGGGGCCGCTCTTTGTCACGAATTTGAGATCAAATGTGCGGGCGGCGTTGGCACCCATACTCGCGCCAACGCGAGAGAATACGGCTTGGTGAACGTCCGAGAGCTCAATGAGAGTTGGCGATTTCGAGACGAAGAAGATGTATTTCTCGAGTAAGAAGAGGTCTCCCTGGACAGTCTTGAGGTTAGCCTTGATAGCTGGTTGTCCGTTCCGACTGGGAATACATTAATCATTGCCACCAGGACGAATGGTCATCTTACTTTTGAAAGCTTCCTGTGCTGATGATTTTCTTCTTTGACAGGGCACGGAAGACTCCTGAGACAACTTCGAAAGTGGGGTCCTCGTAATTCTTCTTCAGGCGATCGTACTTGGCGACTTCCTCTCTGAATCCATGTGAGTCTATCTGCCAGTGGAATGAGGCTGAGGAACCTTACTCTGGTAGATTCAATTCCGCCGTCATCTCCTCTTCTCGATTAAATTGCATGACCAGATATTGGTATCTGGTTTGTCCTTGACGAATAGGAGAGTTCAATCCAAGCTAACCGAATGGTCAGAATGAATTGCGAAGCTTCCTTTATGAGGACTTACAATGAAAAGAACATGCTGATCATCCTTAGGGAGGAGGAAAAGTCGACCAATGCTCGTATACAGAATTTTGTAGTCGTACGTCTTCCCGCGCAGACGAAGAAAGTCGGGGAACATGTCGACGTCGTAGCGACCACGAGGAACCACGACATGAACCTCTTCAAAGCTAAGAATAAGGTCTCCAGCCACTTGCCCGATATCGGCCTTATCTTTTATCATATCGTGGAATACCTGGGCGGCACTGATCTCCGCCTCGTTGGTATCTTCCTCATCGTCCGACTTCTGCGAACCGGCATCTGAAGCGCGTGGTTTCGTGTAAGCCCCAGGTACGTGGAAACGGATCTCAACCATTTCGTCGAGTGACGATTTGGTCGGGGCCTTGCTCGAAGGGTTTGAGAACTCAAGCGAAACCTCTGTACGTCCTGCAATGTTGGAATTGGCCACTTGGGCGAGCGGCAATTCGAAAGCGACTCTATTAGATACCAAGAAAGCAAGATCCTGGCCTGGTGGCTTTTCATCAGTAACTTGACTCGCATTCGTCGGGTCTGTGAGCGCGCACCTTGGAAGTCGGTCTCTCCCCAATTCCAGCCTTTGAACGACACTTCTTTCGTCTCCAGAGTCACCGAGAAGTAATTCTTCAACAGAGTCTGCAGTTTGTCGTGATCCTGCGCTAATTTCAAGTTTTTGTTGTTACATCTCTCGTAATTACATACCTCCCGCACAAAACCGTCGAAACATATTTTCTTCCTATCTTTCACTCCGACGCGCAGCTGAAAGTTACGGGCAACGCGCAGCCACTGTGCCCACTTGATGTCCGCTGATGGAACCGCTGTAATATCTGACCCCGAGCCTTTCCATGCCATCCCACTTTGAGCCACGCGTAGTTCTTCAAGATCATCAGTTTCCGTGTCCCCTGTAGCACTCAAGTCCACGTACTGCCGGGCTCAGAGTTGAGACCATAGTATATAGCGTCGAATTGTGTAGCAGGCTGGCTCATCGTCCTCCTCGAATGACGATAAGTATGGAATCCTGTATTGGAGATGAGTCGAAGCGCGTCGAGCGCGAAGTTGGACCCTGAAGCGCAAGCGACTAAATCAACAAGCACAAATTTCCCACGATTTCTTGGATTCACTTCCATAAGTAGTAAGTCAAGTCGCTCTTCTAAGTTCTGGCAATGCTCAGAGTCCATAAAGTGTTGTGTAGTCGCGCCACCCAGAGGAAGGGTTTATCCAGCCATGCCGTGTCCGAATACCCGACCCTCAAGGCGCTATTGACAGCGATCTTCTGTGGCATTGTTGTCTTTTTTCCGCCTGGCATAGATTGTAGTTCAATATATATGAGACGGGTGTTTAGGCTGCCTCATGCATGGGATTAAGCCGAGGATTACGAAGTATAGTGGTAGTGCATAGGAGATAGAACGACCAAGTAGTGAACTAGATATTACTTTTAAATGGGGTGCGCTAGCATGACGGCGGTAAGAAATGCGATCGCTTCTTGTCTGTAGTTGTCCTGAGTGATGATTCGCGGCTGCAAGAGCTGGTCCTGGAAGGTCATCAGCTTTCGAGTGTCTGCGGTGTATTTCGGCCAACTGGTAATGCCATTGCCGTTGGGGTCGAGAGCGTTTGTAAAATGGATAATATATTCTGCAAGATCGCCACTTCCAAAGGAGTTGAGTAGATCGGATGCATGGAACTACAGAGGGATTAGGAGACGTCAGCAAACCTGTCGAGGGGACGTGGAAGATCGAGGAAGGGATTTACCGAGCCGAGGAAGGGAGTCGCTTTCAGGCGCTTGCTCACTTTTGCGGGGAGTGCAGTGCGTGTTTCAATCATCGCGGAGTGTACATACGGAACGACCAAGTATTCTGCGTATCTGCGCTGTGGTCCAAGAACATCCGCCTAGGAGCTTGGAACGCCGCATCTCCCAAAAGCGCAGCAACCCGCTTGAATTGGGGTGTCAACGCATTGAAAATCTGGGTGTCGAAAGGTGACCCCTTCGTGATATCGGCCGGGTAGAGAGCTAAGATCTGGTCCAATTCGGCGGGAGTGGCGTCTGGGATCCAGACGTCCTTGAGGTACCCCCGGACGTCAGAGGTGGTTCTAACCATATCATAAAGTTAGCCTCGTTCAAGTGAGTGACATAAGGACTAACGTGAGGTTGTTTAGAATCAAGGCGAACAGTGTTCCCTCGTCATCGCAGTCACCGACGATGTAGGGAACATTTGCGATCTTGCCCTGTTGGACGAGTCGCTGCCCATCCTCCCTGATGAAGGTACCGTCGGTGCGCGGCAACCAGGGCAACACTAACGTCTAAGAAGCAAATAAGTGAATCATTCCTAGAAAATCAATGGGAGTCGACGAACATTGTACCCAGTTATAGACGGCGTTTGATCCACGGCGCCCTTCAAGACCTCGTAATCCAGGGTTCGCAAGCACGCTAGGGTGTCGCTTTCGCCGGAGCATCCGGTATTTTCTACGATATTGTTGTAGTGAACTTGAGCTTTGGTCACATCGCCAACTGGAACGGGTGTTCCAGATTGCATGACTGCAGCGCGGTACAGTCCCTCGGTGTCCCCATCGTTTGCTACCATGTGCATAGAGACCGAGACGGCGCCGGCACTTTCACCCCAACTACGATGGACGGATGAATTAGCTACAGTTCGTGCAGAAAGTTGTAGACTCACATAGTCACTTTCGTGGGGTCGCCGCCAAAGCTATCAAAATTTGAGCACTGTTCTGCTGGAACGTCGACGACGCCACCTTACTTATGTATGTATTTCTGGACCCATCGAAGCGCTTCGCGTTCTAAATATCATCTTCGTCACTACAATATCCGACAGTTGTAATAGGACTAAACTCACGATCATGCAGACCAAGGTTCGCCACGCCAGCATCTTTGACTTCTTGACTTGCTAGAAAGCCGAAAGCTAGACGGATCGAAGCTCTCAACCACTATGAACGAAACCAAAGAATGCGAACATACCGCTCAAACGATAATTCATACTAACGAAGATTACGGGCTCTCCCATTGAGATCGACTTTTCAACAACCGATCCGCCATCGTATCTAGGTCGATGCAAGTACTCAGTCAGATCGCTCTTTGAAAGAGAACGATTGAGTCTTACAAGGAGGAGCTCCCAATTTGGAAACCACCTTGTCAATGTCAAGCACTAGCTCGAAAACGCGGTCACGAGATGCACTTACCACCGTAGATCCACTAAAGGGGGACAAGCGGTTACCTTCGATGATCGCATGAGCAACGGGATTGAACTCACGACAATAACAGGCAGATTCAACGCAGGTGTTGCAGATGCTGGTGTCACGACATTGATAGTGAGGCCTAGTTAGGAGTCCTCTATCAACCACTTTTCACAGGAAGAGTACTGTAGCTTACAATCTTCGCCGTCCGGGAGGGCAACTCCCCAAGCTGTGTTGGTCAGAAAGTCCGTTGTACTGTCGGCCAAGCCCAAGATCCCAGGAAGCGAAAGCTGCACATCTTGCTGAGGGCAAGCCTTCCCGTATGTCAGGGCGGAAAATGATTCCGTATACGGGGCGATAGGTTCAGGTCGTCTGAACCTCAGGTCCCCAACTCTGTAAGACAGAAACGAAATCCAGTCGGCGAGTAATGAACAGTCTTGTGGGACCTACGGTGATTGAGCAAATGGAATTCCCAGGTACCTGTTCACCCTCCCAAATTGGGTCCCAGTGACTGTGGCTGAATCGAGAGTAACGACAGGGGGCGCCCTCCGTAGAGGATTGGCAACGACGACATGGGTTAAAAGGAAAGTGGTCACAACCAACCATGGGCCGGCGTGCATCTTGGGTCTGCTGAGAAGGGACCAATGGTGCGGCAGAAGGATATGTTTCCGTCGCGCTTTATACGCGCCATCCTCAGTGAGTAACTTTGACCAATAAAGGATTAGCCTCCGTAGAACTCAATCTCTTTCTGTCATTTTTTTTGCTTGTTCGGGTCCACCTCCACAGCAAGTTTGGTTTTATCACGTCAAGCTTGTACGCCGACATCCAGGTTCTCGTCCTAGTCTTACGCGTCCTTGACCTGACCAGGCGCGCCCCGCAACCGCTTTACTCTTATGGTCCATCGTAGCGGGATCCAGCTGACGTTCGCAAATTTGCTATTCGCTAGTTCATCGGTTGAGCTTCGATAGGCGCGTTTGCTTGACCTATGGAGAGGATGCAATCAAATAGCTCCCCCAACCGCCTACTGTTTATTGTCAGATATAAGTAAAATTTGGCGAAACGTGAGTGGGTCATAATAGAATTATGCACTTACCACTAAATGAGAACTTAGAAGTTACAACGAATTCGATCAGTCGCCAGAGTCGCAGCCAAGCGGTCACGTGATAAAATCAATTCACTGTCGACTTCACTGGAAACTTGCATTACATCTGGACACTGCGTCAATACTCAGGTCCCGTACACGATGCTAATGGCATCTATTGGGTAAATACCATCGTACGATGGACTCGAAGCACGCATATCGGTCTTGCCATCGCCCCGGAATCGATGACAAACCAACACTCAGCCTGCGGCTCATCTTTAATCCTGCCCGACCACAGATGACTGAAATACCATTTTGATGTAGCTGAACGTTAGCTTCATCCCCACTTTGAACCAAGCATTGGATATGGATCACGTCCCACACCTGGCAGGTTCATGGCATGGTCATGCCCAAATCGTAGACCAACCTTCTGATTTAGTAGATGGAGAAGCGAGTATTGACGTACAAATCTCCTCGGACGGTACAAAAAATTCTGCATCCCCGTCGTCGACGGTCGGCACCAGCAAGAATATCCTTGATGTAGAGAAGGGAGCTACAACCAGTGTAGAATCTACTGAGTACCGATATGTACGAGCGATTACTGCCTTCCGACAATGCTATCTAATAACCTTCCTCCTTAGATCGATTTTGAAGAAGACGACCCTCGCAATCCAATGAACTTCACGCGTCGCAGAAAATGGGCCATTACACTCGTGGCCTCGACGTTCACCATCCTCGCATGTAAGTCCCGACACCTAGACCTAGCTGTGGTAATGACCGTCGTAACACTATGTTCAGCCTCTGCGGCTGGAGCTTACAATATGGGGTTTCCGTCAATGCTTCGCGATTTAAATTGCACGGATTTTCAAGCAACAGTAGGTCTCGCGGTCTATCCCCTTGGCTTCGGCATCGTCCCGCTTGTGACAGCTTCATGGAGCGAAGAATTTGGCCGAATGCCCTTGTACATGGGTAGCGCAGTGGGATTTTGTGCTATGTTGCTGGGTACAGCCCTGTAAGCCATCATTTCAACATAGTGCTCTCCGCTTCTTACGCCAGCCTTGGCAGAGCGAAGAATATCCAAACCGTCATAGTTATGAGGTTCTTGCTAGGCGCGTTTGGGTCGACGGGTGCTACCATGGTCGGTGGCACGATTGCCGACGTTTGGGCTCCGCATGAGTGTGTGGGTTTCGATGCTTTCCCAATTTTCCGGATTTGACTTTTTTCTAGACGTGGTCTGCCCATGGCTTTGTTCTCTGCCGCCGCCGTAGGAGGAACTGGCGTTGGTCCTATTTTTGCCGGCTGGATTGAAATGAATCCGCATCTTGACTGGAGATGGATTCAGTGGGTACAGTTGATGTAGGTGTTTGCCTTTCGCTGCGAACATCCACGAAGCTGATCAATTGCGCTTGTATAGCTACAGCGGGGCTTATACTCTCATCCTACCGTTCGTTGTTACCGAGACGCGATCTGTCATCCTCCTCAACCGCCTCGCATCGAAGAAGCGCAAAGAAGCCAAGAAAAATGGGGATCCAGACTACCACAGAATCCGTGCGAAGGTCGATCGTCCACGATTGGGGCAGCTAATTTGGGTTTCCTGCACCAGGCCCATATGTATGTGTCCTTGATGTGTCCTACCCCTGTGGTATTTACTCAGGTGGTGGTTACAGATTTGCTGTTCACGGAGCCAATTGTGATGGCCTTTAGTGTGAGTAGCCCTTGACCTATCGTTTAAAATTTCTGTACTCACCCTGAATGCCACTTGATGTAGTTGTGGATTGGCTTTGCTTGGGGTATTATCTATGGCGTAATCGAGTGAGTGGAGGCCCGTATTGTGTGTTTGCTGTGCTAATCAATAACCTGTTCCCTGCATAGATCCATGGGTACTGTCTTCAAGACGCTTCATAACTTTAATCAAGGGCAGATTGGGACAACGTTCGTCAGCATGGTGTGCGTCATACTACTCGCCTCCTCCTCCCAATGCTAACATGATGGCTTTCTTACCACGTATCATAGCATCGGGACACTCTTCGGCTTTATAACAATTCGGTATCAGGAGCGACTTTATAAGTATGTTTTCCATCTATCTCGCTTCACGCTAGGGTGATTTCGACCACGTTCAAATAGGAAACATTATCCGAAACAAGATATGGAGGCTCGACTTTATACAGCATGTTTCGCAGCAATCTTGCTCCCGGCGGGCACTTTTATATACGCGTGGTGCTCTTTCCCATGGGTGCACTGGATTGGGTTGATCATTGGTATCGTGGTATGCACCTTCCCTTTTATTGCGAAGTTATAGTCAACTGATTTCTGGATATGTACGCACATCTAGATCTTTGAATGGGCGTCATTCCTGATTTACCACTCGGTGTTCACCTACCTCGCTGACTGGTATGTCCTTCGCATCCGTGCAAAAGTGACTTTCACTGATGTGCATCCACCACAGCTACGGCCCATTTGCATCGTCTGCGCTGGCTGCGCAGAGCTTATTCCGTACGCCCATCTCTCCATCGTTGCTTGTTTCCCAAACCCAGATCTACGCTCTGTTCAGTCTGATGATTTAGCCACCTATATACAGGTAATATAATGGGAATGGCCTTTCCACTCTTCATCCAGCAATTGCTGAAGGCTCTGACGTTCAAGTGGGCGAATACCTTGTTCGCCTTCGTGGCCGTGTTGTTACTACCAATACCATACGTAAGTAACACCTCATCTTCCCGTCACCCGTGGTATGCTTAATTGTTGTCATGGGCGGATTTGCTTACCAGGTACTGTGTTTCTATGGTCCATCCATTCGGTCGCGCAGCAAGTTTGCCAGTGCGGTTATGGCCAGCCAACACAAGGCTCCTAGGAAATAAGTCTATCACCATACTTCTAGGGCCACTCCCCGTTGTTGATGAGCTTTCATGAGGCGACCTCGCATCAGAAACCCACGTTAGAAAGTGGACAACGGGGTTTCTTTCAAATACGCGACCAATTTGTATATAGGTGAATCCGCCCAACCATCTTCATAGATGAGAAGCAGTATCCCCGTTTGTGCTCGTCAGAATGCAGGAGACGCTTGAAGCAGATTGATTCCTTATCCTCCCGTGGGCAACAACTCCACTTCAGTACATCTTCACCCTCATCTTCTCGGCGCACCGTATTGACGCTGCCCTATTCGTATTCACCGTCCACTTCAAACTCTCCCGGCCCAACCTGCCCAGCACAAGCACTTCCGGGATATGCACCATCAGCGTGCGCCGATACATGCGTGTGCTGGTACTCAGGCAATATGATGGCAGGCCCACAACTCCACTGATCTTCCCAAGCAACCCAAGATGCCCACCACGCATATGCCCCCCTCTGTTCTAGCTTCGACTTACCAAAGATAACGAGTATCAGGTAGTCTGGTTTGGAATTGAGAGACGACCACAATGCTCTGCGCCGCCTGTCCCCCGACCCTATTTCCTTAAAATCTGGGCAGCCCGCTCCCTCAAGCTCTCGTACATTTGACCCATCTAGATCTAATTGTCTTGGAGGGTGCAGGTGCTGACCAGATTGTCAACTCTCACCTTCTCTCCTTGATCGACCATTTCATTCCAACCTTTTTGCCTGCGTTATATCTGAGGAATGGCTATGCGTAGATGCAGTAGATGCCTGAATGAAGAATCTGTAAGTCTTCCAACACGACGCTCTGTTCGCGCTCTTGCCGCGCCCCCTAGTCCACGTGGTCTTGTTTGCACACATGCAAAGGCCACGCTTTGGAACTCGCATCCTTATCGTTTAGCCGGCTATCAAATAACAACACTAGTACTGGCTCCTGCTGAACGACTGGACCCCTTCTGGTTTCAGGTAAAGTCATACTGTTCCGACTATGGTTGCTATTTCGTTATCTTAGACTGATATGATCAAGCCGCCAGACGGACTAATCTTGTTCATTAATGGCGACTGCGAAATCGGTGCGGAAGGTTATACAGCAACGGAGAGGAGAGGGGGGACGGAATGGATAGAAGAGGTCGGGATAGCGCATCGTTGAGGATGATAAACTTTTCCGACATTATATCTTGATTTTCCCTGTGTCAACTGCGAAGATGGATGTCCCAGGAAACATCGGGGTGCAATAGGATACAATTCAAAGAAGTCACTTCGCTCTGGAGAAATGAGTCGAGGCGCAACTGTCAAGCCAACTCGGAAGTGTAAAGCCCAATCCAACGATGTATTGAATGAGGAAGCTTGCAATCGTGATTCACGCACGATAGGAAGTAAAAGGTATAGGGTATGCATCGTCTCCGCCTGCAAACACAGCAAAGCTACCATAAGTGATAAACATTTTGATTTATCGGCGTTGGGGCAAGAGGTAGAGGTTTTTGTTGTGGCTGTACCGAGGCTGTACAGGGAGCATACGAGGCAGCCTTGTGACCCATTTACGATACATTTGCTAAGTTAGGTGCCGACTTCGCTGTGGGTGTCGTAGCCGGTGTCGAGGTTACAATATTCGCTGTCGACCTGTCGCTTCTTCTTCCCCACGACAACTTGGGCCTCCGTGATGGCCTTTTTTGGAAAGGCCTACACAGTCATCTTCTTTTTCTCGTATCAACCCAACCGTTGTGGCCCTAGTCATCAGCAAGCCCCTAAAGGCGCAAGGCAAAACTTGGTTCGTGACGAGTTCGCCTTGTATTCAAATAACGCAGTGATTCTCATACAACCTTCCGCAGTGTTGACGAATCACATACGTCGGCACTCATGCATCATGCATCATGATTCACGCTGCCGGAAATGTTGTGATCGCGGATTCAAGCGTCGACAACGGTGAGGAACAGTGATGGTGTATAATTGATACAGTTACCGGTGGCTAGATCTTGTCGATATCGACCGTTGACAGTTCTTCGTGCTCGAATTCCGCACCAGCACAGCACAGCTCCATTACGAGTCCGACTCAACTGGCGACCAGACCAGGGCAAGCTACTTTGCTGACACAGTGAACTGACACGAGCTATTATCGAAGAGTTACAGATTCGTCGAGGCAGCGATGGACAACGGCGCAAGATGGCGCGTGCGGTGGACTCGCAGGCAGGTTTCACGTCCAATCCTGTAGGTCATCGCGATCGCGGACAAAGGATTAGTGCGCCGTGTCTAGGTGGGTAGTTGGTGCACGCGCTAGCCGAGCTGACTCACTAGTCCCCACAGATTGAGTCGCGATTGCGGCGGGATGATGCCGGGGGCGCAGACTGATTTGGTAGAAGATTAGGTTAGGATGAACGAGCGACATAAGTAGTAGTAGATCAGCATAGACCTGAGAGCCCACCAAGGCCAGCAGGGGCACAAGACGCATGTGGTCCCCCCCGTCCTTGTATGCTGTGAAACACTGGCCCCGACAAATGGTGCATGCAGATCAGTCCGAGTGGCTGGATGACGGACAAGCGACCGTTCTCAACGCGAAAGCGAGCGTGAGCGTGACACGAGCACTGGCGAGTGAGTACGTGTCCGTAGCCCACAAGAATGACTAGTTTGGGAACGAATGACAGATCTAGACGATAGACTGTCCACAAAGAGATGTTGCTTCGCACGCCAGACTTAATGTTAATGTCAATACGCCATATGAATGAATGAATAAAAAGAAGCAGGTGCGTTATTTCACCAATCATTGAGAGAGTATATCAGCTGCGAGATTGAACTGGAGGAGAGATAGAAAGTCAGGAGGGGTTCCGGTTATGGAATGCAGATGTATGGGATGTTGATGGGATGGGTATTGTCTGACCAAAGGAAGTGAGCATCCTCAAGGCCTCATGGCTCACCGCTCCAGAAACTGGGATGTGCGACGGGGGTGTTTGAGCGGCGACAAAGTGGTTCGGTTGTACGTAGTAGGCGGGAACATCGCTGAGTTGGAATTTGTGGCCTTCTCCACGTGATGGAATTCCCCAATATGGAATCCTTCTCCTACACCGGTCGGTTCGAGCAACATTGTCTTGATAGAAAAATCATCCGTCGGTCATTATTTTATTTCAGTGACACCCTCTTGCAAACAATGGTTCGACCGAGGGCGAGCTTTATGTATCCTGGGAGCAAGCATGTAAAGTCCACTCTTTACATGTTACTCAAAAGGTTTGCAATCCATCATAACATTTTCTGTGGCGGGACCAGGGACTAAAGTCACCAAACACCAGATCGCCTGTCCCATCTTCGTCGCATCCGTGTATGTCACTCCTATCTGTCCCCCGTTCCTACCACCCACCCCTGCGATGCCATGCTTGATCTCCTCCGCCATCTCCCTCACATGGGCCACCACCCATCCGATGATCCCCCACGGCCTCAAGTCCTACCTCCATTACTTCTCTCGCTCCCCTTGCTGCCGCGGCCTTTATCACCTGGTCCGTCTCTCGCGTATCCTGCAGCACGATTCTCTTGGCATCGGCCTGTAATTCCTCCTTTACTCTGGGGATCTTCTACGCTGTCGCTATCGCACTCATAAACTCCCAGAGCCGCGTGGATGTTCACCTTGGACTTCTCAGCTGCCTCGCGAAGGTTTTACCGGACCAGTGGGCGTTGCTTCTCTGCTTGACTTCGGTCCACCTTCGTTGTGTTCATCCCTCGCTGTAGCTGGTACCAACGCTCAGCCCGCGGCTCTTCTTTGATCCTGCTCCTACCACAGGTGGCTGATATACCACCATTTTGTTCCCGCTGAACGTTAGCTTCATCCCCACTTTGAACCAAGCATTGGATATGGATCACGTCCCACACCTGGCAGGTTTGCGGCACCATGCGCAAGTCGTAGACCAACCTTCTGATTCAGTAGAGGGGGAAGCGAGTATTGACGACAATACCGTACAAGTACAAATCTCCGCCGACGGTACGAAAAGTGCTGCATCGCCGTCGTCGACGGTCGGCACTAGCAAGGACATCCTTGATGTAGAGAAGGGAGCTACCGTCAGTGTAGAACATCCTGGATACCGATATGTATGAGTGATTGCTGCTTCCCGACAATGCTATCTAATAACCTTCCTCCTCCTTAGATCGACTTCGAAGAAGACGACCCTCGCAATCCAATGAATTTCACGCGTCGCAGAAAATGGGCCATTACACTCGTCGCCTCGATGTCCACTATTCTCGCATGTAAGTCGCGACATAGTTGTGGTAGCGATCGTCGTAACATCCGAATGTTCCAGCCTCCGCGGCGGGAGCTTATAATATGGGGGTTCCGTCAATGCTTCGCGATTTAAATTGCACGGAGTTTCAAGCAGCAGTAGGCCTCGCGGTCTATCCCCTTGGCTTCGGCGTTGTCCCTCTTGTGACAGCTTCATGGAGCGAAGAATTTGGCCGAATGCCCTTGTACGTCGGTAGCGCTGTGGGATTTTGTGCCATGTTTCTAGGCACAGCTCTGTAGGCCCTCATTTCAACAGAGCGCTTACCGCCTCTTACGCCGACCTTGGCAGAGCGAAGAATATCCAATCCGTCATAGTTATGCGGTTCTTGTTAGGCGCGTTTGGGTCCACTGGCGCTACCATGGTCGGTGGCACGATTGCCGATATTTGGGCCCCGCATGAGTGCGTGAATTTCGGTGCTTTCGCATTTTCCGGGTTTGACTTTGTTTACAGACGTGGCCTGCCCATGGCTTTGTTCTCTGCCGCCGCCGTAGGAGGTACCGGCGTCGGTCCAATTCTTGCCGGCTGGATTGAAATGAATCCGCATCTTGACTGGAGATGGATTCAATGGATACAGTTAATGTCGGTGTTTGCCTTCTGTTGTGTCGTCCACGAGGCTGATCATTTCCATCTGTGTAGGTACAGCGTCGCGTATACTCTGATCCTACCGTTCGTTCTTACTGAGACACGATCTGCCATCCTCATCAATCGCCTCGCATCGAAGGCGCGCAAAGAGGCCAAGAAAAATGGCGATCCGGATTACAACAGAATTCGTGCAAAAGTCGATCGACCACGATTGGGGCAGCTGATTTGGGTTTCCTGCACCCGGCCCATTTGTGGGTGTACTTTCTTACATCTATGCCTGTTGCTATTTACGAAGGCGTTGCAGATTTGTTGTTCACGGAGCCGATTGTGATAGCGTTCAGTGTAAATTGCTCTTGATCTATCGGTGATAATTCTTTGACTTACCCTGAATCCTACTCCGCGTAGTTGTGGATCGGCTTTTCTTGGGGTATCATCTACGGTGTCATCGAGTATGTGGACACCCGTATTGTACGTTTGCTGTGATAATTAATAACCTGCCTCCCGCCTAGATCCATGGGTACTGTCTTCAAGACACTCCATAACTTTAATCAAGGGCAGATAGGGACAGCGTTCGTCAGCATGGTGTGCGTCATGCTATGTGCTTCCTCCTCACGATGTTCACGATATTTGTTTCTCTTCGACCATCGTAGCATCGGGACTCTCTTCGGCTTCATAACGGTTCAATACCAGGAGCAACTTTATAAGTATGTCTTTCATCTAGCTTTGTACATCTATTGCTGACTAGTTAAACTCGCTCTTGTTCGTATAGGAAATATTATCCAAAGCGAGATATGGAGGCCCGATTGTACACAGCGTGTTTCGCCGCGATTTTGTTCCCGGCAGGCATCTTCATATACGCCTGGTGCTCTTTCACGCGGGTGCATTGGATTGGTTTGATTATTGGCATCGTGGTATGTGCCTCCCCTTCCGAACGCAAATTTAGCCGACTGATCTCTGGATGTACACGCACATCTAGATCTTTGGATGGGCATCGTTCTTGATTTACCACTCGGTGTTCACCTACCTCGCTGACTGGTATGTCTTTCGCATCAGTGCAAAGGTAGTGGCATGTACTGATGTGCATGCACCCTAGTTATGGTCCATTTGCATCCTCTGCGCTAGCTGCCCAGAGCCTATTCCGTACGCCCATCTCTTTGTCGTTGTTTTCACCTAAATCTACGTCCTGTTCAGTCTAATAACCCAGCGATCCAAATACAGGTAATTTACTGGGAATGGCCTTTCCGCTCTTCATCCAGCCATTGCTGACGGCGCTTACGTTCAAATGGGCAAATACCTTGCTCGCCTTCGCCGCTGTGTTGTTACTACCAATACCATATGTACGTAACCTTCTGCCCGCCACCTATGGTATGCTTACTCGTTGTGGGCCGATGCGGATATTGCTTCGCAGGTATTGTATTTCTTTGGGCCATCCATTCGATCTCGCAGCAAGTTTGCCAGTGCAGTGATGGCTAGCCAACACAAGGCTCCTAGGAACTAAGTCCGTCATCCACACTTCTAGAGCCGTTTTCCGTTGTCGATGAGTTTCCATTAGGCGAATTCGTGGCAGAGTTCACCTTGGAAAGTAGACAACGGGATATCCTTCAAATATGCGACCAATATGTACATAGATGAATCCACCAAACGACCGTTTTGGACACGCGGTATCCCCGTTTGTACTAACAAGAAAGTCTTGCAGGAGGCACCTGGAACGAATTGAGACTTGGTTGAAGGATCTCATGTTTGGTGCTTGTATGCCCAGTTAGCCTGGTAAAGTGATTTCGAACGATCCTCTTCCCGCCTCCCCTCTCCGCTGTCGCGTCCATCGCTTCCTTGTCTTCCCCTAGGCAAAAACTCCACCGGCACATGGTTTACAGTGGCAAGATTGTTGAATGGTCGTATATTCATACTTCAGAAGCCGCCCCACGAACTCGACCAGTAAATATCGCTTTGAGCTCCGGTGCGTACCAACCAGTGGCATGCACAGAAAGGTCGTATCGTTGGGATGTACATGGTCTTAAAGTGTCAACCTTTTGTCGTGTATATCAAAATAAGAAATGAACAATCTACAATGGCCAACCTAACGTGTATAAGCTCAAATACAATACGAACGTAAAACCCAGATAGAAAATGTTAAGATTCTAGGTTCATTTAGGGATCGTCAATCAGAATCACCGAGATTGTTCACCGAGGTTGAAAACCTGAGATCCAATCGATGGAAGTGTTTATTCGGCGAGTCTCAGAAGTCAAGCTTCAATATCGAATGATATAATCATGGAAATGACCATGCCTGTTGTCGCAACCCGCAGCACTGCATGCCAGAAACGGATAGAATGTAGAATAGGAGGAACATTCATTGAAAGCGAAAATCTCGGGCTGATGATAAAAAACATGCCAGCGGGATCATCAATTCAAGAGCTGAGATCTGAAAGTCCAAGAAAGTTGAGATGATGACTCCACTAGACAATTCGTCTAAGTAGCAGAGACTTGCGAATTACAGCTGTGGAACGAGGGCCTCCTTTGCTCTGCCTTTGCTTCAGACTACCACTGTGACGCATGAACGTACCGCGTTATCAACCCCTCCATTCGTAATTCGTACTGAGAAAAATATCTAAAGAAGAGTGTTGACGTTGGTTTAACCACGGTTGTACGTAGTTAGATCGTGGGAAAGTGCTGATCGAGGATTGATGATCCCTTGAAACGTTCAAACGTTCAAACTCAAGGCTTGCGAATCTATTTTTCTACGAAAATTCAACACATCTCTCCTCTGACAAGCCCAGAGCATTTTATCCAGCTAAAAGTCGATCACTATCTCATGCAAAGAAACACTGTTGAGTCTCAATGTTGTCGCTGTTTCAGATGTCTTTCTAGCCCTCGAACAATGAGGGCTTCTGTGGCAAGAGACAACCAGTAAGGGAAGTGTCGCGTCACACAAGGTCGCACAGGGGAATGACAGGGGTAATTCGTCCTGATTGTGCAACACTGCTGTAAGGGCAACCTCAAGATGGCCGCACAGCGCAAGCCTAGTAGAGGGAGAATCCAAAGAGAATGAATAAGACTAACTACAATACATGAGAGAGCTGCTCACCTAGCAGAGGGAGAATCCAAAGAGAACAGGATAAGGATTCTCCATGCTAGGAGGCGAAGTATATACTGTAGTAGCGTGAGAGGAATGCAGGATAACTGTACAGTACACCAGCCACAAGTCCGAGCGAATATCACAAGGTACAAGGAAACATGTGATAATGAAGTGGAAGGGGAATGTACAGGAGTCGTGCCGGCGACCTGGTGGGGACAAGGAGTAATGAAGTGGGAAAGGAGGATAGAGGTAGCCCAGACGAGCCCCGAAGTGTATCTACGAGTCCGAGCAAGTCCGAAGCGTCCGAGCAAGTCCGAAGTGCGGGAAGACTTCAGAGTCACCGGACGAAGCTCGGATGTGAAAGGAGTGAGTGGAAAGGAAGTGGAAAGGAAAGGGGACAAAGGGGATGTATGTAAGAGTCCGTGGAATGAAGGAAGGGGGAAAGGAATGAGGAGGAAGGGAGGGGGACAGGAGAATAGGAGAAAATAGGAGTGTCCCCTTACATCTCCACTCCGTCTTCCCCGTGGTCAAACTCTCTCCCTTCGTCCCGGACCCCATTCCGGGTAGACACCCTGTTGCTCCGCCACCTCTGCAGCTCATTGATGGAGAAGAAGAGCATGAGGTAGAAGAGGTCTGGAACAGCAGACGGTTTGGTTGGGTCCTGAAGTATCTGGTACGCTGGCGAGGCTATGGCATTGAGCACGACTCCTGGGAGCCTGTGAGCAACCTCCGGCACGCTGCCCAGAAGGTCAAGGACTTCCATGATCGTCATCCGGATGCAGTGTGCTTACTCCGGACGAGTCCGATGACTCCGACGACCCCTGCACCGCTCCGGATGACTCCTACAGCACTGGACCAGTCCTGGGAGCGTTGGCGCAGTTGGAAGGCTCCGGGCTCTGTGCAATCGTACTTCGACATCTTCTCGCAGCAGTCCGGAGTTTCGGGGTTGGTGAATTCATGGCGTGGCAGGCAGGAATCTTCGCGTCGGGTCGCCGCAACCTTGAAGGGGGGGTGATGTAAGGGGACACTCCTATTTTCTCTCCTTTCCTTCATCCCATGGACTTTTACCTACATTTCCTTTGTTCCCCTTTGTTCCTTTTCACTCCCTTTCCTTTCCACTTCCTTTCTGCCCACTCCTTCCGCATCTGAGCCACGTCCGGTGACTCCGGAGTCTTCCCGCACTTCGGACTCGCTCGGACTCGCTTCGGACACTTCGGACTCGCTCGGACTCGCTTCGGACACTTCGGACTCGCTCGGACTCGTCTATACTCTTCGGGGCTCGTCCGGGTTACCTTTATCCTCTTCCCCCACTTCGTTACCCTTCGCCCTTACTTCCCCAAGTCGCTGGCACGACTCCTGTGCATTTACCCTCCACTTCATTATCACATGTTTCCTTGTACCTTGTGATATTCGCTCGGACTTGTGGCTGGTGTACTGTACAGTTATCCTGCATTCCTCTCACGCTACTACAGTATATACTTCGCCTCCTAGCATGGAGAATCCTTATCCTGTTCTCTTTGGATTCTCCCTCTGCTAGGTGAGCAGCCCTCTCATGTATTGTAGTTAGTCTTATTCATTATCTTTGGATTCTCCCTCTGCTAGGCTCGCGCTGTGCGGCCATCTTGAGGTTGCCCTTACAACTTCACCCGAAAATATTCTAAAAGTTAGCAACAAGTAAGTATAAGAAAAAAAACTATTGATTACAGATATTAATTTGTTAAGTCTTTGGGACTTTAAGCTTACTTTCGGGCATAGTATTGAATGTGGCAGTGTAAGATATTTTAAGTGAAAGTAATTAATTAATAATCCGTTTACTTGAATATTATTTTCATCGATCCCAGGGTGAAAGTATCAATCCGTGCACGGCGTGTTACCGTATCAGGTATATTTCTGTTACAGCTTCATGCTTGCTCTCAAAAAGGAAGAAACTCTACTGCATTGCAAGTTCAACTGATTTGCTCTTTGGTAGCACGCCTATTGCTGCTGCTAAGATCTTGCCGATTGTCGATGCAAGTTTATGGGTGAAAAGGGTTTATCCATCCCCTTGAACATGCTACAGTAAGCAGCCTTCACTGCGGAAGCAGAAAATGACGCCTACCTTCTCACATAGTGACATGTATGAAGGATGCTTGGGCTGCCCCTGTCAGCCCCTTGTGTACCCCTGTATACCAGTATTTCGCTCTACTTTCCATAAGGGATAGTACGTCCATCCAGTCACGTACAGATGATCTACCTTTGATCTGGAGAGATGTTTTTTGGGTGTTGATAGGTGTTAATCTGGATACTTCAAAAACTTTAAATAAATCACGTCTCCAAGGCAACACTTGGACACCGGTAAGGATTACTTCCAGGAATGCAAGCATACAACTGGCATGTGAGCACCAGGCTACGTCGCCGTTCAATCTCATGCCTTCGGCTATGACAACCGAGGCTCGAGGATTGCTAATATTGTCACAGTGTGCCTACCGCAATAATGGCATCACTGACACGTCAGCCTCTCGTGCATGACTTGGCACCAGAGTATTCACTTCAACTCAATTGGTGGCCGAACGTTCGCCCAGAGTATATTACTGTATCGGCGCTCTACGGTGTGTCGATTGAATGAGGTACCTGCATATCTCCCCTTCGTTGACTAGGCGCCTTTCACCTTCTTCACTATCGAGCACTTCAGTGCATTAAGGCAGGCTCCGCCAATAGCTTTTGCCGCGTCCAATGCGGATATGCCGCCGTCCTGGACATCTTGTGCCGGTGCCGGCGCGGCAAAAGCAACAGCAGCGAAAGCGGCGAGTAAGAAGGTGACGCGCATGTTGGGAGTCAGATGGCGAGGACTTTGAGTCGACTCGGTGGCTAATGGTAAAACACATTGCCATGTGTCAATTGCGTGCTCACTGTGACTTGTTGTATACTCACCAAGGATTGCTAGATGCTAAATGATGCGTGAAACGGATGCCCTCGGCGCATTTATAGCCACCTACAACGCGTAACAGTCAACTTGGTACACCCAAATTGTTGTGCTACTATAGGTTAATTATTAGTCGGGTTATCCTAGTCCAGAAGAAAACTAGCGTACCAAAAATCAAGGTAGAGCCTTGAATTCGAAGCACATGTGTGTTCGGTTTGACCCCTCCGTCACAGCCTAGAGGGAATCATCGCAAGGCTGTGATAGCACCTAGAGCATCAGGGTCATGGTAACAAATAGTAGAAAGTGGAGAGCTAAAGCACCTAATTAAACAACGAACCTCCACAGACTATAAGGCAAGCCATCATATCGGATAATCAGAGGGCTTGACATCGTGAATGGAACCACACCATCGGTACTAGCACAAGCCCATGGCTGATTTAAAAGCTCCAGTAGCGGTCGACGAAACAAGTTTAATTCAATGTTGGCGGACGCTTGGTATCATACAATTAGGGTAACTGTGATTGAATAGGTGGAAATGTACACATGGATGCGAATCTGACTTGGAGGCGGCAAAGGAATGTGGGAAGTTAACGTTGGTATAATGCGATTGTGGGTAAGGAGTGTGGCATGGATGGGGTTCGTGCCAAATATCGAACAAATGAAAGTCGTGAGAAGGATTCTTTACTGTCCCCGGTGGTGTAGAAAGAACAACGAAGCGAAGGGCTGCCATTATTTACGCAAGAAACAAGTGGATAAATAATAGCATCACGATACAAGACTACTATATACTACCGGCGAGATCCATGAAAGTAAAGCGACAACGGATTTTGGAAATAGCAAAGAGTACAGAGCTAATCCGAGCACGAAGTGTTCATGTTGTGTTCTGGGAGTGGAAGAAGGTGTAAAAAAAGAATGTGTGAACTCACATGACAGTCGTGAAGGGTGCTTCAAAGATAGAATGATACTGACAGCAAAACGAACATAGCAGAATGGAGGGCGAATCATAAAAAATACAACTTTGGACCGAAAATACAACAACTTTGCGGTCGGACCCAGTCTCACGTTTCGTCCATGGATGATTCAGGACGATCGCGATTTTCGCCTTTCCTTGTACCCTCAACGACACCTTGTCTGCCTTCGGCGGTAGGTTCCGTACTCGGCTGTTGGAAAGTGGGGCGATGGGACCCCAACCTCGAACTAGATGGCTGTCGATTGAGAGAAGGTCGTTCGCCAGAGTTGCGCTGACCGGCACTGTTAGAAACCCTGCCAAGAGGAGAAGGCCCTCGCCCGGGACCCTCACGAAAGGCCTGTGGAGGTGATGGGACGGCTAATCTCGACATCTGAGGTGATGTCGACGGAGGTGCTATCTCAGACTGGTGATGAGATCGGGGAGGATCCAGGCGAGCCGCAGAGGTAGAATGGCGGCGTGCATCGAAAGACGCCGGCGAGTTTGTCCCTCTTTCGATTTCTTCACGATAATCTCTATCGCGCTCCTTGTCCGGGCCCCAACCTTGCGATTCCACGTTCCGCATTGGTGCGTCGGGGCGAGCGCGTTCGGAAGAAGGCCCCGGAGGGAAGGCATACGACTCTGTAGCAGCGCCATTGCGAAGACCTTTGTCACCTGTGTCGGCACGATCATGTACACCGTCCCGTAACATGTCCTCCAACTCATCCACACGTCGTCGCAAAGAGGCCATCTCGCTCTTCATGCCTCCGGTGCGCCTCTCAACGAGGGCCTCTACGGTCTCGTTTAACCTTTCCTGCTGCTGCGCTAACCCTTGCATCAGCGAATTTGATTTGGCTAGTTGTTCCGCCAACCAATTCTTCAGCTGCTTGGAATCATTTAGAGCGTCATAGAACATTTCGAATGGAGCAAGAAAGGCTGACTTGTCACCAGAGTATCCGGGATACTGCAGTGCACTGGGTGTGGGTGGTACCAGGGTAGATGAGATAGCAACTGAGGGTACAGGCGGTGAACGGCCGGTGAATGCGGGGATAGGATGTGCCGCTGCTCCCGCCCCAGAAGCCATACGCTGCTGCATGGCGAGCCTCGTAGGGGTAGGAGGGACTATTCCACTTCCAACTTTTCGCCCAGAATCCCCTCCGCTTGCTACCGATGGCAAGCGAGGGAGTGTCATTGGAAATCCCCCAGAATATAATGCTGCTTGTCCACCAGCTTGAGGGATTGGCGGCGCGCTTTGAATAGCAGGAGCAAACTGCTCCTGAGTGTGTGCTTCTCGGGGACTGATGACGATGTCAGCGGGTTTCCTCTTGCCCCCCAGGAAGCCTGCACGGCGACGGGCGAAGCTGATTGGCGGAGGACCAAGGGTATTAACTCCTGGTGCCTGCTGCGGTTGTTGGCTGGGTACTACGATGGAGTTGGGACTAGGTGGACGATTGATGGCGCGGCGTGTGACGGGGACGTTCAGCACGGGATTCGGGCTACGTCGCGTTCGCTGCGGGACTGATGACTTCTGCGCCGTCCTCTCTTCTCCAGCCGTTTGTGGAGGTGTACCGCGACTCGTTCCGGGTGACAGAATTCCAGCTACGCTGCCTCTGCGCTGCTCTATAAGGGCCTTTTGTTGCTGGCTGATTGAAATAGATGATCGTACTTGCTCGATGGCAGCGGGGTCGTCACGAATGGTGAATCCCCTGACAACAGGTGAGATAGGAGTGGAGTTGGTCTGGTCAGTATGTAGACGCAAGTCAGTGTTCAGATTCAACGCATGGGGTGCACCGCTGAGGGTCGCTGCTCGGCGCCTTTTCGACGGTGACGGTTGCAGCGAAGACGGAGGAGGGATGTTCGCCGGGTCCGGGGGATGCCTAGAACCAGCCTTCGGAGATGCATGCAAGGATTCTTGTTCCTGCTCTTCTTTGATCTGAACAATATGCGGCGAGTGCCGCCTATGTGTGAACATCGAAATGAGCTGATAGTAGACATTTGATGAGTATGGAACTCACTCAGAGTCGGAGAGTTGGTCATCGCGCTCAGGAGACGTGATATCTGCCCTAGCGCGTTTCTTGCCAGCTACTCGACTGCCAGGGGCCTCCTCGCTCGGGGGGCGTGAACGATTTGAGGGAGAAGCGACGCGCCTATTTTCGTTAGCATTAGACTGAATCGGAGGCAATGAGTTGCCCCCCGACGAGATATTGCCCAGGTTTGTGTTGCTGAAGGCCTGCGCGAACGGCGGCAGCGACTGGGGGGCGTGCGTGGCGACGCTGGCGTTGTGGAAGGACATTGCGTAAGTTGGGAGGAGGGATGGGAAAATAAAAACGAGGGTTAAACGAGGAAAGGGCAAAGTTAGGAAGCAAAGCGGCAGAGAATTTCGAAGGGCGGGCAAATGCGTGAAGAAAGCGTAATGTGAGAAGGAGAGAAGCTGGACGTCGTGGCGAACGGCGGACTCGGTGTGGTCGTCGTCGTTCACGACGATGGGAGGTAACCAACGAAGAGGGAAGGCGATGGTTGCTTCGTCCTTGTGCGCCAAGAATCAGCCAAACCGGGAACTCTGTTTTAATTTAACAGAATTCCATAACAGAACCATTTTTCGTCCGATCATCACACTTTCACTCTGAAACTGCTTATCGCAATCTACCGAAAAAAGGACCAAAATACCGCCAAAGTTCTGCACTGCAATGGTGCCTCTGCGAAACATACTTCAAATCCTCCCATCATCATGCCGTGCACAGCTCCATCATTTGATATCTTTCCTCATCAGCCTTGCATTTATATTGCACGGACACAAGCCAAATTACATTCTCGATTGACATTTACTTAGGCCGTCTCTCCAATGGTCCATCTTTTAAAAATACCCTGATTAAACCCACAGTGTAAAGTAAAATGAGAACAATGCACTCACCTCTGCTTTTCATCAGGCCCTTTTCTTCTTCCTCCGAGCTGTCAACAAAGTCACATGCGCACTTGCATCCGTGTTGTCAGTGGAATTCTCCTTGATTGCACCCACGCCTTTCTCCGTGGGCTCTTTGAGCGGAGGGTTGCTGACGCAGACGGAGCCGTAGATATGCGACCGGTAGGTCTCAAGAGATACAACAGGCTCTGGGAATGGATTCGGGGAGACATCAGGCACTGCTCGTTTGCCGTTCACCAATTTAGGTGAAGGTGTTCGCGGGAGTGCGAGATATGGTGATGGGTCTGGGGTTTGTCCTCCGCCAACATCATGTGGGGAGGAAGCTCGGAGAGGGCGAGGTGCATGGATCGTGGAAATTGGCACCACTGGAATGGTCTTCAAACCTTCGCACAAACCTTTAATCGCTCCCTCTATCGCCTCTGTCCCCCGTACTGCTCGCTCTTCCGTAGAGAATTCAACGCCAGAGGTAAGTGAAGTCATGATGCGTTTATTAATTTGGGACGAGACTTGCCCAGGTTGCGGAGCGAGAGGGGACGGGCTTGACGTTGGCTGGTCAGAAGGTGGCAAGGGTGCGGATAATATAAGCGTAAAAAAGCCAGTCACCGCACCGGCAACGCATTCTTGACGGAAAGACATCCGTTCCCAAAACTCATCAGGGCTCACCCTTCCCAATTCACCCAGGGGGGATACCTGGGTGCCTTTGGGAGAAGGCGGCCTCTCCGCTTCAGCCTTTTCGCGATCCGTTTGGGTGTGCGATAATTTACGCGGCCGTTTCCGAACAGGAGACTTGACACCGTCTTTATCAGTGATATACGCGATTTCGTCCATGAACCGAGACTTGGGGTCATCGTCGAAGTAAGGGATGAAGTGTCCCAGATTGGTTGACCCCTGTGCGTCACCTGGTGCGGGGCAGGGGCAGGGGATCTCGGTTTGTGAGTATGGGTGATTGTAATTCCAAACGTGAGTATCGTTGTGGGACGTGGGACCCGATTTCAGTATATTGAAGCTTTCAAGCTCGTTCATCCCTGGGAGGATATAATGGAGCCTAATGAGAGGTCGGGGGGTTATCAAGGAATTCAGCTCCGTCGCCACATCTGTGAGGACGCGTTTCCACCATGCGCAGAGCTTCGCGTCGCCAAGGGGGCGCTTTCCAGGATTTTCTGAGGAATTGGGGAATAAGTACTGGGCCTGCGCGCGCGCGAAGAGCTGGATCCAAACGTGATCAACTGCCACCGGCCGAGTGGTAGGACTCCCATAGTAAACGAGCAGCGTTCGAACAAGGGTCGATGTTGGAGATGGCGTGGAGGCGAATCCAGTAGAGTCGACCTTCGAGACGTACAACAGAGCGCAAGAGGTCGCCGGTAGGACGTAGACGCACGCTTCGACGGCAGTGACCAGTATTCGAGGCGAGTCGGGGGTCTTTTGTTCGGACAAAAGAATCAGAATATCCTGCAAATATGTGCGTGGCCTGGGTTGGGCAAATTGATACAGCTCCGAATGCTTTCTTGGAGCAGATACGAGAACATGAAGATGGAATTCTCGAGTTCCAGGTAGTTTCGCGAGGGCCGCGAGGATGCTGTCGCGCAAATTCGTTGTCATTGGTGGTGAGAGGCCGTGAAAGGCTGAAGACGTTCTTTCGTTGTGATCGTTATTGGCAAGCGCTGGAAATCACGTGTAGCACCCAATCAGGACGAGCAACAGGAGCCCTTAGGAGCTTCACAAACTCAACATATTATCGTAGCGATAGAGGTAAAGACCAGCACAAAGTAAGTTAAGGACAGAAGTCAGACGATTCATATCCTGTAGACCCTCCACTAAGGAATGATTAGACAACTTCTTGCGATCCACTCTTCGATATACACGTCGATGGAGTTAGCTCCTTGAAAGTAAGGATCATCACCCAGACATATTCCGGTGGATCAGTCTTACCTCCGCGGCACTACGCTCCCCTTTTGCTGCAATACTCGTTTCGACGGTTACGTTGATAGACAATGGTGTTGGCTGCGAGAACAGTCAAATATGCTGCGCATGAAAATACACAGCTGAGAATACCTTTATAATAGCCATGGGGGTTGAGAATTCTGGGTATGATATGACGCTGCGGTGTAGTTGCGACAACTGGAGAAACGATCCATCCCGGTGACCGATAGCCCTCTCTCGTAGGTAGTCGCGGCTATTGAGACTTTGTCACCAGTCGCGTCAGTACATGACACTTTGTAGCTATTGCCACACATACGCAGCCAAGAATGAATTCACGTAACCTAGTCCGGATTAATCAACGAAGACATACGCTAGCGGGATGTCTTACATTTTCCCAATATCCAGAAAAATGATAACCATACGAAATTCGTGGGCATGATGGCAAACTATTGATATGTTAGTATGTTATTCAAGGAGTTGATACGTACGTGAGATTCACCGTTACGACACATACTGACGCGATCACACTACATATTGCAAAGGATGAGTGGTCATCGGAGGAATCAAGCAAATTTCATCACCTGGTGACAAGACCTGTGGTTAGACTATAAGCGATCAGCGCTGATATCAGCGAGTCCGTTCTGCGATGGACGAGTGAGAAGGGCGGTGTGACTCGGCGTCCCGAGAAATGCTTGCCGCTTGAAGCCCGTTCGACTGCGCGTTAGATAGAAACACAGCGACACGGCGATAATAATGTCCGCGGCAGCAGCGCTCCCCAATCCAGTACTCGTTACCCACTGCGTGTTTCGTTAGATGACAGCCGGGTAAACGGGGCCGACACGTACGATGAGCTTGGGAAATTCTTTCACGGAAGCAAGGAGGAATCTAAAGCATGCGCTCAAACCTAAAGCCTGGGATCACGCGTAATAATGCCGACGCACGCTTCCACCGTGAAGTCTGGAGTAATCTTTGAGTGCTGTGGTGATTGACGGCAACGAGGACGATGCTCACATATTCCAAGACCTTATTTATACCTCTCAGTGAGCTTGAAGAGTACGAATTGTGTAGACGTACTGAAGTGGACGTTGGCCAGCACAATCTATAAAAATAAACATCAATGCCATTCGACGGTCTTGTAATTTGTTCCTTACAATGATACCAGTCAAAACCCAGTTCCTCGACACTAATAAAGTAACGTTAAGGTACGCAGTGCCTGAAATTACATCACTCACTGATCCAAACACGTCTTGCAAAGAACCTACAGGATACATTAATGCAAACCGAAGTGCACTGACCCACAGAGTATCCTCTCACAGCTCAACCACAAGCCCTATCAGTCCCTGAGCCTTGTGATGAGCAAATGACCACAAGGGGGAGCTAAAACTTACATTACAGTCGGTTTGTAGCTGACATGCGGTTCATGTAAAGGTCGTGCGAGGGATCAAGCTATTTAAAGTTGTATACTTACGTTCATGCTCCTGAGGCCCGCAATTACAGAAATATTAGCAACGCACGTGTACTCGGAGTAGAACGCGCTCACCAGTGTGTCTGGCTTAGCACCTCGGGGTTTGAGTAGTTCGTGACGAGGACCCTGCCACGATGTACGATGCATGAGCTTCTTCATAGGCACACTACCAAAGGTTCCGGAAGTAATACCAGTAGATAGTGATCGTACAAAGCACGAGATGTACGGTATCTAGAGCCCTTTGGTGTGGGCGTCCGTAAACGGTACGGAAAGGATCGTCTCCATTTACTCACCAGAGGAGTATAACCATGGACTTAACGAACCAGTAGTCTTGCGGATACCGCCTACGGACTGGGTTTAGAATTATGCTCCTTAGAGAACAATGCAAGGGGGGTCACCTAAAATACAAGTACCTGCAAAGGGGTGTCGCAGTAGTGAGTATACGGTCATGTTTGAACTCACGATTGAAGGATAGTGACGCCATATAGTCTGTCCAAGCGAGCCGTTCGTGATCAACTACGCGATGGGAAGTAAGGGACACGTCAAGACTCACATCGCCCCTACCACCAGCCCGATGAGTGCTCCGCCATACGTATCATCGAGTTTCGGAGGATCCATGGCAAACAAACGAAGTGGGCCCTCCCGTTCACAGTGGCTATTATATGCAAGGAGAACGTACTATTTAGATTGCTGTGAAAACCTGAGAATCACTTTCTGGGGTATGGGAGGGATGCCGGCTGCCGCTTTCGCATTACTGGCCCAAACATTCAGTGAAGAGCCGATAAACCCCCCAAGGCGTGAATTCTGAACTTCTAAGGAAGGAAAAATGACACGATGTGTGAGAACTTTGCTTGCTTCCGAACTATGAAGAGTTGAAGCCTCCTTACACACATAGGTATCGGAAAATAACTAGCAACTCAGTCTGAGAAGCCCGAATCAACCTTTGAGAGGCGCCACTGCTGATGTTTTCCTTCTGAATTCACTTCATGCGGGGTTCCTGCGGCGATACCTGGAAAAGTGATGATTGAAATAACAAAAGCAAAGAAGCTAAACAATATGCTACAAAGGAGGCAATGACAATATCCCAATCACGAAGGTAACTTGCTCAGGCGACATAAGCGAAGGTATCTCGTGTACCTTCAACACGCTCAATGTATTCCTTCTCTAATAGAGTATCGATGGCCTGAGAAAGTGGCTGAATTAGGGAAATAACAGCGTGGGGGTTACATAGTGCTTACTTTCTTGATGTCAGGTATCTTCGGGGCGAAGCGTTGCGAGATTTGAGAAATAACCTCCTGGATCAGGGCCTGATTCTTCATCGTCTTTCGAGCCTTCATAATACTGCTCGCCGAACGTGAGTTGCAATTGGTAATAGAGAGGAAAGACGACAGACCGAACGATCGTGGCTTGTATGACGTATTTTCTGTCCTCATCTACCGTCTTGAGCACATCCGTTGTTTCCGCTTTGACTTCGGCCTTGATAGGAAGATTCAGGTTGACACGAATCTTCTTCGACTTGAAGTCTACAAAGACTTAACAATGAATTGTAGCCCATATCGTAGTAACTCACTGGGGTTTAGATCGTATTGGTCTGTCTCTTCGTTGATGAGGATCTTCGCTTTGACCAAGAGAGCTAGAATCTGCGTCAAATGATCCTTGTTGATGGACGTCGCAGCTACAAGTTCGGATAATGAAAGAGTGTCGTTGTTGTTGTATTGCAGGAGGATCGCCATCTGGTACGAGCTCGTCATGAGGATGTACTTCTGGTTCAAGTAATTCGTCCGAAGTTCGTTCTTCGAGTAGTTCCAGAGCCATGTAAGCTTTCGACCCGAGTGCTTCGTCTGGTAGTATTTCTGGAACCGTTCGTAGGTTGGCTGGATCTCAGTGGGAATGATGAATTCGTTGTTCGGAGCGGTGAGAGGCCAGAAGTTCGTGCCAAGAACCATGATACTGAAGTTGATGTCCATATCATCGTGGTTCTGTTGCATTCTCTCCTTGAAGGAATCGGTGAGGTCCTTGCTCAGTGACATGTCTACGGTTTCATTAAGTGAACGTGTCGGGGGGGTGGCTATCCGTTCTTACCGGTGAACATGCGTTGCAATTTGTTCGTGTATTCGAAACCGCAGGCTTCCTTGAGCTTGGAGATCATGCTTGCCTCGCTTTCGTCGGAAGCGGAGACGCCGTGGATGAGGCGTTTCGAAAGCTTGGTGGTGTAGAACGTCTGGAAGACGTCCTTGTCCTCGATATATTTGAAGAGAATCATCTAATCAAAGTAAGATGATTGAACGTGCGGCCGTTACGGAGAAGCTTACAACGCGATTTAATGCCCCTTCGAGATCACCCTCTTCGGCCATCTTGTTGTTCTTGCGGAGCAGCATGTCCGCATGCTTGGCCAAAAGTTCGGGCGACTTCGAGGTTGACGTCCCGGTGGCGGCGTTTCGGTTGACGAACTCTCTGCAAGCCTTGTCGAGACTTGCGACGAAGCCCGCCTCACCCCGGAAACTTCGAGTGACGGTCTCAGAGTTCTTCTGGTGAATCTCGAGGAGAGCATCTACGTATGCCTTCGGATCAAGCGAGTCCACATTTTCTGCACCCTCCCCAATCAGCTTTGTGACGGCAGACAATCCGGCCTTCTTGACATGCTCCTCGAACTTCTTGCGCAAGGGTTCAAGGCCTTCGGGTATCCGAGAGAGTAAAGCATACATGCGTTGCAGATCCTCGTCTTTGTCGTAATCGAGCAGGCTTTGGAAGCTTTCCCACATGAGTTCGGAGTGTTCTCTAATGAGAACATGTTCGCATTTGCTTATGAGAGGTTTACGGGTTTGGGTATGTAGGTATCGTTCAACGCGATCCTCTTCCTCCCGAAGTCGCTCTTCGGCCTTCTTTAGGTAATCGGAAACACTGGATTCGGCTAAGAATGACTCGGATTCTTGCTTGTAGTATTTCTCGGTGGCGTCTATGAAGGGAACCTCGAAGTGCTCTTTGTATACATCGAGACACGCTTTGTTGATATCGGTGTCGTCCAAACCAAGGGAAACGAATGAGTCAACAACCTTCTTGACGAGGCCCTGATCTATTGTCTCGCCATTTCTTTGCTGCTCGATCAATCGCAAGATGGCACCAGCAAGCTTCGTGTTCTTCTGCTGTACATGCATGAAGAAGTTGGTTTTCCATTGCACGAGAGCCAATGTATACACAGGGTATACGCCCTTCCGTCCTTCGTCGCGCTCTCGCTTCACCCAGTGACGGTTCAGGTAGGTGAATAGCCGATTTATATAGTTCGCGCCGGTGGTGTACCGATCCCACTCACGAGCATAATATCGGAGCAGTTCTTCGTCCTGGAGCGCGTCCGATGCCTAGAGTTACCCAGAATCAGCCCGGAAGCCCGCTCATTAAGATCGACTAGGGTCCTTACTTCACGCAGCGTTTTCAGATGTGACACAAAGTATCGAATCAGGTTGTTGTAAAGATCGGATCCCATCAGGTTTGCCCCAGCTGCTTCCGAAGATGCGATGCATGATAAGACTTAGTTTGAGGGCATTGGCGTGAAAGACGCTCACAACGGTTGCTCAGCCCGGTCGGGTGGTCTGATGACGCGCCACTCATCTTTGACGACGTGCAATAGTTGTACGCCACAGTGTATAAGCTCATGTATTTGCTGAGTGTTTCGAAAGAGCATGGTCATCGTTCCATCTTAACAGCCACAGAAGCCGATTGATGGGTGCTTACCTATAGCTCACGCCGGTCTGGAGCTTGGTCATGATATGATCCACTCCTTCTTCGAGGAAAGCCCATGTCGTTGCCAAGTCAGCCGAAGCCGGAGGCATCGCGGGCCCAGCTGTCGAAGACATCTTGTCCGTGACTAAGGTATCTTCTGAGGCGTCGGATTTCAATAGAGGGAGGGACTTTCGCTTGATGAGTTTAGCGCTCTTGCGAAAGCCCGAAGAAATGCGATTGAGTATAGTAGAAGAAGGTGAAGGAGGAGAGATGGTGGGGATGGTGGTGGTAGGTAGTAGAGATCAGTATTTGGCGCCGGTCCGTCGCCTCGACTAGGGGCGTGCCACACTGAAGACGCGTGCCAGTGAAGTAGTGGTGTTCGAATTGCACACGAGAGTTGGGGGAGAATCATCTAAATAATAAATAATATCTATAGAGGGCCCCAACTACACTTTTACCCCCTTGTGTATACAGGCTATTCCTCCCCATAAGTCCACCCATGCGCCGCCGTCTTCGTCTTTTCCTGTGGTGAAACCGGCGTCTCTAATCATCTTCGCGAACTCGGGTTGTGGCGGGAATTTACGTATGGATTCGACCAGATATTGGTACGAGTCCCGATCACCAGCTAGAATCGTCCCAAGGAGGGGAATGACACTGAAGGAGTACTGGTCATACAACCTGGTGGCACTCATATGAATCACCCGTTGTAGCATCCTGAGCGAATACACGACTCACATGCTCATGAGAGGATTGTTGACCTTGCTGAACTCAAGGCAAGCAAACGTTCCGCCAGGCTTCAAGACGCGGTACGCCTCCTCAAGAACGGATGGTATGGACGTGCAGTTGCGGATACCAAATGCGATAGTATAAAGATCATAGGTATTATCTTGAAAATGAGCTTCGGGCAAGGCCTGGGCATTCGCTTCGTGAAAGGATACCTGAGGAGCTGCGCCAGAGTTCAGCAAGTGCATCAACCTATAAGAACTATGGAAAACAGACTGTTATGGTACATAGTCTTCTTGAACCGCTTGTAACCTTCTCCTAGCATCTGCCCATTGATGTCTACCACCTCCACGGTCGTTTCGCGGTCGGCGAACTTCTCCCGAGCATGGTCAAGAATTCGGAGAGCGATGTCTCCAGTACCCCCTGCGACGTCTATACACTTCATAGGTCCCTTCTTTCCCGGATTCAACGAGGAGACAAATTCATCCTTCCAAAGTCGGTGGACACCAAAGGAAGTCGCGTCGTTCATCAGGTCGTACGAGGTCGCGACGGAATCGAACACGTTCTTCACGAGGTCCTCCTTTTCCTCCTCTTTGACAGTCTTGAAGCCAAACGAGGCTGTTTTGGGGCCGGCATTCGATTCGGTGTGAGCGTAGCGACGCGCCCAACGCCGTAGCACAACTGACTGTCGACAAAACCGTGACACGGGAAACATTGCGGAAGGAAGGAGTATAATTTAGCGCTCAGTTGCATATTAGCGCTTACACCTTCGTGAAATTTCCATGTCGAGCCCGAACGCATCTCCCCGTCGTATCAGTCTGATAGCGACACCAACAAGTATAGATAAAGGCAAAGGGAGAGAAATAGGTAAATCTCCTCATTTCTGGGTGTCTCACGAAACTTACGGGTTACAGCGTCTTCGTCGGACAGCGACAGTGCTTCAGATTCTGAATCAGACTCATTAACCAGTTCAGATGAAGAAGACAATGAAGTTAGCGACGATTTCGTAACACCATCATACCTGGAGAGTCTTTTAGAAAAATCAAGACAAAATGCTCGGCTAGCAGCCAAGCCTTCAATACCTTTCGACCAGGAGGAGGACGTCCTCATATTGGGGGCAGACAAGACCGATATGTGTGTGGCATAATTAATTTACAGAATGCACCCTCAATAACGCATCTTCAGACCATTACCCACATTGAATCCTGGCCCACTTCCGTCACCCTACCTTTCACTGAACGAGAAAGGCCCCAAGGGTCCTGCGTACGATCCCGATGTCAAGCGTGCTGAGCTCGCAACGTCTTCACTCTCAGCACCTGCGCCACCGATGCCACCCCCCGAACTTTCATCTTCCGGAAAGCCCCTAACAAAGAAGGAACGAAAGGCAGTCAGTTCTAATTTCCGTTAAATACATATGTGCGATATTAACGTGGCCTCGGGTACAGTTGAAAAAGCAAACCGCAGGGCCTGGGTGGTTCGATCTCCCGGCACCTGCTGAGGCAGATCTACCACGACTCCACCGTGAAGTGGAAGCTCTTCGCCTTCGTAATCAATTGGATCCGAAGCGGTTTTACAGGAAAGATGAAGGCGAGGGTAAGGGCATCAAAGGCTTGCCCAAATACTTCGCCGTAAGCTGCTCGCCTCGTTCCCGGTTCAGTTCCGAACTCACGGTTGTCCTGTTTTGTAGATCGGAACGGTGCTGCCTACTGACACGCCTTTTGGCACGCCAAGCAGTGATAATCTGCCCAAATCGCACCGAAAACGCACGATTGTGGACGAACTTGTCGACGATGCAGAGGCGAAGCGCTATGCCAAGAAGAAGTTTAGTGAGTTACAGGTCGTCAGAGGGGCAAGAGGCAGAAAGACGCTTGCCGCAAAGAAGGCGGCAAGGAGACAGAAATGGTGATATATTTTTTGTAACACTCGTTAGCCAAATTCCTTGCGGATCGCCCAGTTTAGCATCAAATCAAGAACACGCCTGTGCTTGCGACGTATGTATATGAAGGAACATGTACGCTTCATGACGTACGTCTCTTCATGGTCAGTATGTTTAAGGAACGCATATCGCCACTGACAGTAATCTCGTGTCTTCACGCAGAATCACGTATTGAACAAGGTTTGGCATTACAGCCGCCGGCGAACCACGCAACGTTCGAGCATATTCTAACCGCCACAGTGCAATGTAGTGTCCTGCAGCCTCTCCACGTTGCAATATAGTACCCCTTTAATCTCCCTCAATCGCACATTGAGCCACCTTCGATCCCTTCTCGATGATCAGCCTGCCGTTATTTTTAGCTTCCCCGGCTATGTTTCAGGCAAGTTCATAGAACAGCACATACTTACCTCCAATGCTATAAGTATGGCTCAGTATTGAAGGGATCAAGCATCTCCTCTGCCTCTTGACTACTATCAAGCAGTTTTACACTCCTCTTGCTAATCTTTGAAGGAGACACTTAAATTCGCCCTTCTATCCAAGTAGTAGGTGGCGGCTTCTCCCGCTAAAATTTTATCTTACGCGTACCTAGATCAGCCCCACCTTTGGTCGAAGAAACGACCGACTCGGTAGGTACATTCGAGACCTTCTAGCCGTGTCAGAAAGTCACGTCGATATCGACGTACGTAGCGACGAATCGACATGTCGAAGGTACCTAGAGGCATCGGCCCAGGATATCCCAATGCAGACACTATTCCGACGCCCACAACGTTGACGGTGTTCAACTGGAAAGATTCCGTGCCTCCTGCGCCCCGCGATGAACCATCGCCTGTAAGTATTAACTGGACAGCCCTCGGTACTCATGTTAGAGCTGTGTCTAATAATGCTGCACAGCTGCCTGAGGGTACGCCTATTATCCCTCTCCAAAGCGTAAGAAGTCTCACGTGCGGTGGAGACAACGACAGTGGCGGTAAGCGTTTTGCCGTTCTGTGATCCGGGAAGGCCCGCTGATAGATCCAACGCGCCAAAGGTACATACAGAGGTGTATATTCCCAACGAGGCCAGGTGCCCCGCGGGCAGGGGCACCGTGACCCCCACAGATTCGAGGATGCAAGTTCTTCACGAGGTTTGGCTCTTTAGTCTCCGACTCTGGCTATTCGTTCATATCGATAATTCTTGGAAGGCTTTAATCAAGGTTACGACGGACACAGCACCCCGATTTCCCCCATTCCTACATGTAATAGTCTGGGTGGGAGAGGCGGAACCTACAGGCCTACAAGCACCATGAGTGATGCTAGGACCCACATTCATGGTGCCTCCTCTGGGTTCACCCTCTCCTCCTCCACGGCACACCCGTATCCACGAGCCCACACCTACGACAGCGACGCAACTAGCACGACGGACTCACCTTCTACCTCTGCGCTGCCTCACACAACGTCGAAAGCACATCCGTGCGATATGTGTGACAAAACATTCACTCGCCCTAGCGCGTTGGATACGCATAAAAATACCCATACCGGGGAACAACGTGAGTCCCTGATGTGATTCAAACCGTCACTGACAAGGATGCTAGCCTTTCGTTGCGACTACTGCTCCCAGAGGTTCTCGGCCCCTTCGAACGCCAAGAGGCACATGAAGGCAATCCACCCCAGAGACCTCCCACCGACGGCGAAACCTGAGAAGGAACAGCCGTACAATGTAAGCTTCTGGGAGCCTACCATTCACCATCAAGACAATGTGGCACCAGGGGGCGAAGTACGTCACTGGGTGGCTAGTAAATATGAAGACAGATCCCAGGGCTGAGCTAAGTTCGTTGCGCCCATGGGGTTGTGCGCGTCGGGAGTTGTACTACCATCATCCATATGCAGTTTCTTTCCCTCTTTTGTTTCCTTGTGTCCGCGCTGTTTCGATGTACCCTGATTGTGAATATGTAGAAAAAGAAAAATCAGACATGTGGTTGTGTATGGAATTCTCTTGGACCCCACACAAGTTAAGCGAGGCTCGACGGGACAGCGACGACCAGCTTCGCTGATGGGCCGCTGGTTATATGTATTTCCGAAGTAAGGCCTGGCCGCCTCCGTGCATATGTCCCACCGGAACCAAGAAACTCCAGCCACTCCATCACCGTTGAGCTTGAGCTTATAACTCATTAATAAAGTAAGGTTTCGCTGGCTTCGCCTACGGTTGCGGTGGCCAGGCTTGAGAATCATACTTGCCGAGTCTGCAAGCACATACCATCAGAAGTCAGTCACACGAGTGCTGGCACATTCACATACTTAGGCTTCCAGCGAGCGCAGACAGCGCAAACCTGTGAACACATGTGAGTGCGGGGTGATTATGAGGCGATGTAACGTAGATTGTGTGAGAAACGGGTGCTGCAGAACATATGTACTGGCTCCCACATATCTTTCTATCGCCCACTTATTCCCTTGTATGCCGGCTGGGTGCCAGCGCCCCTGCCCCTATGCTCCATCGGTGAATCTCGCAAACCACGAAGTAAACCTTCATGTTTTTCCGGTTCCCACTGCAACAATCTGGACACTCGAAATGGACTAGGCTCCCCTAAATTCGTAAGACCCTATTTACGTGATCCTTCGGAGATTCCTATCTTACAGCCTACGATTCGGATGACGACTAGTTCGATTGCGAGCCCAGCCAAGCCCAGCGCGTAGTTTCTCCACCGCCTGGAGCGTGTATACGTACATTCGCAACGAGCTGCGGGGAGACGGTTGAACGGAGTCTGACGGAAGGCGATCATCGGCCAGCGAACGGTTTACCACTGGTCCGTTTGGCCAAGCCCTTATGTGACATACTTATTTTGTGCACTCGATAGTATAGATGTAAACTCACGTTCACAACCTTCCCTTCCCCTGTCTCATATACCATTGCGATCACCTGACCCGCAGGGGCTTAGGAGCTTGCAGGATATCTGGCCATGAACTTGACCAGAATACAGACATGATTGGTGTCGACTAATTCCTTTAAGTGTGTGCCGCTTTGGGGACTTTTTTACAGGGACTTAGCCCTAGTGCGCCTTCGCACTCATTGCTCACTTGCTGCCCCTGGTACAATACTCTAAACCTCTAGCACAAACTTCTGCTACTGCATGTATTGCATTTGTACTACTTGAGGCTACACCTATTGAGCTTCTTGACCTCGATCAATCACAAAAAAGGTTTCTGTCGGAGGAGGAGATGAGTGCTGCCGCTGCACTCACGGCCTTGAGAGAACACCTTGTGTCGGTAATCGGACAAAACTCGAAATATTGTGCAGCACCTGCAGCCGGTGTGTTCTGCAGTTTGAAAACGAAAACGACAATAAGCGCTGCAAGGTTAGTGCCAAAACAATCGCTTCCACGTGACAGAGTTATCTTATCGGATGCACCTGATTATCTTATCGCTCTGTGCATCATCTCCGCGGAAGGCACCATCGTGAAGCCGGCGAAAGTTGGTGGAGGCGGGTGGAGGCTCGGTCTATGAAAGTCTCCGCCGCATCGGGGTAAGTATGGGGTTGGCACGAAGATGGCAGAACCGGCGGATGGGGCTAGTGAAATTTTCCGATTTTATATTTAGTGAGCTGGTTGCATTGCATTGCATTGCATGGCGCTGGGCGTTAAGTACTAAGTATTCAAGGGCATCAGCGGGATGGAAAATGTGGCTGGCGGATGGACAAAGGAGCGTCTGATGGGCGAAGCAGGAGTCAGGAGAAGGGGTGATAGATGGACTTGGGAATAGATCAATGGGGATCAAAGTTCAAGGCCTCTACGTACGAGTCTGGGGTGCGGTGGAGACGGTATGAATGTATCTTCTTTGCAACGTACAGCTGGCTTGGCGCGCCGTGCTGTACTGGGCCGCCTTGAGTGGATCAATTGAGCCGCTGAACCATTCTGAACCGCTTTGTGCTCTTCCCCGCGCGCGGCTGGGATGCAGATCACCGTGTCAAATGTTCCATCATATGTTTGCACGATGGATTCGGGTCCGACTGGGAAAGGGATTCCGGGACTGCCCGATGAACGTGTTAAGTCCTGGCGAGACAATCACATGTCTGCTAAAGTCGATCGCAATGGATTACTGCCAAGTACATAAGTTCCTTCAACGTTGCCTCGGTAAGGGCTATCCGCCAGCGCTTATTGTCTACGAGGTTGTCGCGCTACGCTCACCGGCGTAACTTAGGCCGATTTGGCGGAATTGCATTTCTGACAGAAATATTCTATGCCAGACAATCGCTGTAAGCGCATGCAGCGTAAAGGCACCGGTATCAATCGGACCGATCCGAATGCGGGGAACTCCCAATCAAGCGGGTTCGCCAAAAATGATATTTTCTCAGTGCTCGGGCGCTAGATTCGACTGACACATTACCCCACGTTATCCTTAACAATCGACATCCATTCCCCGGCCATTCTCCGGTCTTTTCTACCTCTCCTCTTGTCTTCCTACCACCACCACCACCGCCATGCCCTCCTCGTCCCAGGACAAGCCTGGCGACAAAGTCACCCCGCGACCGTACAAGTGCCCATACCCGCTCTGCGGCCGTGCTTTCAGCAGACTCGAGCATCAGGTCTGCAAGCTTCCTTATCACGCTTAGGTGATTGCACTCACCGACGAGCTTTTGCGCACCATAGACACGGCATATACGCACCCATACTGGCGAAAAACCTTTTGCTTGCAGTTTTCCTGCATGTGAAAAGCGCTTCTCCCGCTCAGACGAGCTTACAAGACATTCCAGAATACATACCAATCAACAAATCTCCGCCCACAGTCAGCCAAGCGAGCCTGGTGGACTAAAGAAGGGCAAGAAACACGTACACCATGCTGTCGATGAACCACGTATCAAGGAAGACGACTATGACCAGCACCCCATATTCGGCATGAGTGATCTGGGGACAGATGACTATCCACAACACCATGAACGCAGTCACGGGGTTAGAGTGAAGAAGAAGGCTCGCAGTCGCGCCAACAGCGACGACGAGGTGCGCTCTGACCATCTCTCTCTTTCGTGCTGTATTCTGACATAACATCTTGCTGTTCCTCAGGATGATTCCTACTACGCTCGCCCAACCTCGGTTGGTTCCTACGATATCCCCCATTCCCGCCGCAGCTTCCCTTCCTCTTCGCACCACACCTCAGAAGAGCACTCTCCGCCGAACCTACGACCCCATGCCTTGCCGACCCCCCTTCCGCAGCCTTCTTCAGCGTCATTGACATCACGAGATGCTCGCCCCTTTGCAACACTTTCGCGGGCCGCTATGGAAGAACTTGTAGCCCTAGAGAACGCCGAAGCTGCGCGGCGGGCTGAGTATGAGGCCCGCCACGCCGAAGCACTACGCAGAGCTGAAATGGAAATCCGACAGGTCGATGCGCTCCAACGCGAATACGATTATCAACAGCAGTTCGGTTACACAAGTACCCGGGCATCATCGTCTTCACTGTCGTCCTTGCGCAGTGGTCTCAATATCAAGACATCTCAGAGCGCCACGACCAGTCCAATCAGCACTCCTTATCAAGGCCCACGCAGCTTGCTGGACATATCGGACGAGAGAGAGTCTAACATGCGCATGGCAGTAGACGATGAACCGAGGGATGTTGAAGATCGCTTGTATCCAAGAGAAGAGAGGAGTACAAGGAGGCTCAGCGGGCCCGCTTGGCAAATGACGCCTATCTCAAGTGATGCGGATCCCCGCGAGCGCGAGCAAGGGAGCCGTCTGCGTCCTGGTATGGGCTTGTCGTTTTCTTCAGGTCATCTTGTCGATCTTGCGCACGCGGCTGGCTCTGGGCCCGCTCATCCCCATGCATATGCGAAACCTCACGCGCTGTATGCCCCATACAAGCGCCATCCTAGCTCTTCCTCCTCAATACATCACCCCCACGCACATCATCACTCATCATCATCATCGCATCTAGATGAACTCCGGCAGCATCACGAACATCATCGGCCAAGTACGCACAGCATTGGTGAACGTCCCGACCACTCTAGCGCTGCCCAAATACGCCATCGCCATCAACATCATGACCGTCAGTACAAACCCATCGGACTTAGCCATGAAGAATCGCCTTCACCAATCAGCTCTGATTCTGAATCACTCATGATGCACACTAGTTCTAAAGTTCGCCGTGGGGCGTCAAATTCTCACCGACACAGCACTGATCCCCACAAGTACTATCAAGATGGACATCACAGCGCCCAGGGTGTGATACACTCGCCAACGGCGGCGCATCCTAGTTCCAGCACCAACGCTTTCATAACTCCTTCGACAAGCCCCTTCCTGGGGCCGTTGCGAACACTCAATCTTCATTCTGCAAATCCATCTAGGGCGCCATCACCTATCATGCTTCCGCCACCCTCCCATCATGCTATTCCCAAAGGCCATCCCCTTAGTCCGATCAGTTCTTCCAAAGACGTCGCGGTGAAACTTGAGCCAGGCAGTCCCAGTCGTTTTAACACCGCGCCGTATGGCAGTCCGCCCAGCAGCAATGGCTTTAGAGACTCCCAGCGCTCTATCAAGCGGAAAGTTGTCAACGGTTTCGGAGAGATGCCCCCTCCGTCCGGTTTTGGTTTCAGTGCCGCAGCGCTGCCAACACCCCAATTGTCCAGTGGACCGAGTAGCGGTGGAAGTAGCCCTAAGAGTGTTACCCATGCGTTGCCCCCTCCCCTGCCTCTACAGACCAGTGGATTGGGTAAGGAATTAGAGAAGGAAGTGCACAGCGGCAGCGGTACCCTCAGTGCTGTTAGTTCCCGACCTCCCTCTCCTCACTTATTCCTCGGTGGACGCGAGCGAGAGGATCGCATCAGTCCTGCTGGTGGAAGCGGGAATCACCATCATCTTGCTCATTCGGTGCGAATGGCCTTCGGTATGACACCCATCCATCCCAACAGCAGTACTCGATCTACGTACGTGTCCTCAGGCGGGTCGACTACGCCTAGCTTTGCCTTTGGTCCTGGAACCTCGAGTAATGGTTTTGGTTTCAGCTTCGGGCGCTCGGTACCTGCCTCACGGTCTGGCTCGCCACCAATTACATTACCGCCGTTGAAGCTCGCAGCCAGCGCCACCTCGTCACCTACCCTCAGGTCACTCAAATCGCTCATGGGAACGGATGAGAAGGTCTCTTCTGCTTCTTCCGAATCCAATGGAGATGGAGAACGGGCCTCGAACAATTCTAGTCCCCAGCGTGGCATGGTCGGGAAAATGGAGCTTAGTGGAGATGAAGAGATCGCGGAGCGGGATCAGGAACGCAAGAATATTGGAATAAGTGTTCTGGGGACCGGCGGCGATGAAGTTGCCAAGGGTATCGCCGAAGAGGACAACGACACGAAAACGAAAGATCTCAACACGGTCACCATACAAACCATTGGCAACGTGGACGAAATGGAAGTTACGCCCACACAGACCGTCGAGCGAGAGAAGGTCGAACTCCCCGGATTCAGTCACTTCGAAGCTGCCGCGCATATGCCGATTCCCAGCGATATCTCTGCTGCCCAGCACCTTCACCTTGGTTCCCAATAATCCGCCTCTTTCTCTTCTTACGCCCTTGTCTGTTTCTTGGTTCTTGGCTTCCGGCAGGTGTATGTGAGGATTGAAATGCGTGAGGTTTCACCGAAGGACCGTTTTCGGAGAAATATCGACACCCTCTTTTGGACAGCGACAACTCCCTTCTGCTCCCACATCGACGCGCGTATGGAGGTTAGCGACCTACGCACGTGGTCGATATGTTCACCGTGTTTCTAAATTTGCTCTCTTACTCCCTCCGCATGGATGCTCGGGTACTTGTTGAAGGGAACCTCTTCGAAGTCGAAGTCGAACTGTTTTTTTTCCTATGTGTCTTACGCTTATATGCTTCCGCAATTCTGATATTCTGATCGGCTTTCTTGTTCTCCTCCCACATTTGCCGACATATCGTATGTCGTGCAAGCCATATCAAGCCAGGCATCTCTCCCTACTTTGGATGCTCCCCCATTGGTCTTCATATACGCATCGATTTAACCGTCACGAACTGCATCCCTTGAACCTGCATCTCTTGATCACGTACGATGAAACGACTTTTACGAGTACATATAGATCTCGATGGACATTCCCCACAGCCTCCAATCCCTTCTCAGCATATTCTTAGACTGTATACATCACACCTCTCCATGCTTTTAGCTCTCAGTGTCTGCTAGTTATACGTACATTATATATCCCCTCTAGACGTACCGTATATATGTTTTTCTTGCTTTTCTGGGCTTGCTTCGCGATATTTATAAAACATTAATTATTCATGCCTTGGCTGGGTAAATGCGATTGACACAAAAATATCAACGGTTCACTACAATATTTAGAGGCATCAAGTCATCAAATCACACCATGGTTCGCGAAAGCTACGTTCATGATGGCAACATCCATCCATTCCCAATAGGTACGCGACAAAACATGACAATGGCGCGAGAAATGCGGGTGTAGGTACGATAAAGATATCTTCTCGCGACGGGCAGAAGGACGGGGACGTTGACACACGGGTTTCAAGGGACTCCTTCGTTACGTTACCAGGGAATATACGATAAGGCACTCTGGTCGCCCATTCCTCCCATTCCTGTCCAAAGTGAGCCTTCAACGCTTTGTCCTCCGCCTTAGGTCGCACTACGAGGGCAAACCGTACCGCCACGACCAACTCTGTAAGCCACATCCAAGTACCCAACCCCAGGCACGCCGGAGGACAACACACCGGGAAAACCAATGATCGGCTGAGAACATGACTGACGTCGCTCCAAGCCACACTGCGACGCCACTCGTATAGGAAGGATGGCGGACGAACGCGTAGGGCCCGTGGGTTATCAGCCGGTGCGTCTTCTTGATATTGACTTGGAAATCAAAGTGTTGGCCAAGTGTTGCGAAGCACCACAGGCGGACCGCAGTCATCGAGACACTCAAGCAGGTGCCGATGATCATCTGTGTAGAGGGAATCGTGGTAAGCTTCCCAATGCGTCGTAGGACGGGCGTGCAGTGCATATGCCAAGTTCATCTCCCGCAAAGGAGCTAAGGATGTGCATGAAACTGACGGAGCAAACGAGGATTTGCAATAATGTGATCTGAGTAATGACCAAGTTCGATCAAAGTTCATAGAACGACATATCTGCCGTACGCATCAACATTGTCTTCTCGTACCATGTCTTGATCACCTGTCCGCTTTTTGCAAGAGGGGGATTCGGCGCGGTTAGAAAGACACTGCAGTCCCGAGCGCGAGCCAGTTACTGACGTTGGAGAAGGCGTCCATTTCGTGACCTGTGGGCTGTTGTACATCCATTGAACAATCTGGAGCATTTTATAGAAACTCGCCGACGTGGCACTTGCTGGTGCTGATTGAACGTTGAGCGCTGGTGAAGAAATTCATGGGACAATATGATCAGAAATCTCCCATTCAGTCGGATACTGTTGGTGAGCTTGTGACTGCCCGTAGCGCTAGCAGCGGCGCTCGCTTGTCGAGTCGGAGACGGGATTTCAATCAAGAGGCATATTGCAGGTTGTGTTCGGATAATTCATTTGAGGCCAGAGAACCGAATGAACTGAGAGGTAACCTTCACGAACACCTGTATAACTTACGACAATAAGCCCACGAAATTTTAGGATGCTACCCCAAAGTACGCACTGACCATTTGCGACAAGTGCAGTGAACTGGTACCGAGATGGCCTCTATTGGGTATGGCTCGGTCATGATGCCCGAGCACATGCCTAAGGAGTTGACTTGCTCAATGGTCGTATCTGGTGGCCAATATTCCAGTAGAACCAGCTAGTGTATGAGGCGTATATCACAGGCACTTTCTAGCATCGACTCGGGCGTGAGGTACCCCGGATTTGCCTGCTGTTGACAATGGGAAGACGCGGCTTGTATCGTCCCGAAGGCCCCGACTTCTGCAACGCTATGCGAAGGGGGTGGCAACGTCCATCATATGTGGGGGGAGCGCATTCACTAGTCGGCGCCGTATAAAGGGTAGAACTCAGGCGTCCAACTAGGCTCAGATCCAACCAAAGCCGGTTCGTTTGCACTTCGATGTGACACCTTTGTAGTCCGAATGAGCTTTGAGGGCAATATCAATGGGCCTGACGCAACATCGGACTTGGCAACAACCAAGCATCATGATGTCAACAGACGCTACTCGGCATCTGGACTATCTATGAAGCTTGAAGATTGGGCGGCGGAGAGAAGTGGGAACTTCCGGTGCCATGATAAGGCTGTCCAATGGTACGTCTGGGGTCGCTTCCGCCATGGAAAATGAACGGGGGTCCGCGTTAACGGGGAGGGTATCCCACTCGTGTATTATGGTCCCGTCAGTCGAAAGAATAAGCCAACGTTCGTGCGACACCTCTTAAGCTACGTACCATACTTGGTCCGTCTGAATGCCAATTGTTTTGATTGGAAGCTGTGTTTGATCCAATTGTAGTTATTTAGAAGACAATGATGGGCACATCAAGTGTACAGTTGGTTCTAGATAACATTATCGTGTCTACGTACCTTTGTGACATCGAAGAGACGGAGAGTCGAGAAAACGGTACTTCGTGTTGCGGGCATTCAAATCTTTCAAAGGCCGTGGCGCTGAGGATCAAGCCCAACTTCGGCTGCAACACTGAGGGAGGTATCAGCATTATCATGTAGTGATCAGGGAGATGAATTTTTGAAAACTTGATCAATCTCGCTGGGGTGTACAATAATATTAGCATTGGCCTATGTCAACCTGTTAGAAGTGTTTCTGACTCGTTTCGATGCCGTATGGAATTATGATTGTTGAAGGTATGAAATTAGGCGCCACCCGGTAACCGAGTTGTCGTGACCTGGTGACATGCACTGTACGCATCCTGCGGATGTCAGAGAGAAGGCATTAGCTGCCCGGCTCCTTAAAGTCAAAAGTTAGTTTCTGCGCTTGTGTGTGTGGTTCGGAACACCCACATGACCTCCAACGTTCCTCGGCGACAAGATAGCCAGACTCGGAATGGCGTAGCCCACCAACGAAATAGCACAAGAGAGCATTATGTGATAACCGCGGTCTTTCGTGCGATCGCTATGCCAAGCATGGAGGACGACCATGAACCAACTGACCACGTAGGGCGCCACTGTGAGGCCCTGCGCATTGATGTCCGAGAACCCAAGGCCTCGTATCAACTAACAATGATCATCCATGTGTCAGTGAAGATTGAATGAAACAAAGTAAACACTCCACAAACGCGAACACTAAAATACCGAGACAACCTAAACTTTGGCCCTGTACCAATCACTGCTGTCCAGGTCCTTAAAACTATTTTCGATCTAGGCAGGAAAACCAATCAGCTGAATACTGCCCATGAGCTGCTTCGATACACACCCAGCTAGCAATGATGACAGAAATCTGCGCGCACGGATTTGAATTGACTTCGAGAGCGAAATTGGCACCGGCTGTCATGATCGAGATTTCCTCAGAAACATTGTACTCTCCACCTTGACCATCAGGAAGGACTTTCAGAATCAGGAACAACCATGCCCATTGGTTAGGGCTCCGCGTATTATTTTCTTGCTGAAGTCGAGGGGTTAGCGGATATATGACTGACTCGTGACAGGCACTAACTTGACGGCTGCAGAACAGGCGTACATTTCTCCCAGCGCCTGAGGGAGTTGGTGGTAGAGTGATACATCGACGGCTTTTGCTTCCGTGACGAAGATAACAAAATCAGAGTGCAGCCGGATTTTTGACAGAAGCGGCTCGCGAATGAAAGAAGCTATTAGACCAAGAAGCATCGGCTCTGCAGAGATCGGGCAGAGATGAGATTCTCACTAGCACGACTGTCCCCAGCAAACAGAATGGCATAGTCAACGAAACCTTCTAAGGCAGCTTCTTCTTTTCTAGCGGTAGCGTTGATAGGTACCTCGAGGCTAAGAACAACTCGCTTGCCTTCGGAAGATCGCTAGGAAAGAATGGCTGCAGCACGGTAACAAAAGGCATCGATGAACATCCGAGCACTGGCTTCAGTCTGAAGAAATTAGCAGCCAGCGACGAAGCGGTATTAATTCTAGAATTCACCTGGGTGACAGAGGACTGTAAGAGACACAAATGCCTATAGAACGTTTCGTGGGACCATAGCTGGTTTTCGCCAATAACACGCTCCTCGTCCAACCGCCCCGGATTAGCCACGAGCGTCAGATACGGCCCTTCGGAGGTGGACTCGGAGCTTTTCAATGTCCTCTTGCCGAAGACTAGAGAGAGAGAGCACCTAGGGATGACTGTTCACCAAGAATCGAGGGTGTTGAAATAAGCCGGTGAGGTCGCGTGAGTTCCGAGTGAGCAAGTAGATATATTGCGTTTGGCTGAGACTCCAGCAAACGCATAAAGAAATACATGCGCGCGACACGGTATTACAGTGGTCACGTGCATCTCTATACCCCTGTTCCGCCAAGATTGCTCAAATCCAACAGAGGGGAATTGTGATATTCGACCGTGACGTACTGGGCGTGAGTTAAGCTTTGGTCCTAGCAGCTTCCGAAATGTCTCCACGATATCAGCAATATCGTCCACAGGAGTAAGATCCTGACTGTCGTTGTCTGGATTTGCAGCTTCGTCCTCGGGAATCGGTATCATCCTCTTGAGTATTTCTTACACATGAAGGACATTCTGATAGAGTGAAAAGGTATCTCCTCCAGAGAGTCCTGATCGGGGCCGTTTACGCCGTTTCGCCATTGTGAAGAATAAGGGACTTCAAAGTTGACGTTACGACGCAACTCCCACGGTTACAACACCTCTGTTGCTGGGAATCACGTCGACTGTCTGCAAGATTGGGACAGCAGTTTTGTCGACAATCCATCATACTTGCTTGCCTGTTCGCCTCCGTCAACTCACTATCAAAAGCTTCAGTAACTACATACCGGATGTTGAGTTGGGTTCAACTAGTAGTTCTCCTGTACTGGGGCGATTCCCAGCGCCGGGTACTCATATGATATAGTGCGTAAAGTCGTCCACAATATCCGGCGAGAGTGTCACTTGTATAGAGGAAGGCAGTACATTTCTCAGAGTCGAAGCTACGCCCGTCACATGCATATGGACATATCCGGATGTAGTGTACATTCGCTCACTCCGCCGTAAAGTGAACGCTGGCCTAAGGTTTCGGACCACCGGCTGCTACTTTGGCAATCTTGTCTTGGTTGGCCTTTACCCAGTCAAATATAGTGTCGTTGTCATCAGTCGCGCGGGCAGTGATATCCCCAGGGGCCCCAGATGGACGAGCAACCGCAAGGGCAGTAAGAGCGAGAATGACAAAGGCAGAGCGCATGGTCGACTCTGCGAGAGAAGTCAATGGCAGAGCTGAGGTAAGTATCTGGAGGAGGAACGCACGATGTGATGACGGCCTGTTGAGTGCATTGGGTGAGTATCAATTCGGAGAGTAGGAGCTGAAGAAGAGTACTCACAACTGAAATCACTTCCTGGATAGTTGCTGAGTAGTTGAGAGTCAAAGAAGCCCTATTTATGCGAATAACAGTGCTGTGCGTAGATTATACTATTCCCGTTGTTGCAAACGTTAGTTCTGGGTGTGGCGTCTTCGCAGCTCGTTATACCAGGCTGGCAAGGGCATAGCGCTGGAGCAAATCCACTGCAAGTTCTTCAACGGTTGCCAACTTGAACGGAAGGAGGGGCACTAGTATGGTAGCATCATCATGTCAGTCTAAGATAACGAAATGGCACACGCCCGGGACCACAGTCGGAATGATATGGCTTCAATCCCGATTCCTCTGCAGTCTACGCGACATCGCGATTGAAGGGTCTTGTGCTATCAAACCAGCTTTCTTTAGCAGCAGTTCCATCAGGAAGAGGAGCCACAATTCATCGTCTAATTCAATTCAGACGCGTCCTCGTTACCTTCGTCGACAACCTGTCGGTGCTCCTCAATCGTGTACTTCACGATTTCGTTCGACTTTCGATTGTCCAGCACCAACGACGTGTGAACCTTTTCTCGGTCTCGGACGCAGGGTACCTGATTGCTTATTACAGACACAAATCGTGTATCGTGATGATATCGATCACTTCACGGACCTTCTTGCGAGTAGCATGGGAATATAAGTCATACAACCATTGTTATACACACAATGGAGTTTATGATGCGTTGCAAATACCCATAGCGCCTAACTTCGGGCGCTCAGTGACTAGAAATTGCATTTGTCTCGATATCACACTTACTTCGCTGCGGGTTGAGACCCGTTCAGAGTTGAGCTATTGGACAATAGAGAGTTTGCGAAAGCCACTGGGTGGCTTTCGCGGAGCTTGCGGAACTCGGTGGCTTTGGGCGTCTACTTAGAATTTGCTGATAGCCTCTCCTCCAAGCAGCAGGCTAGCTGTATTGTGCTGCGCGTTCACAGCTGCGCGTATGAGCTTATTATGCCGCAGAAATCAAAATCAACAGAAGGAGTAAATGCTTGTCTAACCAGCCACCAGTTTGCGCAAGTTGAAAATCGCTCGATTTGGGCATTCGGTGGCTTTCGCAAACTCTCTAATGGACGAATACTACCATGGTAACGATACCCAACAGACCGCGGACTCCCTAGTGAGGACACAATACGTTTGGTGAGTCACCTCCCTATCGGCGAGTCAATCCCAGACATGTGTCCTCGTCCCGGCTGTGCAATAGGAAGGTTTGGGAACCAGAAATGGAATCTTTATTCAAATCCACGGTCTGATGATTGGTTGCAGCTGCCGCATGTACTCTGCCCACTCCGCGCGTATACCTAGACGAAGAACAATGACTCCGGAGCTGGTGAACAGGCTGCGTGCAATACTATAAAATAGCGGCATAATTCAGAGAGCTATGCAAGGACTATGTACACCCCCGGGGCTCTGGAGTAAGTTGCGTTTGTTGTCGTCCTGGGAGCTGGGGTATTGACCCAGTGCGTGTACAGTTTCTAGAATCTCGCCGGGTGCACTTCATTAGGCGTGTCGCCGCTGTGCACGGCGGCGTGTACGCGTCACCCGGCTCGGAGCGCGAAATCGGAGTTGGCATGAAGCACCCCAATGCTCCAAGCTTCGAGTGTGTCCACTTCCGGCCGCTTTCGTGGACCTGCAAAGGTGGGAGTATTGCTCACCTCAGGCGCGTTATCTTCCGTTGACGTCCTGTATACGCCCTCGAATATTCTTCTAATGGGGGGTCGATACAGGCGACGGATCCTTTGTTATTGCCATCTCTGGTCGAACACGTTGCTTTCGGGGTTCGATCCGTCATGTTCGCTCGGCGAAAATACAACAAACCTATCCATCGACCATCTAATACCTCAGGCTCATCATTTTTAGCATGTGCTTGCTGTTCAAGCTCTCGCATCCACGACGAAGATGGGCAAAACGGACGATCATATATATGTGCGCGGAGAACAACATCCTATCCTTTCCCCAACACGTCCTGTCCATGCTGCATCCTCGCTCTAGGTACGATGCAACATTCCTGGTCTGATACAGATATGGGACTAGCCCAGATGAAGGAAAGTGCAATGGTGAGTCACTTCGTCTTTTCGAAGAAGGGACCCGCTGTCACCGCACACTCCTCACGCCATGCCGGCGCCGTCATGTCAGGTACGACTCTTCGCTCCTTCGCATGCACCAAGAAATCGTACGCTGATCAGAGATACACTCGTTAGACGGTTCTTTCTCTGGATTCATGGCGCACGTACCTAAATCCATGGTATCTACCAGAGATCCGGACGGGCCAAACAATGCCCGAAGCTCGTTGTTGAGGGCTCGCGTGGCTTCGTGCCGAAGGCCGTCTGACCGACGCTTCAGCTCCCTTCGTCGTGCATCCTTGTCTTCAGGTAACGCGCCAGCCTGGGCCTTCCCGCTTTCCGAGGGCGAAGTCGCTGCGGGCGCCAGGTTCGACCACCACCTCTGGACTTCTCCCTCATCCTCGGGGACGATCCGAGTCGATAGGATGTACTTGCAAACGCGAACGGCTAAGAATGTACCGTCGGTGCTACACCTCGGCAGTTACGGCTCTGACGTACCTGTTTCTTCAGCATCGACCAGCTTTCTCGATGGAAAGAGGGCTTTCAGCCTGTTCCTCGCGTTGTTGATAGCCTTGCTGCGCACATTATCGGTGTGGTGTTTCCTACTTTTCCTCGAGTCGACGCTAGAGCCCGAGGACCCGTTTGACGAAGCTGTGGAGTCGGCGGGACTGGGGAGGCCGAAGTCAAACTACGTGTGCACCGAGTGGTAGAAAGCCCCAATGATCAGACTTTAGAAACAGAGAGGAGGTGCTGGTGCAGACTTACTGTGACTTTGGCTCCCGAATCTCTGTTTCTAAATGTTCTACCGTTGGGGCTTGCCCCATTCTGGCTGCCCGGGTTTTGGGCTACAGTATCCTCCCGATACGATTGACGTAACGAAGAGGGTGGCTCAGGAGGCGGATACGCAGTGTCCCCTCCGTACCACCACTCCGAGTTCGCGGCGTGTTGCCGTTGTGTCCGATTGTAGGGGGAGGATTGCTAAGAATCAACTTCAGCCTCCGTATTCCGTGTCCGGCAGCATTTGTGAGTACTCACTAGATGTTCTTTGTAACGCTCCCTGCCCCTCTTGCCCCCTGCGTAGGAGCGCTGGTATGATGCAGATGGTATTGTCGCGATATCGGGAGGAGGCACTGGCCACGATTGAGGAACGTCGTAGCGGACCGCGTTGTCAAACATCGGCTGCGCGATAAAGCCAGTTTCGTAGCTGTTCGACATCGACATACAAATATTGGGTTCAATTGGGAAACTTTCGTCCGATGTATGTATGTCCAAAAGATTGTCAAGCGAACAGCCATTGTCGCTGTTCGTCTAGACATGCTTTTGAGTGAGGGCTGTATCAATCATTGCTGGGGGATTACACCTACCTTGCACAGTGCCTCGTACACCGTGTCTATCGCGGATTTGCCATGCACGAGGAATTTCAACGCGTCAGGCAGGGCCGGCTCTCTAGTGTTAACTAATGGCGAAAAGCCATGTTGTAAAACCCCCTCCGGGACGGGAGTATCCTGGCGTGCGTAGGGGGGAATGCCCCCATCGCAGACAGGGAGCACCCTTGGGTCGCAGGAGTCAAAGGTGTTCAATAGCCAGCTGTTCATCAGTTTGGTCAAACGGTTGGGGGACGCGAGGGGTAGTAGCTGAGTTGATACTAGGTTTTAACTGAAGGGCCTTATTATATACCTGGGCGATGGACACACAGAGCACTGCTTTTAGGATCACGGAAACATTCTAAAATAATGCAGGCATGTGCCGGCCTGAATACGCGTCTGGTTCGCAGAACTAACGAGGAAATCGTTGGGAAAGCGAGGGGGAAAGCATGTAATTTCGAATCCCGCCTAAGATTTCTATATAAGGAAAACGCCCTCATTCGAGTAGGGTTCTGATGCTAATTGCACAACTCCGTTGGACAACTCTTTTGCTGCCAGACTCGCCGGGCCTTGTTGTGTCCTCCGGCGGTAAGCAGATGGGTAGATCTCAACGGTGTGAACCGTTTTTCGCTTCGCTCGCTCAAGCTTCGACATTGGATTTGATCCCAATCGCGTCTCACCAGTGGACATGAACAGACACGAACGGAGCCCTTGCAGGCAACAACGCGCGTCAAGTGCTACATCAGGGATCGCCAGAACGGGTACATCTTTTCTTTTGCCTGCACGCTTAAACCTTGAGGTCGTCAAAACATCATCGACAGATGAAGATGTTCAAGCCAGGCTATGGGGATACACCCCCTATCCAGGACACGGGCTTCTAGCTTCATTAATCTCGACGTCGGTACGGGTATGTTTGGATTTTGGCATCACAACCGCTATCCATTGTTCATACTCATCGGTGGCGGAAATTTTAGATCGTCCGAGATCATGAACGCTATCCATCAAAGCCTTAAAATACTATCACCGCCGGGAAGTGGTTAAGCCCTTCAAGCCTTTTCAAACCCTAGATCCCCACTGCTGTTAAATAAAGAGAAGACAGGCATTGGTTCGGCCGTCCACTGCTTTCCCCGCTTTCCCCAGCGAGGCCTCATTAATCATTCGCTGAACAACCAACTCAGACAATGAGTGATCTGGGATACCTCCGATTACACTAGGTGCTCCAGGAGATTTTGCGTCCCACGTGCCTCGCCATCCAACACCGACATGAACCTCTTAATTACCCTTGCCGGATGTCAATCCATCTTCTTGTGACTTGTCAACTCAAAGCTTGCATCGTTGATTAAGGATATCCCATACTAGGGTGGACAGCTCGCTGAGCTTGTCAACTCAACAACAGCACGCAAGTCTTTGCTGCTAGCGTTTCCATTCTCATTGAATAACTAACCCCTTGGGCGCGAGGACCTGGCAACCACGGCAAAAACAGACCTGACCTCAGTGGTGACCCGTACTTGCGCCCTCGTTGATCTGCGTCGAACTCGGCATGACCAACCCCTCCATTGATTCGATTTGCCACGCATTATTGCTTTGTTCCGAACGTCGAGTTGGCAGGATCCGCCTCATCACCATTAGCTGATCTACCATCACTATTGTCAATATAGGGAGACATCTTCGGTATGCTCGTTGCCTCTCTTTCCGCCGACTGTCACTCCGAATGCTCTCTCTAAGACAACACTAGCTAATCACGTAGATGCAACATACGCTGGCTCGCTTCTTGCGATTGAGATGAATGTACTTTTGACATTGTCAAAGTACCAGGAAATCTTGTCAGCAAGGATGGGGGCTTACCACCGATTCCCGATTTTATCCTTGTGAAATTCCCGCCTCATCTGAAGGGGTGGCACTCGAGACAGGTGTCAGTGTAGCTAGTGATGATTTTCGCTTAGTCTCTGGTAAAGCATTCAACTATTCTTGCTGGGCTGAGATTGAGTAGCGCTCCAGCACTCCGACGAAAATATTGATGAACTTGTATGAATTCTCGGTTCGTCCTTGGACGATGTACGTACAAACCCGGAAGGCGACCACCACGCGGGTACCCGTCCGCTTGACCAATTGCATAAGAGAACGGGGAAACCCTCTCGATACATGCGAGACGCGCAGCGACGTAGCAGTGTGGACGACCTGAGCCAATAAGCGCAATCGCTGGGATCAGGGTATATATAGGGTGCGATGGGCCGGCCTAGCACACCCTCGATTTCTACCGGCTCTCAATACTCAATCTATAGCCAGCCTATGGCGAGCAACCTCCAGTCCTATATGTAAGTTCTGTATCCCAGGTCAGAGCAGGTCAAACCTGGGCGAAACTCCGTTCCTTCTTTCTTCTCGACCACTATCTCCCGGCCAACTCCCTTCTTCTTCCGCTCGTTTCAGCCACTGGCGCCCACAATAATGAACACGTCGGATGAGATGGCCACTGAATCAGAACTCGAGGCAATATTCCAGCATATCTTATCCCCCGCGTCCATGGATACATGTTATAACCAACGGGAGGGGAGTGCTGGTGAAATACCCACACCGCCCGTGAGTCTGGTTCTTATTTAATTGAAGAGTTGACTTATGCGAGGAGTGCGATATAGTATACCCCGCTCACATCACCATCAATATGCATGGTACCCCCATCGGAGAGCAACGAACACGACCTGATAGCGTCTTCGGAACATACGCAACGTCCCTCAAAAGAGATCGAAGCACCTGGCGCATTTGTCTCGCTTTCAACGTCGTTTCACCCAGCAGCCAGGAATTGTGGCGACCTCGAGCCGGACCTCGTCCTGCTCTCTGCTGATTCCGTGTTCTTCTACGTCCATTCCTCGGTTTTACGCTCCGCATCGAATAATAACCTGTGTGGCTTTCTGCCTTGGAACAACCCACGGGAAACTGAGCGAGGCGCGACGGACGCAGATACAGATGCAGAAATCGAATTCGTGATGTTGCCCGATCAGTCGCAGGTATTGAACATCATGCTCCATTTCATATACGACATCTCGCCCGCCCATCACTCCCCCCCGTTCCACATCCTTTCGCAAGCTGTCGATCGCCTCCACAATGTATACGGCGTCGACGTGAACCACGGCATGCAAGGCTCTGCGCTAGCACTATCTTCGCCCCGCGTGAACGACGCACTATCAGATATCCACCCCCGCGAGCCGTCGTTATTCGCGCTTTTGACGGCCAACGCCCCTCTTTATCCGGTTGAGGTGTACGCTCTCGCCGCATCCATTGACTTCTACCCGCTTACTAAAACCGCGTCTCTCTATCTTCATGGGCTCGATCTATGTCCGACAGACGACGGCGAACCCATTGGTGGGAGGCTGGGGCTGGTCCCGGAGATGGGGCGGAAAATGGGCGGCATGTATCTCATGCGTCTGGTGGGGATGCACAAACGCAGATTGGAGGCCTTGAGAAAGATCGTGTGTACCGCTCCTGAGGGGCACCTGATTGACCGTGCGTCAGAAGATCGGTGCAGCGCGGAAGATCAGGCTTCGTTGAAACGGGCGTGGGCTCTGGCAGCGGCGTATATAATATGCACCGCAGGACCTGGTGCGTACCCGCGCGACTGCTTTCTTCAAGATATATGTAACCAGCTAACTCACCGTTTCCCATAGGTGTGTCTGCTCAGACTATTGATGGGACCTTCCGCCCCCTTGTTCGGCATGTCACTTGTTCGCGGTGCAGACAGGCGATGCATAAGAGATTGGAATCGATGGATCGTGAATGGGGGATGGCTCCTGTAAGTTATCTTCGTCCAGAGGCACTGATCGTACTGATGTCGAGCCTCTCTATCAGCGGACAATCTAGACAATGAATGATACCCTCAAGTTCTCGACTCAGCATAGAACGCTTCACGGACTACCATACACCCTCGTAGTCATTTATATTTTTATCTCATCTCATGTGGTAAGGGCTTCGCACACACGAGGTTACCCTTACCCAGCACTAACATCTTTATCGTGATGGCCGCGTACGAACATCGCACACTGATCTCATATACATCTTCGTAGATCACAGGCCACATCCCTTACGTGTATTTTTACTGTGTACCCCCCTCTCTCGAGTCTCTGGATATCGACCCGGCGTGGTCGTCTGTCGTTAATTGTACCAACCTAATTGTACCTTTCAGGATGTCATTGATAGCTGTAGTTGTGTAACTTGGTTTGCCCCAGTCCGTCAACATTCGGCGGCTTGAATCCTGTCTGCCCACGTTCGTCCCCATTCAGTGATATTTCATACAACTGACTACTTCTATAGGTGGGAAAGGAATGAAAGACTATATGATCAAATCTTCCATCCAACCATCATCCAAGTTGCGCTATATTGAAGTCATGGGGTACTCTATAATTTCGACTACGCCGAAGGAACTCTGTACGTGATTGCGCGCCCCATTGATGTTGCGTTGACCCATTTCGAGTCGTCTAACTTGGGGGACTCGAAACCTGCGGTCACCTTTTCTTGGGCCTTCCACGTGGTGTCGGTGACGATTGTATCGGACGTTCCATCGTCGTATAGGATTTGGATTACGCCCTGGAATGCCGCCGGTCCTCCGGTATTTTTGCCGTTGAGCGCGAACACGTTAACGTCGGGGTCGAGGACCTGGATATGGTAGACCCTGGCCTCGCGCCAACTAGCGAAGGAGCCAACCACCGCGCCGTTGATGTAGAAGATGAATTGGTTGTCACTGTGACTTCATTCAGCACGGGTTATCCACGAAGATGGCGATGAGGACGTACACAAAGATGACGGCTGTCGCGCTGACGGCGCGCTTCGTGCACCCTGGCGTCACGACTGTCTTCCGGAAAGCCCGTGCAACCGTTGGCGCGACACCAGTCTTGTTGTCAAACTTCCCCGTCCAGATGACCACAGCGTCCTTGACCGACAATGCGGGCGGCACGACCGTCTTTCCCCAGGGTGCCACACCATACAAGCCCTGGAAAGTAGCGAAGCCCCACTTGCTCAGATCGGTGGTGGTTGGGAGCTCGAAGCCTTTGGGAGAGCCGAGGAACCTTCTCCATGTCTCATCGGTGATGACAGTCTCCGTAGAACCGTCGGAGTATTGGACAAGGATGCTGGCGATGAGTGCGGCAGGGCCCTCTTCCGTGTTGGTGACCTCAACAGCGAAGAGGTTTGACGACGGCTGCAGAGCGACGTAGTATACTTCGGCGTCGGTGAAGTTGGCCCCTGTGCCGATGGGGTTTCCGTTCACGAAGAGCTTGTAGGAATTGTCCCTACAACATCGACGAGGCAAATTAGTATGTGCGAGCAGGGAAGGGAGTTATGACTGACGCTGTGATCAAGATCTTTGCACTAACGGCACATTTCCCGCATTGCGACGTGAACGTTTTGCGGAATGCACGGGAACCGGGGGGATTGGGACCGGCGGGTACTGCATTTTCCCCAGTCCAAATCCACTTCGAGATCTCGAGGCCCAAGGGTTGGGCGATCGTCGGAGTAGCCGTCGCTGCACCACAGGTTCCATTACCCGGCGAAGGTGTCGGCGCCGTGCAACCTAAATTTCCGTACAGACAGAGTCTCAGGAGTCAGCTCATAGGATCCCGGACGAAGGGATACACAAGACCTGGTCGTTGAGCCTGGACCAGACCGAGGGCGAGGAGCAGGAAAAGGATTCCTGGGAGGGAGGTATTATGATTAGTGAAATTTCGAAGCGTCAGAATTAAAGTGACCTTGAGCGAACATCCTATGAACAGGGTCTTGTTCGGTGGGGAGTGAGGATAAGCTGGAAACTAGAGGGCCTTTTAACAGGCACTACTAAGCAGTCTCAGCTCATGTGGGGAAGTGCTAACATGAGCGTTGCATGTAACTTGTGAACATGTAGAGGGCTTAGACTAAACGGAGCCACTTCAAACGCCCATTCAGCTATATATGTGTATAATGCGGCTTACTTGATACAAGGTTGAGTTGAAATGCCAAATACTAGTGCTGCAAACCTGACCAGTTTGAATAGCTCAGATGAGACGGGAGATAGTTGACATCGCGTGAAGAATGCGAAGACCAACGGCGTTTGGCGAATGCGAGCAATTAGCAGCATTTCTGTCTGGCAACATGAGAGGGTTGGAGTATAGACCAGCTGATTGGCCGACCAAGCAAGGCCTTCGTCGTGGCTTGGAACTAATGTGCGCTAGGGACAACATTGAACAGCACTATTCTCCTGCTGAATGACACTAGCCCTCTGTGTGATTTCGGTTACAAAGTCCTATGTAAACAACTTGAATGAAAGAATGCTAGGACAGGCGAGGGAAGGGTCAACTTTCCTTCAGCACACTGCGTTGATTCACGATTGATTCGGCTTCCTCCCAAAAGCTCCGCCCTCTTGCGTATGTTGTCCACTCCAAACGCACTTCCGCTATAGTACGATGGACGTACTGAGTAGAAAGACCGGCGTCATAAAAGGAGCCGAGCACAATACGCTTATCCACTTCGCCAGACGCGTATGGCTTGACGTTGACAACGTCCCCTTCCGACCAACGTTGGTTGATAAACAATACGCAGACTCTTAGGTTAACCGGAAGGTGTTCGGCGAGCAGGGGGAGATCGTAAGTATCAGGGACGAGTTCGATAAATAAGTATGAGAGGTTGGTCAATGTCGCGAGTGCTGGATACCAGCTTTCATCGTGGGTAGCGAGGTCAAGATGAGTCAACTGCATGAAAGGAGAAGGGTTCCAGTCGTTGGGTTTTGAGAAGAAAAGGTCGAAGAAGCAGCATAAGCGACGCAGAGCGTTGTGTTCCCGGAGAGCGACGACTTCACCATGGAACTCAGTTTGCCAGTACATAAGACTGGTCAGATTGTGACAGAGGGGGACGATGCTAAGGACGTCGTCAAGTTGGGCCTCGTCCGGTAAGATCAGTACCTGGACCAGTGAAGCTAGCGAAGGCGATTCAAGAAGGGTTCGTCGGAGCAGAGGTATTTTGTCCTCGTCCTCAATTCGAATGGACCGATATATGTAGGGATAGCACCTAAAGTTCGTCCAGGTAAATCGATTGATCCGTTGAGATGAATAGTGGAAATTTTCACCATGTCTTGAATCGTTTGCATGTCAGAATTAGGGCAGGAATCACGTCCGGACATCCTGCACAATCCCAGACGATATCAGATATCGCGGTTTCGACGCAGAGGCGCTCTATTTCTGTTGGGACTGTTGGGAAATCGAACATTTCTACCGGGTTGCGTGGTTTGCTAAAAATTTACCGTACTCTGTAAACTAAAAGAAAACAACTCACGGAGATAGCTGAGCGGCGGTGACACGGTCTAATTAGATGAAGTTCGTCTTCAGAATCCCACGATTTCCCTATAGACCCTATCAACCCCTGTCTGCCCCAAACCATACCATGCGAGTTCACTCCAAGCATGGGACGTTTCTCTTAAGCTTTAAGCAGCTCGCCTTCTAGGATTTAAAGCCTCCGGATTCCGCGACTGGCAAGATTCTACACAAAATCTCCCCTTCAACGCCGGTGCGTCTTGACCACTCAAGCTCAAGACGTATGGTCATATTACATCGTAACAGATTCCCTGGGAGTCCCTGGATTAACCATTCTCAAGGGCATCTCAGCGACGAATGCCTGAGATTCAGTGGGCGAGAACCCTCACTAATTTGTTGCGACCCTACGGTTCTTGATGATCGATTCAGCTTCATCCCAGAGAGTATTCCCGTTTCCACGTCTTGCCCAGTCTCTCCAAAGATCTTCTGTCGGACGGCATATATATGGAACCGGGAGGTCGATGTCGGTCTCGGAGGTTGAAAACACGATGCGTCGGTCCACTTCACCTGAAGCGATGGACATCATTCGGACATCTACCCATGGCCACTCCTCAAAAAGGACGCAGACACAAAGGCTTGGAGGGAAATGTTCGACCAAGCAGAGAAGGTCCGAGTGGACCGACGGAAGATCTGTGGATAAATGTGTGAGGTTTATCAATCTGGAGAGCTGCGGGTACCAGGTTGAGCCCTCCGAGATTAATATACCGAGATGGGTCAAATGGACGAAGTTTGGCGGGGGCGGGCCCCCCAGAGCCGAAGGGAATGGGGTTGGGAAGCAGGACAGGCGGCGCAGAGCCTTGTGGTTGGAAAGGTCTACTGAGGTTTTGTTATTCCAGACCAGAAGGCTAATTAGGTTGCGGCAGAGAGGGACGATCTCTTCGACGTCGCTGACTGCTGAATGATGCGGTAGAGTGAGTTCCTGTACCAGTGACGCCAACTCGGGAAATTCGACCAGCGTCCGTCTTAGCAAAGACAGTCCCACAGATGTGTCATTGTCTGCCGCGCTGAGCGCAATTGAACGGTAGAGATGTGGATAGCACCTGGTGACAATGTCAACAGTCTGGCCTGTGGATTTCTGCATGAGAGGGAATTCAAGCAAGTACATCGTTAAAGACAATGCAGCGGCCAACTCTCCTTCCCGCTCCACATCTCAGTACATACACCCGCCAGCTGCAACTGTGGCGCGATGGAGATATTTACTTGGCACCTAGCTGGGTTTTAAACTGTCTCGACCGATACAAGATCCTGCGCTCGCTATAGCTTGTCGGGATCCCGGACATGCGGATCCACCATGCGATATCTGCCTTTGAAATCGTGTCTCTACGCAACGTTGGCCGTGTTGAAGATGGGCTGGATTGTCTTCTCTTGCCGGTTACGAAGGACTTAGCTCCCTCCCCCAGCACGACAAATTGGAAGATACAAGAATCGTCTCAAAAGTAGCAGCAAGATGACTGCGAAGTAGAGCGAAGTGTTCAATCCATTATTGCGGGCGGGTAAAACGTTCCTTAGTCCCATTTGTAGCAAGTCCAAGATCGGCTGGTAATAGAAGTGTACAATGGTACGAATCTGCGACAATTGGAGACGGCTATATTCGAGACGCGATGTCCGGCTAGTACGCCAAGCACCCTTCCAGCTGCGCTGCTTATGGGAGAAATCGCGTCCAAGACATAGGGGATCGATGCAACGGGCACATAGTATACTAAATACCGAACAGCGGTGCGAATGCGTTCGATAGGAACTGTGTCAAAGAGGAGTACGGGAAGCTTAAAGGTCAGTGATACCCGAGGCGTAATCGAGAAGGCCTCAAGGCAATTGGAGGGGAAGCTCGATTAACATCCCCAAACCTCCCTCTCCTTCAGTCAGTAAGCAGCACTGATACAGGTACTGTTGCCACTGGATACCTAACTAATACATTTATTGGCCAGTCCGTCAATTACGAATCGCCCTCAAAATTCAAATGACTGTGACGATACTCAAACCAGCCTCCGAACATATATCCTATTCAAGGTCAAAGGAAAAGGATGAAGACATTGGCAATGGACAGACCGAAGAAAACCCCGTAATCGCTAGTACGGAATATGCATTTCAGGTTTGTGGTAGACTTGCATGCGGATTCCCGACTTATACTTTCTGTCCTAGAAAACCAACTTGGTGCATGTCAGCGACGACGGTGTGAAAATAGCTGCCCGATACGTGCGTTCGATCCATGCTCGGACTCGAGAGGCATCCGGGTGACGCACAGCATTGACTCTAGATATACCACAATCTCAAGGTTCGGTCATACACCCCGCGAACTTCAAGGCGCTCGCACCCTCTCCATATATGTCCACCGGAGCCGTTCAACCCATCGGACCCCTTCAATAAATCTGTCCTTGACTGGACCTTCTTGATCGCAGCACTCAATTTCAGCTTTTGGTCAGAGAGAGGGGACGAAGATAGGTACGGAGTCGAGTGGCGAGAAGGATGGGAGGGACCTGCTGCTGAGAGGATAAAAGTCCATACAGGCTACTGGAGTCTAGTAGTGGCGCTAAATCGAGGCGAGTATTGCGATGTGAGTAACAAGCGGTGGGACTGAATCTGTCAAAACTAGCCGTGGCCGACGATGGTATACCAATAACCGATCCGAAATTCTATTCCTCAGATATTCTTTGCCCGGATTCACTAATAGAACATATATTCCGACCTGTGGAGGGGTGCTCGGAGACGATTCCTCTACTCCAAAGTCGCATAGCCATCATGAGGGAGGTCGGGCATATCCTTTGCATGGTCAGAACCCTTTCTGCCCATATAGTCCACTAAAATCCTCAGTACCATCTCAGAACTTCGGTGGTTCTTTCAAAGGGTTTATGGACGCCTTTCAGTCGAGATACAACAACGAAGGGACTGCCCTTCAGCTAGTCAAAATGGTCACGGAGACCTTTCCCTCCTTTCGGGACGAGGTTTGGTACGAAGGACGAAGAGGTCAGACAAATAGTGTTTTTCCTCTCAATTTCATTTACGCTGATCGTCTTACAGTATACCTATGGAAGCGTGCACAAATCCTCGTCGCCGAGACATGGGCAGCGTTCTATCCACCCTCGCCGCCATCTCCCTCCAACCCCCATCCACTATTTCCCGGCCCCCGTGGCGCATGCATCCACCAACTGACCATGTTCGCAGACTACCGCGTCCCTCAGATCCTCCACCATCTCCGCATCCTCGACTACCCTCCTTCCCTCCTCTCCCTACTGCACGCCGGGGCCACCCTCGAGTATGGGTCGCGCGAGGAATTGAGCTTGCGTTCGGCGAGTATAGTGGCTGTGGAACGTGTGCGGGAGGAGATCTGTTGCTTGATGGGGGAGAACGGGGAGGATGAAGATGGAGTGACGAGTGTGCTCATTGATTTCTATCTGTGGGATCTTGCGAAAGAGATTGAGACTGGAGATGGGAACGTCGAAGGAATCCAGACGGTCGCAGTAGCACCCATCCACAGGACAAGGAGTATTTGGTACTGAGTGCACTAGCACAGAAGGTGCGCAGTGCTTTAATGGCCAATCAAGTCATTATCTTCAAGTTCCCCCGAATGTCCATCAGACCAATATAAGGGCAGTTATTATTACCATATCAATGTGGAACTATTCGTGCAGCCAGACCACAGGGGGCTCAGTAAAGGTGGAAGGGGACGGCTACAAGGAGCGTAGACGGCGAACGACAGATCGAACGACAGATCGAACGACAGATAGCGCCCTGAGCATGAGTGTCATGAAGACAGCTTCTTCCCCCGTTTCTTCTTTCCTGGCATCTCCACCAAGAACCCATAATTCCTCCGTTCTGGCGCGACGTAATCCAATCCCAGTTCGAGGAAGATATCTTCTTCACTCTCCGCTTTAATAAGTTCCCAATGGCCTCGTATAGACTGACTATCCGACTGCTCTGAGTCAAAAGGGTTCATGTCGCTCTCAGTCGAAGCTTCGTGATTCCATCGCCATAAGCCGTACTCGTTGAGGTGCAGACCGAGTTTAGTGGCCCTGGTGTACAGGTGACGGTTAAATTCGGCATCGCCAGTGAGTGCAAGGAGCGCAGCGCCCCTAGATTTGATAGGAACCATACTAGATGAGCATCAAAATAGGTGGTTAGTTCTAGGCGGATTATCGTAACCTTCAAGATGCAAACCTAATATTCAATCGTCTATAATTACCCTCCTTCTTCCCGATCATCTGCAACCGCTTCTGCCGATCTTCGCGACCGCCGCTCTCACCGTCAGGAACCAGCGCGATGCCTTGCCACGTCTGCAGACCAAACGAAAGAGCCGCAGCGACCAGTCCGCGGTCTTGCAACGACGGTAGGACGTGGGTCAAGAGGGGCGAGTTGGCCCGTGAGGATTTGGTAGGGGGTGCTGTGTGGAAGACGGATTGAGAGCGAGATGGTTTCTTGGATGCCGAGGTAAAGGGTGCTGGAGTGGGGATGTGGACATGCGAGGGGTGCAGAAGCATGATATCAATGCTGGAGGAGGCGGATGCGCCGCGACGACTAACTAGATGGATGATATGACCGTTCGCAAGTAATGGGAGTGCAACTTACTAGTCCCCCACCAAATGAACTTCGAATTTTGAGGAGACGCTGTCCTGGATAAGCTGCTGCTGGGGGTATATGTTCCTGGGGCGCATCTACACCATAAGGCTACTCACCGCCACTACTTCAGCTTCGTGCCTCTGTGCCGACTCCTGTAGATGGTCGTGGAAGTCCATTCCAATTAATTGGGCATTGCTAAGCTTTGAGCGATATTGTGGAAGCTTCAGGTCGTTCAAGCATGTGCATCCAGCATCAATCAACGTCTGGGCCTTCTTAGGTCTGTGCTTTTGAGAATTGCTGTCGTGATTGGATTATATCACCATCAGACGTACCCCACTCCGCTTATTGACATGAGGTCCTCCTTCAGTCTCGCGACTTCGGAGGCAGAGAGCGAGCTTTCAGATGTCTTCACTGTTGGAATTGGACGTGGTACCTAAGACTCATTGGTATGAAAAACAAATTCCATTGAAAGTTGTAGTGCACATACTGACAGGAGAATGCACGTCAAGATAATCTTGTATACGACGAGCTATACCCGGACCGACTCCCCTCAGCTAATATACGTCAATATATCTGTTATTGTAAGCAAAGAAAGTTACGCACGAATCGAACTTCTTCCACTGAGACTATTGGTCGCTCTAGCTGCTTAACTGCATTGATAGCCGTAGAAAACGCGCGTATTTTATATGGATTCCGTTCAGGCTTTGTGGCCTCTTCCTGCATATCTTTCCAATTGTCGACACAAGTTTCTCAGCGAGAAATACTCGACCATGTTGAATGAAAAACTCACTTTGCTCGAGTACCTCCAGGATGCCGTCGTTAGGACCTAGATTCTGTCTTGACGCAGTAGAGGAGGCGCATCTTTGCGAGGCAATACTTCTCAGCGTAGCATCCAAACAGCAGCAATGTCGTATTCGCGGTAACATGTTGGAACTTGAAGAAAGCGTGTTGCCGCGCCGTCGCGCAGCGCGTCGGCTAGCCATTCTGGCGCCAATATAGGCGCCCGGCATTTGGACCTAACTTCCGCCATATCTCGGGCTTTTTGACGGTCATTTCCCATCCAAAGTGGTTCGCCGTGTCGCCAGCATCGATCCAGAGGAATACCGACGGTACTCTGGAGAGAATTACTTCGTCAAAGGCTGAAGGGGACTCTGTGATCCACTCCCACGTACATTTCACCCACATTTCCAAACCAGGCTACTGCAAGAATGTCATCTTCCTTCCCAACTCAGTATACAAATTTGTCCGACATCCAATTGCAGCAAACAATTTCCAGCTTGCAGAACGCCAGCCAGCAAATAGGCTACGCTGCACCGGTACCTCAGCAAGCAAATTCAAAAGGTGAGTTTCCGATACTGCAAGCCTCGATGGCACCGAGATTGACGCGACAACCGGAGTGTACATGAAGAATCTGCATACTTGGTCGTCAACGCCGACGCCAGCCCCCAAATCCGGGGCTGTTACGCGCGGCTCTCGCTCTCGAGCCAATAAACCCATGAACGTAACGAATGCTACCCCTACTCCATATCAGCCCCAGCAAGCATACCTCCTAGCGCAGCAAATCCCCGCGCTCCCAATTCCTATCCCGCAACCCCCTACTCGTCGATCCATTCTCCCGACTACGAGGCAGGCTGTCTACTCGACATACTCGTCGCGTCTGCGGACCGGAACGACGCTGCTCATGCAGCCCATCCTTGCCACGGCGTCTTCCACTGCTACTCGTACGGCCACGCGCAGGGGGGGCGTGGTGAACTATGCGGACCCTGGCTCCGGGGACGACCTTCCCGATGCTGGCGAACTAGAGTCGGACGACTCGGATTTTGTGGCTAGTGGTGGAACGAGAACATCTATTCGCCAATCCCGGCGGACTGGCAACCCGCAAACAGGAACATCCACGCCGGTCCCTGTGGCACCACCGAAACAGAGCACCGAACTCGATCGAAGCTACCTAGGCATGGTACCACCGGAGAGGTTCATCAAGCCAAGAATTGTAGCGGCAACTGCGCACGAGTACGCGTGAGTGAATACTGACATCGACGCGGATAGACAGCTGATAGACATTGTAGGACGCATGAACAATTGGAAGCTCATGCTAAACGGACGCCGGCACTCGTCCCAATACGCGTCGAATTCGAGACAGACACGCATCGCATACGGGATTGCTTTGTATGGAACCTCAACGACACACTGACGAAACCCGAGACGTTCGCGAAGATATTTTGCGCCGACCTCGACCTGTCGCCAGTTCCTTGGGTTGACACTGTGACCAACCAGATTCGTGCACAGTTGGAAGATCACGAAGGAGTAGCGTCTATGGAAATTGGCATGGATGGGGCTATGGACCTAGATGTTGAGGGCGAGGGCGAAGAAATCCCCGACTGCAGAGTGATCGTTAGCGTGAGTCCAAGTCCCCTCCTTGCCTTGACCCTGTCTACTTCAGAGACTAATACTAAAGTGATGTTAGATCGACGTCCAAATAGCAAATCATCACCTCCAAGATCACATCGAGTGGGATCTTCTGTCCCCACTTACGCCCGAAGTATTTTCACAAAAGCTCTGCATGGAACTCGGCTTGACCGGGGAGGCCGTACCTCTGATAGCCCACGCCATACACGAAGAGCTCATCAAGCATAAAAAGGATGCGATCGAATGGGGAGTTATAGGCAGCTCAGAACAAGAAGAACACGCTCGAGCGGGGTCTGTTCTTGCTGGTGGGGCCGTACAACGGGATAAGAGTGGGGCAGGCCTAATGAAGGACAAAACCGGCTTGGGGCTCGGATGGAGTAGGTCTGGGAAAGACGGCAGGGGACCGAAGACGCTCAAGAGCGCGTGGAGGGATTGGGCGGACATAGAAGATTTCAGGACGAAGTTTGAGGTGTTGAGTTCGGAGGAGGTCGAAAAGAGGGAGATTGAGAGAGAAAGGGCCAGTCGGTGCGTCCGCATTCTTACCCCCTTTGAGTGTTTCGTGCTGACTTTGTGCAGACGGTTACGGAGAGAGACGTCCAAATTTCAGAGCACGCGCAGCGGCCGACGCCGATAGTATCTTGTCCAGCCTTTATCATTATTATCTTCGTATATTACTTACTTTATAGTCGACCCCCGCCATCGTCAGAACTACCACCAACCGAATTGTATGTTTTGTCATCCAGGTGGAGATTTTCATTGTACTTTCCCTAAGCTGAAGCGGACTATCAAAGTCGGGTCTATATGTTTAAGCTTTGACGCGCTGTATAATGGGAGTTTACCTCTTTGCTCTTTCAACACCATCACCAGTGACCACGAGCAAAATGCCTGATGTTCCACTAGACGTAGAGCGCCTCTGTGTCGAAGCAATCATGTCTGATTTCGTCTTGGGTAAATCAACACCCCCGAAGCAGCTTCCAACTGTCTTGTGGGTGTGTCGAAGGTTCAAGAACTGGTGAATTCCGCGTTTTCCACTGGATGTGGAGGCCTTCAGGCTGCGCTACATTGGTTAACATGTCTGTGCCCATAGGTGTTATCGACAGCTCTACCGTTCGATCACGTTCGACTCAGACTACATATCCACCGGACTGCCTTTGCTGAGGCGAACGCTGGTCAAATCGCCCGAGTTAGCATTGCTGGTACAGGAACTTACCTTGCCACACCGATTCAGAATCCAAAGTATCATCGAGATCCTCCCCCTCTGCCCCAATCTTGTCAGCCTTCTGGTCTGGAACGACGAAGCCATCGACCTTTCCTACAACAAGGGTCTGCGCCGCCTGTCCTGCTTCCCGACCCTATTCCCCGCTCTTGACGGCCCGCTCCCTCCAGCCTTCGTGCAGTTGACCCATCTTGACCTGATTGTCGCAGAGGGCACGACCTGGTACTGGTTGTTCGCCAGATTGCCGCGCCTCACCCACTTGTGCACAGATCTCCCGAAAGTCGACTCGGACATCTCTTGCTTGATCGCGAATTTCCCGCCCAGCCTTCAAGTCTGCGTCCTGTTCGAGGAATGGCCGGACGGGGATGACCTCGCCAGAAAGAAGACAATCGCGTCGGGTGAACTTGATCAGCGCATCGTGTTCGCGGCTTCAGAACACTTTGAAGTCTCGGTTCCGTATATTTATCGTCAGCCAGATGATCTTTGGAGCGACTGGGCAAAATTCGGGAGCGGGAATACGCTCTGGGATGAAGCTGAACTGATCATCAAGAGTCGTAGAGTCGCGACGAATGAAGTGAGGATCCTCATTTATCAGAACTATCGCGTCTCCATCGCTAATGCCTCCCTCAGGCGTCGTCACCCATAGACGTTATAAAGAAAAGATAGCCTTAGGGGGAGATATCGCCTTGGACTATAAATTCTTGCCATGCTCTGTATCACCCTCACGTAATTGCATTCAGTACCAAATACTCCTTGTCCTGTGAATGGGTGCTACTGCGACCGTCTGGATTCCTTCGACGTTCCCATCTCCAGTCTCAATCTCTTTCGCAAGATCCCACAGATAGAAATCAATGAGCACACTCGTCACTCCATCTTCATCCTCCCCGTTCTCCCCCATCAAGCAACAGATCTCCTCCCGCACACGTTCCACAGCCACTATACTCGCCGAACGCAAGCTCAATTCCTCGCGCGACCCATACTCGAGGGTGGCCCCGGCGTGCAGTAGGGAGAGGAGGGAAGGAGGGTATTCGAGTATGCGAAGATGGTGGAGGATCTGAGGGACGCGGTAGTCTGCGAACATGGTCAGTTGGTGGATGGACGCGCCGCGAGGGCCAGGAAATAGTGGATGGGGGTTGGAGGGAGATGGCGGCGATGGTGGATAGAACGCTGCCCATGTCTCAGCGACGAGGATTTGTGCACGCTTCCATAGGTATACTGTAAAGACGGTCAGCATAAATGAAATTGAGAGGAAAAACAATATTTGTCTGACCTCTTCGTCCTTCGTACCAAACCTCGTCCCGAAAGGAGGGAAAGGTCTCCGTGACCATTTTGACTAGCTGAAGGGCAGTCCCTTCGTTGTTGTATCTCGACTGAAAGGCGTCGCTGAACCCTTTGAAAGAACCGCCGAAGTTCTGAAGTTGTATTGAACATTCTGGTTGACTGGACGGGTGCAAAAGTACTCACTGTGCAAAGGATATGGCCAACCTCTCTCATGATGGCTATGCGACTTTGGAGGAGAGGAATCGTCTCCGAGCACTCCTGCGCAGGTCGGAATACATGTTCGATCAGCGAATCGGGACACAGAATTTCTGATGAGTAGAAATTCGGATCGGTTATTGGTATACCGTCGTCGGCCATGGCTAAATGGTCAAATGTTCAGCTCCTCTATCTGTCGTTTCCTTCAAGAGGAGATTGACCTCGATTCAGGGCGGCTACTAGGCTCCAGTAGCCTGTATGGACCATCCTATTCGTGGCCGCCGCTCCCTCCCATCCCTCCTGCCACTCGACCCCAAACCTTTCTTCGCTCCCCTCTTTCTCAGACCAGAAATTGAAGTTAAGAGACGAGATTAAGAAGATCCAGTCGAAAACGGATTTGTTGAGGGGCTCCGAAGGGTCGTAAGGCTCCGGCGGGCATATGTGGAGAGGGTGCGTGCGCCAAGTTCGAGGAGTGTATGATTGGACTTTGAGGTTGTGGTAGATCTGAAGTCAGGGTTGTGCGTCAGCCCGATCCCTCTCGGGTCTCTAAAGACGCACGTATAGAGCGGCTGATTTGATTCCCCCATCGCTGACGCGCACCAAATCGGTTTTCTACGAAAGAAAGTATAAATAAGCAAGTTGGGAATCCGAGAAGGCTATCACTAGACCGACGAACCTCAAAAGCATATCGTGTGCTTGTGACCACTGGATTTTCCTCAGTCTCACCCACGACATTCCCATCTTTTTCTTTTAACCCCGCATGGAATACGGTATGTTCGGCGTCTGGCTTGGGTATCGTCACAGTCATCTGAGTTTTGAGGGCGATTCAGACTTGACTGACTGTGTACCGGGGGGATGCTAGGGTATCTAATGATCCTGCTGGTGTATGGAGTGCTGGTCAGATGAAAGCGAGGTTGCGAGGATGATCGGAATTTTTGAGGAAGATCAGCGGTGCGGTTCGGGCTTCAATCAGCCCTCTGAGTCTGCGCTGCCTTGAGGCTTGCCTCGGACATCATGCGCAGGCTTCATGCACTGACCTATGCTTCCCTAACAGTGACTCCTCTTTGACGCTGTCCTTGGTATTCAGTGTACCATTTGCAGTCGCCAATACCTTTTTAACTTTTAAGCAGCGCGTTGGAAGGGTATTTCTTGAATACTGAGTATTTACTATGCGAGAGCGGAGTACAAATGCTCTCAATTCAAATAGAACTTACTATTAGATGTCGAGTGTAAACGTTCCAGAGCAAGCAAGTGAATGTGATACATTCCGAGTTCTACTATGCGTTATATGTCTACGGCTTGCAGATATGCACGAATGAATACTTGTATTAGTGATTACTCGTGGTCCTCTCTCAAAGTGAGGCGTCAGATACATGGTCGAAGGTAGAGAGGTCAAAAGTGCAGCCCTATTGACTTTATTACAACGTAATACAAATCGTGACCATGACTATAATATACGATATCGGTAAGTCCATAAAATGGAACGTTCATGGCTAGATTTGCTAGCATTTCGGAAGTCGAGCTGCTCAATGCTCGAGTGCTTGCAGAGTGAGCTTCTATGGTTCTGTGCGAACAGGGATTGATAGGGTCTATAGGGGGAGCGTGGGATTCCAAAGACCCTAGCCCCTGATCTGTACATCACCTGATACCCCTCGATACCCCTATCGGAAGCGTAAACTTCATTTTGCCGCTCGCCTTGACAATGGGACCCAGCATTCACTACCACTGCCCATGCTTGTCCCAGACGGCAGTCCCACCACCACCTCACCTGCCGTCTTCATCGCATAGCTTCCATCCCCTGCACACCCTCTTTTTCTGCGAAGAATGCGACGCCGTACGCTGCAACCGCTGTGTCTCTGTCGAAGTCAGTGGCTACTACTGCCCGAACTGTCTTTTTGAAGTCCCTAGCGCAAGTGTTCGCGCGGAGAAGAATCGATGTGCCAGGAACTGCTTTCAGTGCCCGAACTGTATGAATACGCTGAGCGTTGTGCCTTCTGACCCGCCGGAGATGTATGGAAATGTGTCCGGAACGGGGGAGGCACCTTTCTTTCTGTACTGCAATCATTGTAGATGGGACTCGGCAGAAGTGGGGATCACGTTTGAGAAACCGACAGGCCTTGCTGGTACGTGGTCCAGTGAATTGGATCTATATTCCGTTTAGAACTTATGGCGGCTTCTCAGCCCAATTGCACAAAACGGAAGAATCAGCTCCAGAGGCCCTCGAATTTGATAGACTTCGCGAACATTTCGAGCCTTTCATACGCGCATCGTCGTTAGCCGCGTCGACTTCGGGCTATCCTCCACATATCCATGCGCATACACACCAGTCTACCGCGATGGCCGGTGCGTCGGCCGCGCTCAGTCGCGATGTTCCTGGGATGGGTAGGTACAATAATGCTCATGGGCGCACTCCAGGTCGGCCGGGTAGGGACAGGACGGCCAACAAGGACGAATTTCCGGTATACAAAAGCAGGATGGATGTCGTGTCAGCAGCAAGTTTAGGCGGTGGTGGGGAGCGCGATGTGGAGCTGATGCAACATCTCGAAAGCCCGTACGAGGTAGCGAGTATAGAGCAAAGATGGGAATTAAGTTGGATGTCGTCTTTCAAGGTCGAGTGCGTATCCAACCCGATTGATTGCGTCGGTCGTGCCAACCTTATCTTCTAGTGACTTGAAGCCTCTTCGTGTCCCCCTCCATGCCAAACGAACGAAACGATGTCCTGCATGCACTCATATTCTCATCAAGCCTGAGCAGAAGGCTCAGTCTGTGCGATTTAAGATCAAACTCATGGCTGCGAATTATCTGCCGGCGATCGTCATCACACTCCCTCACGTTCAGAACGCTCGTCCGACTCCCCAGGATGCGAAGAGGACCCTTGGAAGATCAACAGCTGCTCCCCAAGCCGAGGACGAGAAGAGTTTGGAAAGCCAAGGTGGGATGAACGCGGGGAAGACATATCCGTTTCATCTGGCGTTCACCAACCCCTTGTATGATCCAATACAAGTTAAGCTTTCCGTTCAACGCGTACAATCCTCTACAGCAACGCCAGTGACTGCGATCACCAGTGCTAGCGCCGCGGAGACAGCTTCTAAAGATAGCCCCAGTGTTCCAGAGAAGGCGCGGAGGCCACCCTTCGCCATTTCATTGCCAACTTCTTTCTTCGCTGTCGCCGCGTTTGCGGAAGCCTGGGAGTACGATGACGACGAAGACATGTTTGACGACGAAAGTCTTGGTCTGGGAGGGACGGGCTATGGTGCTCTCGGCCGTGCTGCACGCGAAAAAGAAGCGAAGACGAAAACAAAGAACGTTGGTGTATTGGAAAAAAGAGCGAATGTCACCGTTGTTGGCGGTGAAGTCGTGATTGGCAAGGAGGCGAAGGGTAATGTTAAAGTCCGTGATATGACTCCCTCTGACTCGATTCCGGGATTCCGAGGTTCCTTGCTTACTCAAACCTCCATGCAGTTTAACATGCTTGTCACCTACACATACCGGTCGGACGAAGGCGGCGCTTTGGATGAGTAAGTCCATCAACTAGCACTCTTTCGGTCTTCTCTGAACTGGTTCGTGCGTTAGTCCGACGACGGATTCACCAGTCAAATCCGGTTCGTCGAAGCAGGCCTCCTCCCTGCAACAACCAGATGTGAAAACATTTGCTTTCTACACGGTCGTTGATCTAGGACCGATTATACCACGCGAAGAGCCGAAAGTGGTCGACTTTGAGCTTTGAATTTGAGTCTGAGTCTCGTTGCTGTGTGCCCTATGAATATATGAATACCATGTGATGAATTGATACTCCACCCGCAACAATTGATTGATAACTATTTGTTTCTTGTTGCATCCACTGTTGGGACTTGCCCGGACGTCTGAACGTTGGCGCTCGGAATGATTGTCGCTGCCAGTCGGTGAATTGTTCCCACCATTCGTGCTCTGCCAACACAACCGCGACGACCGACCTGGTTGCCTGGTTGCTGCCACCTCACCGAGCGATCTCTCCTTCATCCACTTCTGCGACGACGTGGTCAGCTGGGCGCACCACTCGCTCAAGATCTTGCCAGGCGCAAGCCCTTTTCTTTTCTTCCCAGACGCCCTTGTACGTTATCACCAGCGTAAATCCAAGTACGTTTCCTCAACTGGACAGATCGGGGGCGTAGAGGCTCTCTCAGAACCAAGCGACCCTTGTCTCACGAGAGTCTCTGGCGCAAATGAACCCAATTGTCGACGCCTCGACTTCCAGTTTCTCCTCCCCAGGCCCATCGACATCGACATCCTCTCCTACTCGTACCCCTGCGATGACAGAACCCATCTCATCAGCATCACCAAGTAGTTCGCGGGAGAGACGGCCAGAGGCTGAGCCATTGCCGTCGAAACGAGGGGAGATAGGCTACAGGGAGGAGGATCAAGTTGCAGGACCCAGCGACTCGAACAATGTCGATGTTCCTATGCCAAGTCGGCACCCGGCAGACAGAGACCTTCCCCCGCCGCCCGCCATCCATGTCTCCGCTGCTTCGACAGACAACTTGCCTTCGTCCGCGTCCAGCATATCATCTACTGACACCACCGCCCGCGCCAAGGCTAACCAGAAGCTCATATTCGGCTTCTTCAACAAATCAAAAGTATACTGGGGCGTTCGACTTGCCACGCTCCTCACTCTCGCTGCTCAAGTGATAATACTGGGTGGTACAATTGCCGCTTGGGTGGTTGCTGTTCAGCGTGTCCAGCCAGGATCCTCGTCAGGACGTGAGCTAAAAGGCACATCATCATTCATATTTGTGCATGTCGTTTTCGCCATCGCCACCCTCGGCCAGCTGCTATTCATTGAGCGACGCATCTTCCGTCTGCGCGCTGAACGTTATGCCCATCTCCATGCTGGGGAGATGCTCCCAACGTCCCGGCGTTTTGGTCACAACCCTCATATGGACTCCCTCATCGCACTATCACCGTGGAACCGCCCGCCGCTACCCACCTATGCGTCGGCCCTGGCACAAAGTGGTGTAGGAACAGGTGATGTGGAAGACCATCTCATCGCGGCGCCACCCCCACCGGCATACGGCAACACGCGCGGGAGTACATTGCTCTTGGCAGGGTTTTTACCGAATTCGTCAAGGGCGCAGAGACCTCGGTCGCAGGCCAGTCAAGCAAGCCAAGTGCGGGCGGATAGTGACGACCGGCCATCGAGGCCAGTAAGTTACATGAGCAGAGATGAAGAGTGGGACACCATCTGCGACGCGGAACGTGCGAGGAGGTTGGAAGCAACGCTCTCCCGGCTCGAGAGACCCAGTTCGAGGCTTTCTCAGCAATCACGGACATCACGTAGATGAAAGGCCTCAAACGTTCGTTTTGAACCATGCGTTGGTGTCTCCAGGTACTTGTAGTTGCAAAGCTTTGTATCCATTGCGCGATTTTTTTGTATTGATGGAATTGTTTATTTTTAATCCGTGTCTATTGGTTGCATCGAATACCCTCCTTTACGTTTTTTGTGGACAAAATTTATTTGTGCTTTGACGTCGATATGGCGATATAGGGCGATTCTTAGGGCTGGAGCCCGTGCCGCAGCCTTACTGGAGCTTGCTGGGCGAACCAACCCAAGCCTTGATCGATGATCAGGCGTGGTGAACGGAACCTCAGCAGTCAGGCACAGACCTTCGCCTGACTGAGTCATGTACAAAGAAATGCTCAATCCGTTCAATAAATACCGGACCAAGACATGATGTAGGTTCCTTCAATTGTCCTCGAACTGTCATACATACACTTACATGCCAGCGACTGAAGTCACGAAACTAGTCTCGATATCCCCGTTACCGGAATACAGCCCATCATCTCCTGCTCCGGAGTATTCAGATGAACTCCTTTTGGGCGAGGAGAGGCTTGAACATACTCCTCGACCTGATAGGTTGCGCCCAACACCCACCGGGGTGTTTGTGAAGAAGGCGGGGAGGACGAGCATCGTGCTAAACGAGCAAGAGGATGGTGTCCGCGTTCCTTCGTACGGCCGCCACGCGGTGGTCTCGGGAGCCATTTGCCTCGAGAACCCATCGATCGTTGAGGAAGTCACTGTCAAAGTGAGTGAAGCGAGGATAGTGCGACGCGACAGCACGCTTAAACGTTTACTTCCAGCTTGATGGGAGGATGGACCTTACAATATCCGAAGGAGGATCCAAATCCCATAAACTAGTCAACGAGACATATACTCTTTGGTCGAGGAAGGATGCCACTGCCGAACAGCCTATATGCCCGTACTCTGTTCCGTTCTCTTTGTTGATTCCGTCAACGTACGAAGAGGGCGACAAGACGCGACCACTCCCTCCCTCCTTTGACACCGCCTTCCCCGGCGTGCCCGGTCTCTTCGCCAAATGTATCTACACTTTGGTAGTTACAATCGTAAAGATCCGCCACCGCAAAATGACTTGGTTGACAAAGAACAAAACGTACGTCGAAAGATTGCCATCATACTTGCTTAATTCATGTACTTACGAACATGAATGACCTACAGGATTTCCATCCGCCTCCACTACCATCCCCGGACACGACCACATCGTCCCAACGTTTCGAGTCCCTGTCTATTCTCGTCACTGAAAGTTGCGCCCGAAGAATGGCAACAGGCAACTGCTCAGATGCAACCGCGTCCTAGCTCTAGCCTAACACCTATTGATTGTCATGTACGTCCTTCCGTCCCCAATCCCCAACCATTTATGTGATTAACGCTGCCGATGTGATAGCTGATGGTACCCGCGGCTCAAATATTTGGTCTGGAGGAGGCCATCCCCTTTCACATCCAACTCACTGGAACGATCGCGTCACTGCGGGCCTTCCTCCCTCAATCAACGGAAGTCTATCCGCTGTCACCCATCGACACTACTTCAACCGTCGATACATCCGCTACCCTAGTACACTCCCCCCTTTCATTGTCTTCGCTCCCGCCCACGGCCGTTTCCGTTTGCCCGTCATCCTCCTCCCTCAAACCCCAAAAGCACCGGCTTTCACGTTCTTCTTCCTATACGCCCCCAACCCCCAAGCCAGTCATACGTGTGTTCCTACTCCGCCAAATATCCGTTCAAGTGCGCGGGCAGAAGGCGTGGAGAAACTGCACTCTTGGAGAAGGCAAGATATGGCCGCTTCCTCCACCAGCAGGAAGCATGGACTGCTTGGTTCCTGAAAGAGAGGAAGCCAACCTGGATTGGGAAGGAGAGGTTAGGTGCAACCGCAACACCATGGTTGGCGGGTTTAACGCTGGGCAGCTCGCGGTGAAGGACTTCATCGTTCTTGCACTTACACCCCCAGATCCACATTCCTCACCTCTGCTCGAATTCCAGTATGCTCATCCTATACGTTTCGTCACTGATCCATGGACGGACCTCACTGGACACGAGCTCGACCAGTTAACTTCGCGGTAGCACGTTTAATGACATTTCCGTTTCAAGGGACTCCGGTACCATACCAACACTCAAAATTATGACTACAGTTTGCCCACGGACATGATGTGCTTACTATGTGCTATCTAGATTTTATTATTGCCTCATTGTAGTGACTATTGCATACTCTACAACCAGCGTCCAGACTACATCATTCAACCCGCATGATTTTTGTAATTTCCCATAGTTTTCTGTTTTTCATACGAACCAATGGCATCAAAATGAGGTCCATGAGCGTTCGAATCGCGTTTACACAACCAATTTGCATTTGATTGCATACTACATACCAGTTCGCTCAGCTAAGCGCCTGCAACATGATCCTGTGCAATGATGCCATGTTCATGACAGGCTTAACCGACGAAAGCATCTCCCCTTCGTTGACCACAAGGATTTACATCTTGATTTCGACTGGACGTATCGGCGATGACTCCGAGGCTTTCGATTCGGGTTCCGACTATGTTTCGCACATACCGTGGGTGCATGGCTACACGCTCAACAGATGTTATCTTCAATATAAAAAGCCCGGCTGGAGGACGTCGATACCGTCCTGCTGACCTTCGACGAGGACAGTAGCCGGAGTTGTTGGGCTTCGACGTCCAATAATGTCACCCGGACCGCCCCACGGCCCCCCCGATGTTATACCGCTATGTGCCCACCGTTCAGGCTGATGCAATATCCGCCTCCCAGCGATGCTATAAGAGAGAACGATGACCAGACACGTACCCTAGGCTTTTCACAGCTCTAGCGCGGTGACGATGAACACCTCCGGCTCGAATCGACTCCCCATCCTTGTTCTCTTTCTCTTTGCGTTTTTTATCGACCAAACCTACGGCGCTTCCTCCCTCCAAAACCATCGTCGGCATGCTAAGGCCACCGATGGGCATTGGGTTGCTGCTTGGACTTCGATGCCCCAGTTGACCGAGCCAGCGAACTTACCGAACCCACCTTTCAATACCAGCGGTCGCGTTTTCTCCAATACCACTATCCGACAAACTATTCATGTTACAGCTACATCTTCTCGAATTCGTCTACGCTTGTCAAACTCCTTCGGGTCCACAGTCCTACCTATCACAGCTGTCACCCTCGCAAAGCCTTTAAGGGCGAGCAGCGCAGACACTGGCGCAGGAAGTCCAGCGATCGATACCACGACGCTGAAGACTTTGACGTTTGGCGGTGCGCCAGGGTTTACAGTGCCAACCGCAGCATTGGTGGTGTCCGATCCGGTTGATATGGATGTCGTGGCTGGGACAGAGTTGACCGCGAGCTTGTATCTGGCCTCGGGGCAAGCGGGGAACGATATTACGAGTCACCCTGGGAGTCGCACAACTAGTTGGATGGGATTCGGCAATTTAGTCAACGCGGCAACCTTGCAAAATGCGCCGTCAGTGCAGAATACAGCGCATTGGTTCTTCATCAGTACTCTGGATGCGTGGGTTCCGACCAAGCAGAGTACGGTTGCCATCATTGGAGATAGTATAACGGATGGAAGGGGGAGTACAACGGACGCGAACAACCGTTGGCCGGATCTGCTGTTCGCACGACTCCAATCATCTGGAGACCCAACCTTAAAGGCACTCTCCTTCGCAAACCAGGCGGCCGGAGGGAATCGCATACTCGCAGACGGACTGGGGCCCAATGTGTTGAGTCGATTCGACAGAGACGTGTTGGCTCAACCAGGCGTGGAATTCGTGATAATCTTCGAGGGAGTGAACGATATCGGTGTGGCAGCGGCTACTGCGCAGGCCCAACAGGATATTGGAGACAGACTCATATCTGCCTTCAAGCAAATAATCGATCGCTCGCATGCTGCGAACATTCCCATTTTTGGTGCCACTATCACCCCGTTCAGCGCACCTGGGTTCAGCGCTGCAATCCAACCGTACTCGAGTTCTATTCGCGAACAGACGAGGCAGCGAGTGAACGCCTTCATTCGGGAGAGTAACCTATTCGATGCCGTCGTGGACTTCGATGCCGCTGTCAAGGATCCTGCGGCGCCTGCTCAATTGAAGGCTGAATTCAACTCGGGAGACTTTCTTCATCTCAGTGTTGCCGGATACGAAGCAATGGCTCAAGCATTCCCTGTAGAAGTATTCCAGTGATGAATTATGGGTCGCGGGTTAGGCTTGTCATCTAGTGCCAGTACCAACTTACCTAACGTTGTACAACATACATGAAATAATTTGTGAGATCCAAAAATTGAAGGCGAGTCTTGGGCCTTTACTTTACGGTTGTTGTACCGGAACGGCGCGCAAGTACGCCCATGCTCGAGTATCTTCGACTGAAATGCAACCCATTACCAGAACCCACTTGATATCGTGCCTCAAGGGATTCCCTCCCTTCAGTACCCTGAACTCGCCGACTTTAAAGTTACACCACGAATCGATACATACCTCATCTCTCCCTTCTTTGTTCCAGCAATCTTCGAAATTGGAGGTCGAAATTGTTGGCCTTGTCGTTTCCACCATTTCCGCAAACTTTGAGTATCCACCCAAAATATCATTGATTGGGATGGCGAGGAGCGCGGCGTTGACGCCGACAGAGACGTATGCTCAACCTTCTCTAAGTCGTAGCATGTATAACTATTCCTGAAGTATATAGATGATGCTCTCGTCGTTATTCAAAGATGTACACTATGCCCAGGTCGGCCGGGGCCTTCGTTTACCCTCTCTTATTCGTTGCACTCCCTAGCTGCTGCGCGGCCCTCGAGGATTTGGTCCCCATGTTGCTTAGTTTCGGTCTACAACACTGAGTAAGACATCATGTAACTACAACTGGCATTTAGAGACAGACCTTTCCTAAGAGCTGGATGTCAATGAAAATGTGAGATCGATTCACGTAGTGCACAATCTAACATAGGCTCACCGTGCCACGAGTTTTCTGCGGGAATGAAATTATGTGAGTAAGCAGGCTGGCGTTGGCGGACCAGATAACACCAACCTGAGCATAACCTATTACTTGATCTTTGAAGGGTACTTTCTGGCCCGGCACCTCAATGACATGCACGTTGGGATCATTTATTAGTTCTTCCCTGGTGCGCTGATCTACAATACGGACTTCGGAACCATCTCCCGGCTGTGTAGAAGCTAGAGTGTCGCCAAACCAATCAATATTGAGTGCATGAAAGATGCTCGAGGTCCACCACCAACCTTGCTGTGAAACGCTGTCGATCTTCGTTGGTGCAACTACCTGTGATGGGTGCTGTTTGCTCTCTGTAGTGTCTGACATTGTTGTAGATGGTGGTGTTGATCAGAGAGGGCCTGGCGTTGCGCCGAGCCTATATATCCTACTTCAAAGTGACGTCACTTCACTGGAGTGGCGCGCAGTATTTACTTCCATGATTAAATCGTGAGAAGGTGATATGATGCCGAGTCGCGGCAACTACTGGGCTGAGTCAGGGGCTCCGGAAACCATATGGTCCTCGAGTATCCACTTAGCGCATCCGGTTGCTTTGACACGCCCGTGTGTGTGCAAACAGCTGCTTATTCAGGGAATTGTGCGGCCGACCTTGTTGCTGCGCTTCACCCGGTCTTTGATTCCACACCATCAACCAACAAGCAATGTCCACGACTAGTCTACCAGGATATGGCACGGGCGCCTCATCATTGGTGAACGGGGCAACGCCCATGTACTCTGCAGAGCCGGCCTCATACGAAGAAAGGATTGCTATAGCTGGTGCACTAAGCCCTCGACCGGCAGGGAAGTTCGTGAAGCCGTCGAAGAGTGGGAACGTCAGCTTGCAGCTCGATGAGCAAGATAAGGATGCGGCTCTGCCATTGTATGGGACAGCAAGTCTGGTCAAAGGGGAGGTGCATCTTGTGAAACCAGAGGTGGTCACTAATGTAGAGGTCAAGGTATGTCGTGAATTTATATCCACGCAATTTATCAGCGACACCCGGGTAGGTTGAGGGTAAGCTACGACTGAAAGAGGTCGCAGAAGGCGGTCATACCTCGGCGAAGCTGTGTCTAGATTCACAACAGTTGTGGTTCAAGTCCGATGGAGGGGGGCAATGCCCAACGACCCTACCTTTTAGTTTGACCTTACCCACTCATTTCGAATATGAGGGCAAAACATATGTGCGTGTGCTCGATCTATCTCATGGTCATATGTCGCTTATCTTGCCTTAGCCTTTACCTCCCACATATGATGTCAAGCTCTCAGGGTTACCTGGCTTCACCGCTACAATTGACTATTCAATATCTGTCCTCGTCGACAAGCCACATGTTGTGCCAAGTCTTGTACCGCTCGTCAAGTCTCATATCTTCGGCTCGACAAATCACAGTAATGTGTCTGTTGAGATCGTCCCCGTCTTCGTCCTAAGCGCTCATTCATCTTCGTAGGGCTGTCTCCACATCTTTCGTATACCACCCTCGATCCCGCCCCTCAAAAGCCCTTCCAGCCCCCATGACGGTCACTCAGAATGGCTTTAGCGATACGCCGGGCTGGCGCTCGTTCCATTCGACAATCGAATCCAAATCACCGAATCTTCATGACATAGAAGTTACTCTATTTATTCCAGCGTCGAGGGTGCTCTGTATGACTCAGCCGATACCGTTCCACGTAAAGCTTCGATCGACGGCCGTTTCATTGGCCAGCTTCCTCCCTTATGGACCCAGTACTAGCACCACTAGCACTAAGCGGATGACGAAGTGTCATTTGGTGCGACAAACGACAGTGGACGTAAGAAATGCCGAAGTCCTTGGCACGAAGACAAACATATGGCGCGTAGACACGGTGGGCACTGGGGCATTCAAAATGGCGGTTCGTGTGATGGTTGGCAACTTCGAATCTCTTCTTACTAAAGAATGTAGGGGGACGGACCGAATTGGATTGCGTACTCTGGGGAAATCGCTATCGATGAGAATGTGCAAGTCGGTGGTTTTTCTGCAGCCGGTTTAACGGTTGTGGTACGTCTTAAATCTGAACGTGTTTACATGATTCACCGCTAACGGCTTGTTTGTCACTCATGATCAGGACTGTGTCATTTTGTCGTGTACTCCTCCTGAGCCTCAGAAGGCGCCGTTTTCCGAGCTACGCTTAGTTGTGCCGATTCGGCTGACCACTGATCCATACACTGCTGATGGCACAGGAATCGGTGCGCAATATCCAAATATCAATGGCAACCCGACGAACGGCCATCACAATCTCGACGATCTTGATGATGACTTGGATGACAAGAATGGTATTCCCCCGGAAGAGTTCTATCGAGCACTCTAGTTGATGATGTACAACTGCTGTCTTTATTCATGTATTCATTTATGTAAAGGAAAACGATGTCGATGTGTGTGTTTGTGTCGTGCGCAATACAATAGCGCTGAGTCTGATCCCATATAGGGGCGAATGATAGGGGCGATACACGAAGTACATATTCGCCCACGTGATGTTTCAGAACACGCACCCTTCACGCACAACCACCACCATCGTCAAAATCTTGGAATATGCGCGAAGTCATCTCTATCCATGTAGGCCAAGCAGGAGTCCAAATTGGCAATGCCTGCTGTATGTGCAAGTTCCATCGTATATTGATACGTTCTAATCTCAAGATTTGCAGGGGAGCTATACACCTTGGAACATGGAATAGAGGCAAGTCGTGCCATTTTTTTTCGATAACGGCAGGTTCTTAGCATTTGCTCTAGCCTGATGGGCGTCTTCTTCCGGACTCCTTGTCGCACACTGATGCCGGCTTCTCGACGTTCTTCTCTGAAACATCGTCCGGCAAACATGTACCTCGTTCACTGTACTTTGATCTCGAGCCTGGGGTCATCGACGATGTCAAGACTGGAAAGTACAAGTCTCTTTTCCACCCTGAGACTATGATCACTGGAAAAGAAGACGCGGCCAACAACTGTATGTTTCCTTTTATCGCTTCTCATCTCTCAATTCTCATTGCCCTCTTTGAAGACGCGAGAGGTCATTATACCGTGGGCAAGGAGCTCATCGACCCGGTGATGGATAAGCTGAGGCGCCTGGCGGACAACTGCTCGGGGCTTCAAGGGTTCTTTGTGTTCCATTCCTTCGGTGGCGGAACTGGGTCTGGCTTTGGCGCCCTCCTGCTTGAGCGATTGTCAGCAGATTTCGGGAAGAAGGCCAAGTTAGAATTCTGTGTCTACCCCGCTCCCCAGTTGTCGAGTTCCATCGTAGAGCCGTACAACTCGGTCCTCACAACGCACACGACTTTGGAACACGCGGATTGTTCGTTCATGGTGGGTATTTTTTCATTAGTGTGCCTGATCTCGACTGACGTTGTGACAGGTGGATAACGAGGCTATTTACGATATCTGCAAGACCAAACTTGGAGTCGCCTCTCCTGGCTTCACCAACCTCAACCGTCTCATCGCCCAGGTCGTTTCTTCGGTCACTGCTTCTCTTCGATTTGATGGTTCCCTCAACGTCGATCTCAACGAGTTCCAAACCAATCTTGTCCCGTATGTTTGCCTCTGCGACGTTTACCTGGATGTTACTTAAGTTTCGCTGCTCAGCTTCCCTCGTATCCACTTCCCCTTGGCCACTTATGCACCCCTCCTCTCATCGGAGAAGGCTAGCCACGAACAGAACTCTGTTGCAGAGATGACGACATCTTGCTTCGAGAGCGGTAACCAGTTGGTGAGTCACTTCTGATAGCCCCATCTGGCATACACTGACATGCACCGTAGGTGAAATGTGACCCCAGAGAAGGAAAATACAGTGAGTGAACATGAGGGATATGCGGATCTATCCGTTGCTCAATCACTTTGCAGTGGCGTGCGCCCTCTTGTACCGAGGCGATGTGATGCCCAAAGATTGCCAAGCTGCCATTGCCACCATTAAGACGAAGCGTACGATACAGTTTGTCGACTGGTGTCCGACTGGTTTCAAGGTATGGTGACATCTATACTCATTGCTGTGTCTTTGCTTATCGATGTCATCTAGCTTGGTATCTGCAACGAGCCACCTGCTTGTGTCCCTGGTGGCGATCTCGCTAAGAACACCCGCAGTCTCTGCATGCTGTCGAAGTACGTATATGCTATCTTCATGAAACTGAAAGGGACTAATGTCTTCATTAGCACCACGGCCATTGCCAGTGCTTGGGCTCGTCTCGGTGAGTAACCTACACCCTTGCCCTGAATATAAATCTGATATACGTGTTATCAGATCACAAGTTCGATCTCCTGTACTCCAAGCGTGCGTTTGTTCATTGGTACGTTGGTGAGGGTATGGAAGAGGTATGCATATCCCTCTCGTGTGGCTATCCCTGCTCATCGTCTGTGATTTTTAGGGCGAGTTCTCGGAGGCTCGGGAGGATCTCGCGGCGCTCGAAAAGGACTACGAAGAGGTCGGCCTTGATTCCGCCGAACCCGAGGAAGAGGAAGGTTACTAGACTACAGACGCATAGACCGCCCCTCTCGTCCTAGCTTCCGATTATACCTTCGCACCTACTCTATCCGCGCGCTTCGCACATGTCGCTTCTCATAAGTAACTTACACGCCGTTTATTCTTTAAACCGTGCACGTCATCACTGGATTTTTTCATTGTTCAACTGTTATCTCATTGGAGTTTGACGCAAATTAGAGTTGGCGATCAACATCTAAATGCTTTTGAGTATTAGAGCTTAGAGCGTTCAAAGGGAGCACTACTTCCTGGTCATGGTAGCAAGTGTCAAGGGGCGTTCGCGCGCGCACCTCCGCTATCCTAAACATGCGCAGCGCGCCCATGGCCCGACGCCAAACGTTTCCGCCTCTTTCCATATGCGGACAAGGCGGGCTTTATGTCCCACGATCACGTTCTGCAGAGGCACCGCTTGCCGAGCGCCCGTCGAAGCTGATTCCTGAAGCTGACTGTTGGAACGCTGCCGCAGCAAGTCTACCACAACCGTATACCATCTCAATGGCTATGGCGAGCAGGTCAGCTCTTCCATTGCGCTCTTCACGCCCGGCTCATTCTGTCTTCCACAGCTCAAGCACCGTAGAGAGGGCCATTCGTGTTACTCGTGAGTATCATGAGCGTTTCCTAGGTTCTCATGCTTATTGGGCGGCATGCAGTGGGGGGAGCTAACGGGCTCGTCAAGAGAGACTTCTTTAGCCTTCCTGATCCATTCGCTGTGCTCACCGTCGACGGTGAACAAACGAATACGACCCGAATCATGAAGAAGTCGCTGAGTCCACTCTGGAATGAAACCTTCGATGTGTGAGTCCGCGTTCCCTTGCACAAGATGAGCGCCCCGTGGACTGAACCCTCCTCAGGAATATCCGCCAGTCGTCCACCATCGCGATCCAGGTATTCGACCACAAGAAGTTTCGAAACCGAGACCAGGGTTTCCTTGGTGTAGTCAGTGTTCCTGCTTCGGAGGTGATACAATCTGCGGAAGAGAATCGTGGTGAGTAGGCCCATCTACCCATCGCAGTAGCCTCATGCATCTCATGTATCTCAGGCCTCATCACCAAAGATCTCACAATGGCCGAAAACAAGCTGAACGTCTACGGAAAGCTCATGCTCACATTCGCATTCCCATCACAACGACCATCTGAAGCCCAAGATTTCTCGCGTCTCCCTAGAGCACAGTCTACTATAGGTCTCTCCTCCGAGTTCTCATCACAGGCTTTGTCGTCGTCCCTCACTCCTGCCCGGGCTTCAGTACCATTACCCCCGTCGACCAGGCCGTCCACATCCTCATCATCCCTTCGACCATATTCTACTATTAGTGCTCCATCCATGCCTACACCTTCAATAGAGAACGACGACCCTATGCCTCCAGGTTTCGAGCGACGATTAGATCCCCACGGACGGCCCTACTACGTCGACCACAACACGAGGACAACAAGCTGGCGATCCCCCAATGCTCCAGCGTTAACGTTTCAGCAATCTCCTCCTCCCACGACACCGTCTCCGCATGTCTCCGCTTCCAACACACCAGCTCGTGCAGTATCTCCAGCCGTCTCGAATGCACCACCCCGAACTCAAAGCACAATAACGATACCGACTCCGCCATCTGCTGCACCTCTATCTATCCCCCTTCCTGCTGGCTGGGAAGAGCGCGCTACGCCGGAAGGCCGACCATACTTTGTTGATCATAGAACTCGCGCTACAACATGGGTAGATCCACGCCGACAACAACTTGCCCTACGACAGCAACAGCAATCTACAGCCGCCCTTCCTTCACAAGTCCCCAATCCACAGCTCGGACCTCTTCCATCGGGTTGGGAGATGCGAATTACTTCTGCTGAGCGAATCTACTTTGTTGACCACAACACACGAACTACCTCCTGGGACGATCCCCGGCTTCCATCACAGGTCGACGAATCAGCACCCAAATACAAACGTGATTATCGCAGGAAAGTAGTGTACTTCAGGAGTCAACCCAGAATGCAGGTCTCACCAGGGAAATGCGAGATCAAAGTGCGACGAAGTCATATCCTTGAAGATAGTTTCACTGCTGTCATGGCCTTCCCAGCTACTGACCTCAAACGCCGGTTGATGGTAAGCTTCGATGGCGAGGAAGGTTTAGACTATGGCGGTGTCTCGAGGTTAGTGTATACACGTATCCTTTGGAGCACAACTAAGTGCGCGTGTCTTGACTAGAGAATGGTTCTTCCTTTTGTCACACGAAATCTTCAATCCTAGTTATGGGTTGTTCGAATATTCTACCAGTGATAACTACACCCTCCAAATCAATCCAGCGTCCGGCATCAACCCTGACCATTTGGACTACTTCCGATTCATTGGACGATGCCTTGGCCTGGCGATTTTCCACAGACGATTTCTTGATGCCTACTTTGTCCGCAGCTTCTACAAGATGATCCTAAAAAAGACGTCAACATTGGAGGACCTAGATAGCGTTGATACAGATCTACACCGGTCATTAACTTGGATGTTGTGAGTTACCATTACCCCCTTCCCTCAGCTAGTGTTGTATTCACCTTGTCGATTACGTAGGGAAAACGATATCACGGACGTCCTCGACGAGACATTCACGACGATGGAAGAACGCTTTGGGGAGATTGTGACCGTCGAACTCAAACCAGGTGGCGGCGATATTCCCGTGACGGAAGAGAACAAAGGCGAATACGTGAAGGCCGTCGTTGCCTACCGGATATCTGAACGGGTGAAGGAACAATTCAATGCCTTCAGCCGCGGACTCCTCGAACTTATCTCGTGGGACTTGATCAATGTCTTTGATGAACGCGAGCTTGAGCTGCTCATTGGTGGGATGTCTGACATTGACATGTACGTCTTCTCCGTTTGCCTACCTATGTCTTTGTTATTGATGTGTGGACGCCGTGTAATCCCAAACCGCCACTAGTGATGATTGGAATAAATTCACCGACTACCGGGGCTATGAGAAGACCGACCAAGTCATAGAATGGTTTTGGCAATGTCTTCGTTCATGGCCCGCCGAACGCAAGGTTCGCCTCCTTCAGTTTACAACAGGTACCTCTCGCCTTCCCGTCAACGGATTCAAGGACCTTCAAGGGTCCGATGGACCGCGTCGATTCACCATCGAGAAGTCCGGCGACCCTCAAGGGCTTCCGAGGAGTCATACGTGTTTCAATAGGCTTGATTTGCCGCCGTATGAAGATTACAAGAGCCTGGAGAGTAAACTGCTCTTCGCCATCGAGTGCGTGTCCAGTTAACTGTTGGTTTTGGAGAGCTAATATATTGATACGATCAACTTCGACAGGGAAACCGAAGGATTTACTGTTGAATAAGTTCGCTTCGTTGTCGTACTTAAGGTATCCGAAAAATATCCATATTTCCGCGATACTATATCGCTATTTAGTCGACCTTTGTTTGTGCTTTGCTATGCTTCGTCAAATGAAAGATGCGTTCATTCCGTTCCGTCGGTACTTGTGTTTCAGTTAAACATCATGAAACATCTTCGTATTGCTTATGGGCTGTAATTCCGATTCGAATCGACACATGCCGCTCGACCACTCACTCTATTATAACACCATAGCTACATGTTTGGGCCGGAGGAGAAACGAGTGTTCGGGACGTTTGTCTTGGGCCTGGCTAGCATTTAAATCCTAGTTCGTTTTCCACTGGATACACGAACAGATAAGGAAGCTTTGTTGCTCTGTGGTCCTGGGGCCTAAACGACAAAGGAAAGGGAGTCGGGATAGGAATCAGAGTGTCGTTGACGAAGGATCGCACAGAAAACACGAAATATTGCGATACGCAAGCAAGCTTTTCTCAATCAATAAAGGGAGTGAATAGCTACACGAATTTCTAGGTAGCACCGCCATCAATTTCATCAGGATCTCAAGGCGCAGCTGTCACTTGAGTGGGATCGAAGTTAGGGCACTTGTGTGCAAAATAGAATTCTGTGGGTCACAAGTCATTAGCGGATGCTTGATAAAGCGAGATGACTGGCTCACCAGTAGCGGCAGCTGCATAGCTCTCAGCATTCTCCATTGGGGCAAGAGGTGGAGTCTTCAGCGGTTTCTGGGGTTTAGTGCCCGATGCTTGTTGGGCTTGGAAAGCGACCCAATGCTGCTGGAGTGTCCGCGCCGCTGCCGGAGCATATCTGCTCGGACTGCCGTACTTCTTCCTCCCGTCATTCTCGTCATTCTTACCTAATATATCGAGAGTCCCGCTGAATTTCCACTTGGATGTAAGTACGGATAGACATCGTAACGAGGATTCAACCTACGCTGTATCATCATTATCGGTGGGTTGGATTAGCCCGGCCTGGAGACCGATATATCCGAAATGGGTCATTTCGTGCAGAATAGTGTGGCCTGCTGTGACGAAATTCCCCAGGGTATGTGGAGGAGCCGTACACCATCCAGTAGGGGTAAATAGCTTGCTATTGAGATCAAGTTGGGTTTCATGATCTGTGAAGAAGACAGGACAGAGCCTCATGGTCGGAGGATTGGCAGATCGCTTCGTGTCCGTCAATGCTAACCTATAGTCAGACGTGGATTTGTCATTACAGCTGGAGCAAGGAGTGTTACTGCAGCTTACGTTCCCTTACAACTCGGTTCTTGGGCTTCCGTAGGACATGTCACTTTCATTGACATCTTCGAGCCAGCAATCGCTGCGAACACCTTTGGGACTGTACCTACATCATCGGGATCTGTAGGAAGGAAGTAGTTCTTGAACCTAATAACAAAGCATCAACTAAACGAAAGGCTGCAATGCCAAGTCACTACTTACGCTTGGTCAGCCGGCCCCATACCATGCGCCGTGGTTGCCAGAGTAATCGCGTCCGTCAGAGCAGTTTTCACCTTGGCCTCATGAGCTGCACAACTTGAGTCGATGGTGATGTGAGCCAAAAGAGGGTCGTTGGATGTATCGCAGCGTTTATGAATTGTTTTTCCTTTGCTGTTCTTGACAGGTACATCACAAGACGGATCTGATTTCCCCGGACTAGCACCGGGGGGTTGCCTGGAAGGCCCTGACGGTGGTGGCAGCCGAGCGGGTCCATTTGGCTGCTTTGTTGGTACCTTCTGAGCTCATTAAGCTGGGATGTTCAATGCCATGGTACTGGCATACTCACCGGCGCGCCTTTGGGGGGTATAGGTGCGCCTTTCGGTGGGCCGGGAGCACCCTTCGGGGGGACAGGGGCCTTGGGCGGTACTGCAGGTACCTTTGGTGCCGGCGCAGCTTTAGGGAGAGCGGGTACAGGTTTTGGTGCTGGCGCTGCACGGCCAAGTGGAACAGCGTCCGTCACTGATATCATCAGCATCAACGCCAAAGCAGTATGCACGAAAGGTGTTGCTGAGAATCGCATAGTGATGGCGGGGAGAGATGGAGATTGATGTGTACTGATTGAACGGACCAGCCGAAGAAGAGATTGTGTGTAGAGCACCGGGCTGAGGAAACATCCATCAACTTGGGGTAGTACTTATACACGAATGAAGTCCTGTTCGCTGAATTCTCTCGGAAGAAGGCACAAGGGATCAAACCTATATCGGTTACCGCAGTGATATCTCCAGTGCCGAAGAGTTGTTGGCAATACGACCGTCAGTTTCGAGAGCACTGAGCGGCGAAACACTGCTTGACAAATGATTGGTACTGGGCCTGAGGCCTGAGCAGTCGCCCAAGGAGCTTCGGCACTGCCCAAGCGGGTCGACGTGAGTAGCCTTGCCGTGCAGTGATTCGAACAGGGCGCCAGAAAAGGAACTATCAAATTGTAAACAGCATGCCAAAAGGGAACCGCAGGTCCGCAGCAACGGTCAACTATAATAGGTCAGTTTGAAGGTAGTATCCAATGCTGAAGAACCCACCACATCATCTCTGGTGCTGCCTTTCTTGAATCTTCAAGCCTTGTTCTAGTGTTCGTCGTGTTTTCTTCATGTGTTTCCTCACGGACTATAATCATAACTAAGTAGACCACGCTTTTCATACATCCGTGTAGCGTTCCAGTTTGATCGTATCTTTGATGCCAACAATTCCATTGCGCTGTTCATAGCAGCCCCGCTGTGACAAGGGCAAGAAAAGGAGAGCAAAGACCTGAAGGAGATTAGGTGGCTGAAGCTTGTCGCCGTACCCAAAATGACGCTGGCGGTCTCCGGACAGAGTACCAACGCTAAGATTCAACGGTTTGAAACACGGCCTATTTCGAATGTCAAGTTAGGATGTAGGAGTTTTCAACAACGGCAGAACTTCTTACGTTTCATGGGAAGGAACTGAAGGATATTTGCCGAACAATGTTGAGGCATTAGGCCTTAGGCATCGGCAGGCAAGGGAAGTGCCTCCAAGCGGGTTCGACGTTGAGGTGTATCTGGCTGAGCCTCGTGCAAAGTTGTATATGGTAGTGGGATGTCGCGTATACCGAGCATGGGTAGATGTCAACAATGCATCTGTGTATACTCATTAGTTGTTGGAATGATATTTGACTTGGTCATTTAAAATAACCCACACTTTTGCCTTGTCTGCGACTTCTGCGTGCCTCACGAAAGGCATTTCCCTTCTGATTCTATAGTACTGTAGTCCGCTCGAAGTATGATGTCTTCCTTCAGCGTGGTCCGTCTTGGAATTGCAGTGCACACTGCGATAGAATCGTGAGTCTTGTCGTGATGATCAGAATTCTGATTCACGAAACTCGACCCTGAGCGCTAAGCACTGCACAACTCATAAGAAGTCTCGCTGTCAAAAGTGCAACTGTCTCACAGCTTCCTCTCTGACGGGTGGGTACATTTCTACAGCATAAATATTGGCTCTGAATCCTGCGGTTCGCAGCAGGTGTGCGATAGAATTGATAGGAATGACCTCCCGACTCCCCGTAGAACTCGTGCGCGAGATTCTTGCTTCCATCGAGGATCCAGAAGACGACGACGACCTCACCGCTACGTATACTGTATCACCCATTCTCATCGCTTGCTCCCTCGTCTGTCACGCTTGGAACGATATCTGCCGGCCCCGCATCTTCAGCAAAATAGTCATAAACCAAGATACAGCTGGACTTCTTGATCGACTCTCCTTCCTGCATTTCACTGCACCCTACCTCACCCGTTATATTGTCTGCCTGCATCTGTGGTGGGATGATGATGTTGCCCTAGCACCACCATGGGTCTCAGACTGCTTCGCCCACATGAGGAATCTCACTTCGTTATGTCTCATTTGGGATCCTTCCACGACGGTCGCGGCACACATCGCATTATCCACGCTTGGAATCATGTCCTTAATCCCTGAACTTTGCCTCAAAGAACTTGCCTTAGTCGGCTGGCGAGTTGACGAGGACGGCTCGGATATTCTGCCCTTCCTTTCAGCCTGTTCAACCAGCCTCGACGAACTTGTGATTGTGATCACCCACACCTTCGACCATGGAGCATTGCTACGACCCGCGGACCCGTCTATCATTCGGTTGGAGGCTCTCCGCGAACTAGTTGTGATCGGCAAGGGAGATCGACTCCCTCGTATCGACGCTATAGAGTGTCCGAATCTCAGGTCTTTGACCATCGAGCACCTAGGCGACGGCCCTTGGGGCATACCCCCAAAAATCTCCGACAAGCTAGTTGATCTCACTGTGACAGGTATATCGTCCGCACCGCCGCATCGTGCCCGCTGATCGATCCTCCTTCCAGCGCCCTGCTCGTCTCTCATTCCCGAACTAGGTCAGCGCATACGGCCCTCTGAGCTGAAGCTAGAGGTCCAGAAGGAATCCGATGAGGCGTACCGCAGTGCCATGGTATGGATACGGGACTGTATTGCTCGCCTTCCGTTTCCTTGTGCCATTCGTGAGCTTGTAATCGAGATCGCAAACGAGGAGGGCAAGGATCTGGATGCACTGGATTATCCTTCCCTCGCCGACTATGAAGAACTGTACCGCGCAGTACGCTCGCTCGCACAGCACGGGGCATTGCGGAACATGGACGTCACACTCAAGACGTATGTTGCTAGTGGCAAGGTGTACGAAGATGATCACGAGGGGGAGGCTGCGAAGCTGGACGAAGCGTTCGGCCCGTTGTTACGAACGGGTAAAATGACTGTTAATCTCACTTTGGACCAAACCCAAGATTGAGAAACATGTAATTTCGAACACAGATGTATCATACTCACCACTGAATGAATATCCATTCATATTAGCGCCGCGTGGTAGAGGACACTTGCCGTTGAGTGTATTCTATTCACTGGTTGTTTGGACGACCTACCTTATTTATATCAAGTGCTATCCAAAATCGATGTAATTGCGGTACACGGTGCCGACGCTCTCCGGTGTTCTTGTTATATTTACGTCGCTTTATTTGCCTCATCGGAGCCGAAATTTACTTTCAAGTTGTAATGAACGTACGTGTGGCCCCGATCACCCATACGTATTTCGAATTTTCGAATCACCCTTGCCAGCTGCTGATCATGACCATGCGCTTCGAGCCCAGCGTGGGGCCGTTATCAGAAGTGACACATGCATGGCTCTGTAATCAACACACCCTAGCGAACGTTCCTCTGAAACTCGAGCCTCGTATGTGCTACGACCATCGAACCCCTTCGCATGGTGAAGGTTTAGGAAGGTGATTATTTTCTCGTGTCTCATTAATCATTGAATGTTGACCGTCGATCAAGGCCTGGTTAGGTGTCCAAATACACTGGCGATAAATATTAGCCAAGTACCTACATCTCATCTCGTAGAGGACACTCTATTTTAGGAAAACCGTAAAAATAAATATGACGAAGGATAAAATACGTATATAAATGTCGAATATAGAAAAGATCTGTGGTATAAACAAACACGATATGAGGGACCCGATATACACCGTTCGTATATACAAGTAGAGGACGATTGTCGCTGTCAGATATACAAATTTAGTTGATCAGCTAGAAGATAGAAAGAGAATCGGAATGCGGGGAAGTTGGAAACGTCCAATACACAATAAAGCCTTATTCCACCCAAAGCGAAGGAGAAATGGTTAAGTACTACACTGGAAAAGAAGATCACTGTTAGCTACTCATTTGCGACGAGAAGCGGCGAAGAACTGACCATTCAAAGAGCAACTCCATAGGTACTTCCGTAAGCACTCATTCTTTGGGCGTTCAGTGTTTCTTGGGAGTCCATCCCAGCATGCAGACACACGACCGGGATCAGACCTGATTGCCACTGGCCGTCGACACTGAATCGCTTTTCGACGAAGGCCCAGCCATCGTCAAATTCCTGTACAACGCGGACCTTGTCTCCCGGAAGCACGGGGAGTTCGTCGTCCAAGGTAGGGTTGAAGGGCCTTTGGATGACTTCGAGGTCAACGCTCCGGACGGAGCAGACGTCCATTTCGGACTGTGTGAGGAAAGGGTTGGGCATGGCCGTTGCAGAAGGGGGGCGGAAGCGGCGACTGGAGGATCGGGACATGATGCTCATTGAACGAGAGAAAGTAGCGCGAGAAACGTTTACGTCGGCAGTCTGGGGGCGGGCTTGCGTGCTGACTTTCCGGGCTAATGTTGGTCGACGGCCGAGTACGTTGTCCGCCGTTGCGGGACGAGAGCCAACTGGGAGGAATTGCTGAGTGAGGGTGTTGCGACGGCTGAGGTCAGCAGAATTCGCGGTTGAAGGTCGGGAAGGGGGCTTGGGGAATGTGAAAGATTCGGACGGTGTGAATGGCCGGACACAGATAGATTGTAGTTCGTCGTCCTCGTTGTCTTCTGGCTGGACAACTCTGACATCAAATTCGGGGGAAAGAGACCGAGCGGCCATCGGGGGACTGTCGAAGGACATCAAGACTGGGCTTCCTTGAGTACTCTCCGTACCATCTCTGATCTGCGCCATTGGCGGGGGGCTGATTGACGGGCTATCCATACTCAATAAGAGAGGGGGAGGCGTCGCGGGATACGATGATGGAGGAGAGCCGTTGGATTCCAAGTCGGTGTTAGCGAAGCTGCTTCGTGCGCTGAGATATCCGCCACCGCTCTCAATCATGGTCAGCTCACTCCTCTGCAGAGATTCGCTGCCCGAGCCCCGTCTTGCCCAGGCCGCTCCCCAAAAGGCGTGGCGTTGGGAACGTTTCTTCATGTAACGACGACGGAGGAGAAGGAGGAGAAGGAGTAAGAGGAGGAGGGAACCTATAGTCGCGATTGCGGCGATACCTCCCTTCGACAGGCCTCCATTGTTAGTGTTGGCTCCAGCCCCACTCGTGGTGACGCTTCCATCGTTCGTCTGCCCGCGGTCACCACTGGCAGACCCTCCGCTGGAAGTGATGCCCGGCAATGCAGCACCATTAGTTGGCGATCCGGTCACTGCGGCGGCCACGCCCGCATTGTTGCCGCCAGACGCAGAACCAGAGTTGGAGTCATCGGCACCGTCACCACTGCTCGAGGACCCAGATGATTGCGACCCACCGACCTGAGAGCCTGACTTGCTGCTGTCAGACTGGGAGTCGCCGCCAGCCAGATTGTTGGTGCTGCCACTCGCTGCGTTGCTGGTAGATCCAGAATTGTTGCCGGATGCACCGCTGTCGGAACTGGACGATCCATTCCCAGAGAGCGATGTACTCGAACCATCCGAGTTGACATTGTTGCCCCCGCTGCTCGATCCATCGCTGGTGCTACCGCTGTTGCTGCTCCCACTGCCGCTGTCACCGGTACCACTATTTCCCCCACTGTTGTTGGCACTATTCCCACCGCTGCTTCCATTGCTGTTCCCATTGCCGGTACCGTCACCAGATGCCCCTGTCCCGCTGCTTGCGTTCCCACCGCCATTATTAGTGCCAGTGCTTCCGCCGCTGCTTCCGCTCCCACTGTCGGCACTCCCACCGCTGCTACCTGTGTTTCCAGCGTTACCTGTATTTCCCGTGTTCCCTGCAGTATTTCCACTGGTAGGCGCGGGCGCTGGTGTCGTGACGGGCGCTGGGGCGGGTGTTGGCGTCGGTGTCGCCTTCGGGGGTGTTGACGTAGATTTTTCCCCATTCAAGCCAAGCACAGACAGAAGCGGTCCGATGATGGGCAGATCTATGTTGAGGTTGATAGCCCTACGGTCGATGGGGGCTGGCGTAGGAAAAGGAGCTCTTGCTAATACATCGTTTTTGAAGTGAGCGCGAGCATGGTGCGTATGTGAACGTAGATGGTGATTCATCGGCGAGGTGGAGGATTGGCGGATCGGAAAAGAGAGAGTATGTCGAGGAAAAGACTGTGGTCAAAAAGAATGTGTGGTTTCGCTCAAACCGGGTTCAGCCTGCTGCAATCTTCGAGTCGCAAAGAAGAAAGACGAGGAGAGCACTGGAGAGCGGTGAGAGAGGCCTTGAGAACAATCATACCTTTTTTCTTGCTTGTGCATGTGAGACCCTGCGCCTCAGGGAAATTTAACACGCAGTTTCGGGACATCAGAAGTATGGCCGTTTCCGTCTTAGGCTAATTCGATTCTGGCAAAATCAAGATCGAAAGCAGCTTGGGGAATGAAGCGAAACCGAAACGTCGAAGCCTTCCTGCCCCGCCCCCTCCGACGCTCGAGTCCAAATGTGGAATAGTCCGGCTTCGGTACTATAGATTCAGTACCATAGAGGCAGCGCTCCACCATGCCTCCCAAGAACTACGCGCATTATTTCTCAGCACGGCAACTTTGCCATATTTTTGACTGAAGGAATGATGGTAGGTACACAATAAATATATCGACCAGGCACGCCTTACAACACAGCAATCCCAGCCGCCTGCCCCTGGACTTTCCAGGTCCGAACACATACCTCTAAAAGGAGACAAGAAACCGCGTCATTGACCTTGCGAGTACAATTTAATCCATGGCGACGTGAATGTATGATAGACAATATATGGTTGGTATGTAGCATGCCTCACTTGAAGCAATAAGTGTCAAGTGAGCGACTCGATAAATTTCGACGCCGCTGACAACGTTACAAGGTCGAGGGGTACTGGAAGCGACATTCATTTATTCAATTTCCACATCCCGTCACGAACGGTTACTAGGTCCTCCCTTCTTGCAGCTTCCATGAAACCCGCGAGCTGAGTGATCGTCCGATCATACCCAGGGGCAAATTTCAGCATCGTTTGTATTCGGTCGAGCGGAAGCGCCCCCAAGTTCGTCAGCATGCCTTCGATGAACTAGAAGTGCTTTTAGTTGAAACATTACGGTGCTCTAAGCAAAAACTCGCACCTTCCAATAGACTCTCATCTGTTCTGCCTGTTGTTGTTGGACGGAAACCACTGGAGGCATTTCCACTTCGACGGTAGCTATCGCAGCGATAAGAGATTGAAGGGTAGAAACATTCGTCCACTCACTTGGCCTGTGGACGTGGTCTTTTGCTTCAGCACCCTTGCCGGCGGAGACTTCTAGGACTCTGTAAATCCCCTCCCCTGCTGACGCCAAGACACCAAGGTCTAGCCATGTGTTGACCGCTTTGGAAAGGATATTCGGTTGGGACAAGCCCACTCGTTTAGCGATATCGTCAAGCGTCCACTCGCCTATGTCACATATAAGCCACGCAGTAGCTAAAAATAGGCACCGTCATACTCTGCTCCGAGAATAATTCGATGACCGCAGCTTCAAGAGGCGAAACGAGAGCTTCAACAACTCGGTCTTCAAACTCCAGTTCGACGTCAACCGTGCCAAGGTGCGTTAACCAGCGCAGTCTTTTATCGGGCTTGAACTTGGTAAATTCGGCAGTATATTGATCCTGGAGCCTGAAAGAAACGGTTGGTTAGTGAGAGAAGAACGGGCGTAGTTACCACCGCAGGGAAATAATCTACTCTTTCAATTGACCGGGCATCAAAATTTCGCTGGATTCTAAAGCTGGCCAGAAGTGTTTTGAGATAATCGCGGGATGGATTACCGACTGTAAAGTAGTGAAAGATAAACGAGAAGGAGGCTACAGCGAATGGAGGAGATACTTACCGCTTGTTGGGATTGTATATGTTGGTCGATTCGCTTGGAATCGGTCATATCCTTGAGCATGACCTCGCAAACTTGCAGCGCAGCTTCGCCGAACCGGATCTTCAATATCTCAATATTTCTCCTCTACAAATACCCCGCGTATTTATGAGAAAATTCGATGAAAAGGATGGCATGGTCACCTACTTCCTTCTCGACCTTATCGGATTGATCATCACCAGCAGCGAGCAGTCTCTGGGCCAACAAAATTTGAAGTTCTTTTACGAAGAAATCCTTCGAATCATAGATGCTGACAAGAGTGCTAATGATGTCGCTGGGTTTGTTAGCTCGAAAGTCTGTATTGGAATTAGTATCTTTGATTCGGTGATGGTGGCACTTCGACCCACCAGGACCGGCATCAATTGGCTCGGGCTCCCAATTAGGGTCCGAGTAGTCTTCAATTTCTGCAGCCTGGAGCGGCCGAGGTGGCTCAGTTTCGTCAACGAGGGCATCACCACTGTCGTCGTCGCCTACGAGGTTGGCTACAATGGATCGAATTGTATCGGGCCGATCACTGCATCGAGCGCGGGTAAGCATCGATGAAGGGTACGTAACGGTATAAGACTAACCGAAGGTACCGTCGAATAGGATCAGCTACCTTGAAAAGAAGTACTCCGGGAGGGTCGACAATTCGAAGACACTTGATCGTGGCGACATATTGTGAAAGGATAAGTTTTGTGTCCGCACCAGGGTGAAGGAGTCTCTTGCGGTGACTATTCGACATGGGATTAGTGGGAACCGAATAGATGCAAGTACTTCCACACACGCTTGGCGTAACGATTGCACCAAGGCAGCGCGCTGGTCTACGCGTTGCAAACATTCCTAGAGCAGTCACAAAGCCCCATGAAGACGCGTACGGGGATGGCTTTAGTACCGACTCACCTTTAGATCTTTCAGAGCCCCCTCAGAATCAGGGAAGTCGATGATAATATCAAAAATTTCGCGGGTCCTTTGGCATGAGAGTGGTCAACAACAAGACTGACGGCAGGAAGACTAAAATACCGTAAGTCACAAAGGGTTTTGGCCATATGAAAGTCAAACCGCGATCCCACACCAGCTAGCATGGCCCGCGCCTCCTCGGCTTATGATACCAGTCAACTCAGGATCGGCGAGTGAGGTGGTGAGTGCTCACTGCTTGTGATGTTACGTCCGTAGACATGAATCATCCATGGGACTATCTTGGCAGTCATCCAGTCCCTCGTAGGGGTTAGCATGGGTTCCCCCCATTGTCCGGTACATGTTTCAAGAACATGGCGCTCAATATGTTCATAACCAACACTAGCGATGAGGGACTCGAAGCGGTCAATGAAGCCAAGCGCGTCAAATGTGGACCAAATTTGATGATCCTGCTTTAGCGCCTCGCCCTCCTCTTCTGGTGCAAGAGTGGATGCAATGAGGTCTTTAAAGGCACTGGAAAAGCTTTCTGGCAAGATGGAGAAGAGATGTGTCTGGAAGAAGTTGATATATACTGATTGGAATGCAGCTCCAAGCCTCAAATGCTAATTAGATACCTACCGGTAAAATGCGAAACCGATTACTCACTCGGTAGCAGGTGTCCACTCTTTCATCCACTCGTGTACTCTATAGACCATCTTTGAGATAATGCCGACGTCCAAGTCCGCCTAGTTCCTATGATGAAGTGATAGGCAGCAAGCACCAAAACTGAACTCACAGTGTATTCGATCATGAATTGGTCGACTTCCTGCTGAATGAGATAAAATAGGCTCTCTACTTGACCTACAATACTGATAATTAATACAGTTATCGTGTCGAGTATATAGCACGTACTGAGGAACGTTTCGATAAGTGTAGGTAGCCTCTTGCTCTTGTGAATAACATCCAGTGCTGCACGGACTGCTTGCGCTGTGACGAATCGTGTCTGGACCCAAACGGCTGCATGATTTCGAGCAACATCTTACTGTATTGCCTTGGGGGCAGAGGTTCGTTGATATTTCTTGGTTTCAGAAATTCGGTGGCGACATCCCAAGCCTAATCCGGGCCACTTGAACCCAGCGCTCGTCAAAGAGGGTTCAATGGTGTTACCTGACTGAAGGCAATCAACCCAGAGATCCCTGGTTCGCGTTGATTAAACCTCCGAAATGAGTCCTGCCATTTGGTAGCGACTTGATACCGTAGTCCATTGCGGGCCATCGATTTCGAAGAGTAGGCGGATCGGCAATGGTGGTGGCGGCGTCTGGCGCGTCGTATAAATCCCACGTGACACAAGGGTAAGCGCGACAGTCGGGAAGGACGCTCTCATGACTACGTCGACTATCAATTCCGGGACGATGTCTGCACACATCCGGATCGCTGCCGCCGTTCTTGGGAAAATATACACTTCCTCAGGGCCCGATTCATGTTCAAATGGGACGTACTGGTGTTATGATACTATAGCCTCCAGTGCGACACATGGAACAATCGCAAATGCCTCCAATCAGTTGCACCATAAGTACATCAGCTGACGATAATGTTCTCTCATCAGCGGTCCGTTGCGGATGGTAGAGTCTACGAAGCTCGCTACCGGCCCCGCTTCTTCAAAGCCATACATAAAGTCGTCGTATATCAATGACAGTCCAAAAGTTCATTTCCTAGTCAAGGTAGCCAAAATCTACCAATGAAGAAAATCCGCTGACTTGTGATGTGTAGATGAAAGTCTCGACCGGTTTAACGCTCTTTGCATTGATTTCATCGTCACCGCAACCCATTGAGGGTGCATCGAGCACTTGTACGTCTGGATGCACAATGTACTCAGAGAGCTATTAGTAACAGATTGGAACTAGTGATTGCCCCACGCTTTGGACGCCTTCCAACTGGCGCCATCAAACCGTTTGGATGGTCTTTGAACCAAGCCCGTGTTCAAGCAGAGGGTCTGGCAGGCCATCTGAGGGATTTCGATAGTTAGTAAGTTCCGCACTCTACGCCTCATCCAAAAACCTTCTTACATGAACCCAGTGTCGCAGGCTCAATCTGGGTCCCAGGAGGTAGTATTGAATATAGTGAGATGCACGAATCTGGGCCTTATTGGTTGTGCGTAAACTCCCCGTCCCCTGGTGCTCCGAAATTCTCATTGGATACAGTAACGGAATGATTGCCTTGGCCTTTCAACTAGAAGACCAAAGGTTGATTGGTCAACTCCGCGAATTTCTTGACTTCAACTTGGACAACCAGCAACCAGATGGTTGGATTGGCCCCGATTGGAACATGTCGATTCCTCGGCTAGTGTGGCCTCGATATCTCGTATTGCTGGGGCTCATTGTACGTGGGCTTACCGAATAGCCACTAGCTAAATCATGGCTATACTGATGGGAGGTTCCAGCAATACGCTGAAGCAGATCCGTCACAAACTGAGCGGATCGTGGACGCGATGCATCGCTTTGCATCGCTAGTCCATCAAATCTGGTCCAATAATCAGCAAGGCCAGCCTTCTAACGGTTTTAATTTCGATTACCAGTTCGTTCGCTGGGAAGAGGTAAGCTTCCTCAAACGCCGCTTACGTTTACCTATTGTTTCATTAGTTGATATTATCTCTGGAATGGCTCTTTGATAATTTCCCAAGAGGTTTGTTTTCTCGAGAGATGTTTTAATTCTAACGTCTCCTCTATTACTGTAGGCAAGGAAGCCGAGCTCCTAGAGTCGATGCGAATGGTTAGAGCATCCGGATTTGATTGGAAAAACAAGTGGTACACAGACACCAACTTTCCTAAGGAAGCTGTAACGTCGCTAAATATGCAAACGTGAGTGTGACTCGTCGACATTTCCTCACAATCTTACGGGTTTCGCAGACATGGTGTGAACAATGCCGAAGGTGAGATCCCGTCTACTCAGCTCAAGCGTCGATCTCACAGCTACCTTGTGGCTAGCTCTGAAGTCGGAAGCTTTGGCATATCGCTTCACCGGCGATGAGAGTGACAAGCAAAGCACATTTAATCGTCTGGATTTATTGTACAAGTATCACGGGCGTGCTTCTGGTATGACATTAGTACCCTGCAATATTACAATGCCGTTAACCCTAAAAAGGTACCTTCTCTGCGGACGAGCACCTCGCTGGTTTGGATCCCTCACGAGGGTACGTTTCACCCTTTGTGATGTCTTAGTTTCCCTATCTGATATCAGAACAGAACAGAGCTGTGCACCGTCGTGTTCGTAGAGTTCACTCCCCAACTTTCTTACCGTCTGACTTGTGGCGCCAGTGAACAGATATTCTCGCTCGCAGTTATTTACCAGATATTTGGCAACAACTCCATAGCTGATAGAGCCGAAAAGCTAGGTATGTACCACCAGAACATCCTTCTAGAATTGCGATCGAAGAGACTCTAGCGTACAACGCGTTGCCCGCTGCACTCATGCCCGATTGGAAGTGTAGGTAGTCCAGTCTTTATTAGCTGACGTCTGATTGACTACGGAACTGCTAGCTCACCAATACGACCAAGAAGGTAGGATTCCCTCGTTTGCGCACATTGGCGCAGACTTATTTCTTATGATGATAGTCAACCAGATTTGGGCTAAAGAAATGAATCCGCCACCGTGGGGCAACAATGGCCCAGATTCCAATGTCTTTGGATTCGAGCCGTGAGTTGTCTGTCTAAATTCCTTCGCTTTCAATGTGATCCCTAACCCATCCAACACAGAAACTATCCTTGTTGCACTGTCAACCATCCGCAAGCATATCCAAAGTTCTGGGCGAATTCATTCGTCACCGATGCGAATGGGACTTCTCTCATCCATGCCTTCCTTGGACCGGCGACATTCTCTGGCCGGTTGGGATCGAGTAATCGAGTTGAAGGTACGTATTCCGCCCAGAAATGAATCTACGCAGCACGATGAATGTCGTGAACAGTTACAGTCGACACGTTATATCCTTTTGGGCCGTCTTTGACATATACTGTCTCCGCGAGACAAGCTTTCGATTTCAAGATTCGCGTCCCCGATTGGGCTCAGAGTGGCAAGAGCACAATATCCTTGAACAACGGTCGTGCGGCTCGCTTGAATGTAGATGCGTCTTCTTTCCATATCGTAAAAGTACGTGCTCCTTTGGACTTAGTCATCATGGTGCCTAAGTTTCATGGCATGGTCAATTTAGGTACCAGCTCGAACGACGACGTTTAAAGTGACACTGGATATGCCGACTACCATCGAGGCTCGGCCGAATGGTGCAATCGCCGTGAATCGGGGCCCTCTACTGTATGCAATAGACTTGCAGTTCAATGATACTGTAACACCGGGTCAAAGGTGATGCATTACTTATGTACGCTCCGGCCTATGTTGCTTAAACTCGCGTAGGAGTGCTCAGGCTTTGAACGATGTAAGAAGGTTGTATCCCAACGCCCCTGAAGATTTCTTGACGGCTGTAAGTGGTGTGATTTGTCGCATTCAGTGCAACCGTGTACGCTAATTTGACTCTGGCCACTTTCGTAGTTTGACAATCACACTCAAGCCCATACCTTGCTTCCTACGGGGGAATGGCGACTTGCAATCGATGCCTCCAGCATTAGGGTCATTGATAAATCCGCAGATATTTCCGAACTGCCCTTCTACGCCTGGGCGGCCGACTCGTCGCCAGTCAGTATGACCGCTGACGCCTGCCAGATTGAGTGGGGGTTAACTAAGGGGACCGCGTCTACTCCCCCGACCAGTCCCAACGCGTGCGTCGGACCTAAATTGAAGGTGAACTTGATACCTTTCGGAGCAGCGAAACTGCGGTTGGGCGAGATCCCTACGATGTAAATTAGTTTGAAAATATGTAACCCCCTGTTCGCGATCAATTTACTTCCAAGCTCAGTCCATCTGTGTACGTGGCATGTAAGCGACTAACAACACCGTCAATGCAGCAAGCCAACGTTGGGAAAACCAACTGCAGAAGGACTTGACAAAGAGCATCTCATAGTCTTATGTAATGGCCGCCCTCACACGCTCTACGCTTAGCGCCACACTGTTCTTCTATTCCATCATCATCTAAAGAGTCGCTGTTATATTCTGCAGGTGAGCCCGGCCTTGTAACCAGGCACCAACGCATCAACCTCAAGGTTTCAAGATCTGATGGTTCACAACTCAGAGACCTCCCTCCCAGCCCTAAGTCGCGATTGACAATGGAGAGAATATCCTCTCGGTGTGAGTGAGTTCTTAGCGCATTTCGTCGATGATTGACGTGGGGCACTGACGTTATATTTGTCGTTAAACTTAGTCAACAACCCAGAGAGCGACATAACATGCCGTTCCTCAGACTTCATATCGTTTAAACTGAAGCGCGTAAACTTACAAATGTTCTCCAATATTCCCGTTCTCTTCGCGGATGCTCTTAGCGCGGACTCACCTAATACCTTTGCGAGTTCGCCTGTGTCTGCATCAAAGCAACGACACTCCCAGCTGGATGCCTGCGGGGAATTTCGTATCGTTGATGCCGAGGGAACGAAAGGCAAGGGCCTGGATACTGATGATGAGGCGGAGGGCGACCAGGAGGCGAGGGATGATAGAGGGGGCACAAAAGGAGGTAGCAACGAGTTCTTCAGCGTGGACGGCAATCGAAATAGTGTACCATCGCCATCGCCGTCACCTTCTTCAGCGTCAACATCAACACTTACGCCGTCTCAGCACTATGGTCGCGCGCCTCCTTCACCCACACCCTCTCCCCCACCTCTCAATCGTACTCAAACAGCCCCCTCAAACAGCCCCACTCCACCACCGACGATAACTTTAACGGAATCCTCCGCAACCCTCGAAATTCTCTTCCAGTTCATGCACAATCAGCCACAACCCATAGCGACCATCGCAGTAATCTCTTTTAGCTCCCTTGTAGCCCTCGTCTCCGCAGTCGAGAAGTACCAAGTTCATGCCGCGAAAGAGGCGTGTAGGAATCGATTAAGGTATGTTGGCCTCGGCTTTCCCCTGTTTCACCTGGAATTGTGCAACCAGTCAAAGTTCTATCGATTCTATCACTCAAACCGTCCTTCGCATTTTCATAGGGAGTTTATACCACACCAACCACTCAAAGTTTTGCATATTGCGACAATCCATAGATATACCTCGTTGATGGATGAAGCAGCGCCATATACCCTTGGTCTCCCTCTCAAAGACATCCAATCAACTTTGAACGCGAATACGTTCATTGCTTGGGTGCGTCCTCCCCCTCCCCAGTTATCAAAGTTCTTATTGATGCGTTTGGCAGGTTCACTACCACCACTCCTTCTCCCTCCTCCTACATCAGATCCAGACGTACCAATCACCCACCCGCTATCACTGGGAATCTCTTAAAGACAAACCAGGTGTCAAGACCATGGATTCGCCGTGCGAAGTGTGGACGGAGTTATACGCGAAGGTGGCATGGAGGATTGGGGGCTGGGTTGGGGGAATCGTTGGGTTGAGTGATAGTAATGGCGATAACGACAGTAATAATGCTAACGCTAATGGGAATGGTGGGGGAGCGGGAGGTGGAGGAATAAAGGAGATATTTAGGCAGACGAGGGAGGTGATCGGGCTGAGGTGCATGAGCTGTCCGAAGTGGATGATGGATTGGGAAGAGGAGGTCTTGTATCGGATGGGGAAGATGAAGAGGTTTAGTGAGTATTTGTGACGGTACATTGGCGGCGACTGTCGTATACCAGATCGGACGGACGACATAAAGAAAGGACGAGCACAGAGAGTCAGAGTGGTTTATCCTTATCAGGAACATAGCAACGTGGTCGCGAGTAGAGTAAAAATACTGTACAAACGATTGCGCAACCATGCTCTTTCCAAGCTTTGAGATGGAATGAGAACGATAGGTAAATGACTCGCTTGAAGGCGTTCTACTCTCAATAAGACACTGTGTAAAAGTATCCGTGTGCAGACAAACAAGAATGTGTGCTAGCCAGCAGAAATCGACAATGGCTAATTGTTGATCTATACAATTAACGGCAATCAGAAGCGGCTGGAGGATCGTGTACTGACTGGTTTTGACGCGTGGGCGCTCAAATGCAATTCTTGTACTAGCGCTCAATCACAGAAGCTGTTCACCATATTTCACCGCTGTACGCGATGGACATCAGCGGACAAACGGTTTCTCGACGATGTACGTCTGACTCACGTTCGTCACTTGCACCGATTCTGATGCTGATGTTCTGTGCCAGTCAACGCCCCCGACTCGGACATTTCGCTTCTGTCGTCTGACAATGTCCTCTTCAAGGTCCACCGCATCAACCTCAAGATGCACTCTGACATATTCGCTGATGCAGACGATATATCTACCTTCAAGACCTCGAATCAGCAGGCTCCGGAGATCGTAGCATTGGCAGAACATTCCACCGTCCTCTCTATCCTGTTGCGCTACATGTATCGTCAACCACCGCCTGACCTTTCGGCTCTCGCGCACGACGGTGAGCTATATATCTCTGATATGAGCAACCGGACTCCGCTCATTGCTCGCTAGACTTCCCCCTCCTGGAACAAATTGCAGAAGCAGCAGAGAAATACCGGGTTTTCTTCGCAATTGACGCCGCCGTTCGCGCTCTTAGGTGAGTAGCATCATTGGATCATGTTTCGTGCCTTTCTTCCACCCCAGTGTCTCTCTCTTCCACAAGCCGAACCAGTCGGGACTATGCTCGCTAACTTATTATCCACAGGCTGTCGCTCCCCACCAACCCCTTCCAAATCCTTTCCTTCGCAATAAAGCACAAGCACCCTTCACTGGTAGATGCCGCCGCTGAATGGGGCCTCAGAGCATCATCGCTGGCAATGGGGCTGGTTGTTCCCCCGCCCTCACGCACGCGACGAACGAGATCAATAACGAGTGATTTTGATTCCAATGATGAGGGGGACGAGGGGGTCACTACTACAGATAATGGTAATAGTACGCCTACGGTACTGAACGCAAACTCCGATGGTACGCGCCTCCCTACTATCTATTTCCCCCCTCCTCATCACTCGCGTTTCTCCGTCGTATTCCCACTCACTGCATTATCCAAAAGGTTCAATGGTCGTAGATGTTGATGTCAGCGGCTCGGGCTCGGGCTCGGGGTCAAGATCAGGTGGGACTGGTGGGTTGGGAGAGATGTTGGCGCCTTCTATTCGAAGTGCTTGGGTGCGTTCAATCTGTCTTCTACTACTTATATTTAGGTTATTTTCGTTCTATCAAACCACCTTCTCCGACCGTCACTGCAAGTACTGGTCCTTGTTCTATTCCTCTATTCCTCTTCCTCTTCTGCGTGCGCCTTCTTATAATCCACTGACCTTGTCCACAGATAGCGTACTCCTCCAACCATCACACCCTCTTGCAGCACCAATTTCTCCTCTATCCACCAACAACTCACCACTGGAATCCCACCTCCCGCGACATCGACCTCCCTTGCGACGTTTGGGCTGTTGGCTGGGGAATGGTGGTCAGCCGGCTGGGCTCCGGGGGTGTCGGGATGATGCTGGGAGATGTAGAGGTTGGTTTGGGTTTGGGTTCGAGTGTTTTAGGCGATAGTGGGAATACAGATACACCAGGCGGAGGCGGAGGGGTGAATAACGCGCTGCCCCCATCGCCGTTACACCCTTCCTCGTCCTCGTCCTCATCTCAAGCTCTTCAAACAGCCCTCACACAGCTCCTCTCGCCCTCTTCCAATCCTAATCCGTCCCTGTCCCCTACCGTGGTAGCGGCCAACGCAAACGCCAATGGCAACGGGGTAGGAACAGCAATGAACGGGAGTAGGGTAAGGGGGACGATGGGAATTAACACGCTGTTCCGGCCTGCTGAAGAATACGTCAAGGGAAAGTGCGGGGAATGTAGAGAGACGCTGGAGGGGTGGAAGAAGGAGATGGGGAGGAGTGTAGAGAGGGTCGGCGGGTTTAGTCGGTTCGTGGGCATTTAGGTGGGCCAGTCTGGAGGCAAGGATGTAGAAGAGCGACTGGACGGTTCAATGTATGTTTTATCGCTGATATAGACCCCGCTATGTTTTCGTTTTGCTTTAAATCACGATTGTATATATGTACTTTCAATATGCTCTCAATCTGCATTATTCCTGGTTTCGGTACGCCGGAGCCGGCCGACTGGACTCAAGGACAAGCACATGATCGCAACTTGGACGTAAATTTGATTCCCGACGTTCAAGTTATCACCTGCTTCCACTCCACATCCACCTCCAGACACTCTACCGGACACTGGCCAAAATCTACAGGACCACATAACGAAACACCTAACGACCGTGCTACAGCAGACAACAATCGATACGCCTAGCTCTATATCTAGTCTACTCGCAGACTCACTCTCACGTTCGAAGCACTGAGTGTCGAGTGACATCCAAATCTCCCAGTGATCTAAACGTCTATCCGCACAAGCGTATCTGGACCAGCTCGCGATGAAATCGCCCTTTATACTCAGACTTCCGACGACGGTCCTGGTGCTCCTCTCCGCTGGCGTGTTTCTTCCTACTTCGGGGACGCCTTTGAACCCTCATTCTCATCCCCAAATCCATTCCCATCCTCGTTCGGCCTCGTTATCAAAATCATTCTTAGACCGCGTTACACTCCCCCGCCGTGACTCGGAGATTGTATATAACCCGCCTGTCACATATCCAACGGAAAGCGCCACGATCACGGCGGGGCGGCCGTTTGCTGTTACCTGGAACACCAAAGGGGCACCCGATGAAAGTAAGAGTTCAGTTATCAAAGTCGTACTTGGACACGGAAGAGGGAAGAACGAGCATCTAGATAATGCGCACCCGCTAGCTGAAAAGATACCGATCATGGAAGGGAAAACACACGTCGTCGTTCCGCAAGACACGCCTCCGCGAGGCGATTATTTTGTTGTTGGTGAGTCGTAAACATTCGGTGTTACTAGGTATATTTGATGCATCCTGAGAACTAACTGGATCGGTATTTGAAGTGATGGGCGATTCTGCGAATAAGTCACCTACGTTTACTATTGTAAACCATCGTTAAGCGCTACAGAGCTACTTAATCTATGACGCGTATGTTCAAGCTGGTCTCTTAGGATGCTGGCGAACAAGATCGGCGCACTGTAAGGAGGGTCTCACGTTATATCCCTAGCCACTGTATCGCCACCTTGAGATAGAGATGCTGGTATGTGTAACCTTGAATGCGTTGAGTGAATAGATGTGCTGCCCGTCTGTCGAATAATCAACTAATCAACAACTAATCAAAGCTTGTGGGCATGCGGCTACACGGGTGGCGCTATAAATATATCCAAGGTGCTATTATCATACTCTTCTACGCTTATGATCTAATCAATCCCGCCCACCAGACCCCCTTGCTCGCTCTGCTCTATTCCTCCCCATTCTTCGAGAGGCGGAAGCTATTCCGCGGTGCAAACGTCTCAATCTGCCTGACAATGTATGTACATCATCCTTCAGCCTTTCAATCTCCAGCAAAAGATCCTCTGCTCTTGTCTCCATCCACTCAATGTCGGACTGGAGTTCCTCCGTTCTGGCCTGCAACCTTTGTATCTCGGCTCCTGCAAATGGATTTAAATACCGCGACCTATGATTTACTTGTTGCACGAACTGCTGCTGGCACCACCGTCTCCGTCTCGCAGAACCTGCCCCGTAGCACGAGCTTCCCCTGCAGCTTCCCCTGCAGCTTCCCCCGACATTACCACCAACTGGATAGTCGTCCCTTCGCAGTTTAAGAGCGTGCTGACACTACGCGCATCGAAGCGTTGGTCCCCAGTAACACGATTGAGCGTGCCACTCGAATTATTGGTATTGTGGATGCTAGAATTTTGGCTGGGGATAGTGCTGTGAGAAACTTCGGGGAGAAGGGGTGGGTGTGGCAGATTGGAGGTAGTTTCTTGGGGTGGGTTGGGACGTGGTTCGGGATGTGGTAGTGTCCTTTGGACAGACTCTATCAACACAATAATCAGATGTGGTTCTTGGGAAGTTGATCCAACGCACGATCGTGGGGAGGATGGGTGCTGTACATGCTTGGGATTTGTCTCCGCAACCTTGGTTATTGTATGCGACTAAGTGTGGAGAAGAAGAGGGGAATGGTTTGGCCCAGCTTCGAAATGTTCATAGTAATTTATAGTGGAACGGTGAACCCAACCATATATTACAGTTGATTATCTCATAATGCATAATATTTTTGGACACTAATCGACTCGGTGTAAATCGTACACTCACATGCTGGCTTCGAATAAAATATCAAAATATAGATATAATAGACATCTTGAATATCTAACTAATAGATTTGGGGAGAGGTTGTGCCCTCGTCGAGAAAATCACAAAATCCATTTATGCATTATGAGATAATCAACTGTACTCGATTTTCATCACACACCTGCTGAAGTGATTCGCGGCCCACCATCATACCGAGGCGGTGCAGCAATCCTACCCTGATTTGCTGCTGTATTGCTTTGTTGTTACACTGCGTGCCCCCACCCCTTTGCTATCGTGAGTAGGCAGCGAGTCGAATCGTGTTCACTAGTCCTCGTCAGCGCTCAAAATTCAAACCTCGCCTGCCGAGGAATCCAACACACCACACAACTATCTTCCACACTGCCTCAATATATGCAAAGTTCCTGTGAACGAGTCGTTGGTCCGTCAAGTTGGACTTTGCCAGAGAGTGCCACCGCCGTATCCTTACTCACTGGTGCCGAGAAATTGGATTTCCTCATGCGAGAAACAAAGACTAGCGTCAGCGAGGACTGCCTAGCCAATTTACGAATATCTGCAATAGGAATGCTGAGAGACGTGATCTCATACCCGAAACCGAACCCCCCAGTATCAACATCCACATACATTTGGTTCTGTATCTTGAAGATACCTCCGCGTATTGGAGCAAGATGATTTCAGCAGCAGACCATGGCAATACATAGAGTCTAACTCCGCAGCAAATGCATGACACTTTGTGCGCGAACAGTCCGGACGGCCGGCTGTTGTACGATCACTTGCTACTAACCATGCACGTATAACCAGTTTGGGTATTGATTTGGCGAGGGACAGAAGATGTTCCAGTCCTGTGCAGGGTGGTCGTGTTCTTAAATCGATGGATTGTGCATTGTGGGTACGATGAAAACAGTGTTGTACGGTGACGTGATGAGGGGTTGGCATGCGGGGAGTGTGGGCACTATACGCCCAGATCTGCGGGTACCGAGTCTAAATTCCTCAACCAATCTGGAAACAAAACAGACCAATTAGCATGCAGTATTCAAATATACGCCAATAGCATAGTGAAAGGGTTCGAGTAGGGTTCGAGCAACGACGTGTTTATGGGAATAGAGCGGGAGGAGGGACGAACCAATAGTAACGTCCTCGAGATGGTCATCGAAGTCGCCGAATTTCTCGTGAAGGCGGCTCTCGCGGACGAGGGATACCGCGCGTGGGGGGATGGCGGGGTCATCGAGAGAGTAGGGAGTGGAGTCAGAAGGAGATGGACGCCATGATGAAGGGGTTGGCCCCGTGCTTTCGTAGGGCTGTGTACAGGGAATGAGAAGGGGTGAACGGGAAGAGGGGAAAACCCGTACGAGCAGAGCTGGAGCTCCTGAGCCTATCGTCTCTCCATCAATCTACGTGCATCGCGGTGAGCCGAGTGATTTTAGATGGAATAAGGCGAAAGTAAAAAGGTGAACCTACGACGAAAGCGATTGCATCGCTAAAGCCATCCTTGATCTTACTTGCGACGCGTTCACCGACTGGCGCGAGTGCGGTGTCATCGAGGCGTTCTGAAGCTTGGTAGTAGCCGACGAGCTGCAGACCGAGCGAGGCGGCGTGCTGGGTAGCGAGGTCCAAGCCGATCTCCATCATGGGGCTGAGACTCGTCCAATGGTGCAGCAGTGGCACGGCGTCCACAATGGATACGACATTGGAAGAGAGAGAGCCGAGGAGGACGCCGTTGACGGGCGTGTGCGGGTGCTTGGCGACGTGGAAGAAGATCTTCAGGTAGGCCTTGGAGGAGACCGTGTACTTCATCGTCGCAGTCAGGTCCGTCGGCGCTTATTTACTTCGCTGGTTAGTACCCGGGCGCCAGACTGGAACGGGTTGTGATACTATTCGTTTTCTGCCTTCCCGCGTGTGTCGGCTTTGGGTTGACGGCAAGTGGAGTATCATCAAACTAACAGCGTCTTCCCAAATCAGAAGCATAACCAGCTCAGAGCCAGCAAGTAGCGCCTGACTCAGCTATTCCATAAGTTTGATCCCGCGTCTAGTTTATCAAGACTTGTTTTAACAACTTCCCACAGGAATAGCGCGTACGCTCACCTCATCTTACTCCCGGCAGTATACTTCCGGCTTCAAGATGAGCTTGACCTTTTTGTAACGAAAATGTAATCACGCCGCTGCTGCCGTCAGCAGGACCGTACGATATGAGGGGAGGGTTTTTGGATGCAAAATTAAAAGTTCTGTGAGGTTCTAGTGCCATTTCAAGCCTTCTGTCTTTCTAAGGGCTCAGTGATGCTGTAGCAAGCGACGATTGCAATATCCAGGGCCGCATTGTTGGCAAGTCTACACTATGGATGAGAAAGTGTCCGCAGTTATTTTCGATTGTTTCGCATCATGATATTATCTACTGGGGGGGTCACTAATGTGATCGAAGATGCCCAAGTTTAGGGCACAGCCGCTTGACGTTGAACGTTGACATCGAGCAATTGAACCCCAACGCTCCCCTAATTGGGCCTTCTCCGTCCTCTCCAACTCAGCATGCGGACCGACGACACTGTAATACGAAGCCTGAAAGCTTTATGACCCGGAACGTAAGTGATATATAAACCACGGTGTTACCCTGCACACAACAAACGCATAGTCGTCACATTCGCCTCCAAAGCTTGTCTCCAACGGCAGAACATAGTATCCCCTCCACTCTTGTGTCCGCGCACCCCCACTGGCACACTACCGTACGAGAATAGCATATTAGGCCCTGCACTACGCTATCAAGGTATGAGATCGACCTCTGCCGTATGACGAGCTACTGACGTTCCTGCTTGATGCTTGCAAGGCATGGTGGCTTTGCATGATTCAGGTCTTGGGGTCGGAAGTGCTCCCGCGCCAAGTTCGGGCGCTGCGACCCAGCAAGATGGCAGTATCGAATCGAACACAAACAACGCGAGCGGGACGTTCAATCGCGTCGACGGAGATCAGCACTTCGATGCCAGGATTTCTAATGCACACGTAGTATTGAATGTTGTGCAGTATCTGTTGTTCTCGGCTCCTCGGAGAGATAGCGATGATTATCGTGATTTCCATCACGATCATGGTGAGTATGATCAGTTCGTTTGCCGCAGATCAAGGTATTTATATCGGTTGTAGGAACGTATTTGGAAAGGCTAGAGGCGAGAGTCGAACGGCTGGAGACTGCAGCAGAGGGTACCCATCCGGATGTCAGAGGCACTAGTAAAGGATCTCCGGTTCGCAGGTTATGGCAAGGAATCTTAGGTGTTATCTGCACTTGCACATAGACGGGGTTGGCGTACAACGTAGGTCAATCCATACTTCAGCGTAATGCGCTGGATAATAACAGCCATCTCGTCTACCGTACTAAAGCTACTCGCCGAAGTCGTGCTACGCCTAGCCAGTCTACCAGAATTGCCCATCATACCAATAGAATCATGCAAATAAATATAGTTCATAGTTGTATCGAAACACCCCTAGTCTAAATCTAATCAACCGTCAACGCACTATACTCCCAAGGCACTCTATACCTACGTGCACAACTTGTCGGCGACGTCCCTAATCAGGGCCCTTACCTCCTCCTTCTTCACCCCTCCTTTTCCCCCTGCACCGAAATTCCCGGTGGCAAGCTTGCGCTTCAGTACCTCCTTCGCCTGCAGCACCTCCAGCAGCCCGCCGAGCTGCTCGTGGAACGGCGACAGCCGCAGGAGCGCGGCGAGGGCGGCGACGAGGCGGTGCACGACGTCCTCGTTGGCGGTCTCCCGGTCGATCGCCTCGACGAGCGCGCTCGCCAGCTCTACCTCCCACTCGCCGTCGCCGTCTTCCTCCGCGCTGGAGCTGGAGCTGGAGCTGGTGGGTGGGGAGTTTGGGTTTGGCTTTGGGTTTAGACGTTGGGTCAAGCCGTAGGCCCCGGCGTTGAATGCCAGACTTGCGGCGGCGGTGCGCACGCCTGCGTCTGCGTGCAGGAGCGCGCCGACGAGGAGGGGCGTCCAGGCGTCCTTCAATCTACGCGATTTCATCATAAGGAGTGCGAACTCGGGGGAGGAAAACGCGTTGGCGAGGAGGCGCAGGAGGACGAGGGTGTAGTTCCTCGATGTCGGTGCTGATGTGGACGCGTCGTTTGAGTTGTTTGAGTTGGTTTGTTTCGCGAGGAATACCTCGATGGGGTTCGGAGTTTGAGAGTTCTGCGTGGCGAGAAACTGTCCGACGCGAGGGTCCAGGAATGCCAACCTCCACATGTCCGCGAGCGGGAACAGCTCCTCCACCTTGAGAGCTCCCACCAGCACTTCCGTTGCGCGGGTGAATGCGGTGAGCATCGAGGGGTCGATGGGGATCTTCAGCGCCAAGCTCGACGACGCGCCGTTCGTATTGGGAGGAGGTTTGGAGGAGGGATTCGAGGACGAGTTTGAGAGGAGGGTGGCCCGCGCTTTGAGGAAGGGTACGACGCGCCCTGTTAACGCCGCCTTGGCTGCGTGTACGTCCCCCAATGACTTGTCTTTGTTGCCACCCGTGTCCGTGTCGTCCAACCCCCACGCAGAATCCGCGCTGGCGGCATCGCAGTACGCGTCGATGAAAGCGGTGAACTTGGTGGCGAGCGCGTCGAGGGGGGGCTGCTGGGTGAAGAGAATGGGGGCAAGGGAGAAGGAGAGGGCGCGCGTCGAGAGGGACGCATGTGGGTGGGCTGTTGGCAAAGAAATAGGTTGATGAGTTTGTATGGATATTCGTTAATCATGATTAATTGTTCGTCGGTTGTTAATTAATTAATTAAACACCAATCAATGAATGGGCAGATGGACGGAGGAACGAGCGAATGGGTGAGCGAACGATCAGTCAACGGAATCGGAACAATAGAAGAATGAGAGAGACGATTCGAAGATAACGAAGGAAGGGGGACTCACGCGGCCATGCTCCCCAGACGAGCAGATCGACCTGCGTCTTGAGCTCTCCCGCATCCGCGCCCTTGATTTCTGCAATCTTCTGTCCATCCAAGAAGAAGATGAACGTTGGGGTGGCGCGCACGCTGAACTCCTGCGCGAGCGCCGAGCCGAGTCCGACGCCAATGTCGATTTTGGTGAACGCTAGGCCACCCTTTCTGTTAGTAGTGATGTTATTTGTGGTATCGTGCGCAAGGCGCTCGAAGACGGGTTCGATGACGCGGCAGGGCGGACAGGATTGCTGGGTGAAGAAGGCGACGACGGCGCGGTGGGTGCGGAGGAGAGTGTGGAAGGAGGCGGGGTTGGTTGCGAGGTGGATGGGGCCTGTTAGGGATTGCGTGGCTGCTGTTGGATTTGAAGTCGATGTGGGAGGAGTGAATGGAGGGGGGAGCTCTGGGAGGGCGGCCTGGTTCGCTATGGCTTGCAGCAACGACGCGGTTAGTTGGGGATTCGGGTCAGGTCGCACTGGCTGGGTTTCGGGTATCCTAGGGGCAGGGGTGGGCGTAGATGAAGCGGATGGAGCACGAAACATGGCGTCGATGGTAGGCCGCAGCGCAGCACCAAAGGGAGTGGAGAGAAAGTCTGCGGGGAGATCTTTGATGAAGTCAGGGATGGCGCCGCCGGTGAGGAAGCCGATACAGTCGTTGGTGAAAGAGTTGCAGTTGAAGTCAAGGAGGTGATACTTGTCTGCGGTGTAGTGCTCGCGCATGTCGTCGAGGTACTCATTCCACGTCGCCTCGTCCAGCGACGTCTCCCCCATGTCGATCACTCGCAGCGGCGTGCCATGCTACATGCAGGCGGCGAGTGAGCTCGGTGAGTGATCATGAGTGAGGGTGGGTGGTATACGCACATGGGATCTGCCTGGCGCGGCGGACATGATGCCCTGGCCGTAGAAGACTTCGCGGCCAAAGACGACGACGGAGGTGTGCCAGATGCCGTCGATCTGTCGGCCGGTGAGTTGGCGCGATAGTTGGGATGCCATGCCATTGCTGAGGTCGTAGACGTAGAGCTGAACAGGCGCGCTCATCGTGGCACACAGAGAAGAGACCCTCTCAGATCTGAAAGATCTCTGAGAATCCGAGTTACGTCATCCAATTAATCCTCGAACCCGGCGGCAGGTAGGCGCCCGACGTTGCTTTTAGTGTGACTTTGCGCTCATTTTAATGCGTGCACCTGTTGAATAATGTGAATTGGTTGTGGTCATGATGCCTAGGGATAGCTAACAAGGCGTACCAGGTTTCAGCGGCGGAGTGTTGGAATTTGAGTCTTGCCTTACATTATAATAACATGTACAAATACTCTGTACTACGCGCCACCTGCGACTAATTAATATGATCCGTCGTTCTCACCGTACCACCATTCTTAATAGGTTATGGGCCTCTGTGTTTGAACCTTCGAAGTTCAAGTTATATTGTGCCGCCGCTGCGATCCTCGCGCCCACGATTGTCCCTATTGTTCACTGTGTAGCTGCTGCGAATTCTCGCGCCCACTTATCTCCTCTTCAACCCTACCTGCCTCGACCCTTTTCTTCTGCCGCCTTTGCCCAAATGTCGCTATCACTCTTTGCGACCATCCCAAAACTCAACGGAACAAACTATGCTAGCTGGAAGGACCATGTTACCGCGTTCTTGTACACTCAAGACCTTGGCTCTATTCTTGAACCTGCACCTGCCGTTGCTAGTGCCACTGCCTCTGCTTCAGCCTCTGATGCGGATAAGGGTTCTAACCCTGCTGAGTCGCTGTTCTCGGGGCTATCGAAGACCGCCCAGATGCAAAGTGACGCCAAGGCCTATGGACTCATCTTCTTTCTTGTCAAAGATGCTTGCCGAGGACCCTTGAATGCTCTGGCAACAAAATTGGGACGACAGGCATGGGAAGTCCTTCAAAAGGAGTACAAGAGAGATTCCCCATCTACGTGTATGTCCCTTCGTAAAAAATTCTACTCTATCTCACACGACTCCTCGACATCTGTCAAGACCTTCATCAAAGCTGTTCTCTCTATCTGTAAGGGGACACTCCTATTTTCTCTCCTTTCCTTTATCCCATGGACTCTTACCTATATTCCCTTCGTTCCCCTTCGTTCCTTTTCGCTTCCTTTCCTTTCCACTTCCTTTCCGCCCACTCCTTTCGCATCCGAGCCGCGTCCGGTGACTCTGGAGTCTTCCCGCACTTCGGACACTTCGGACTCGCTCAGACTCGTCTATACTCTTCGGGGCTCGTCCGGGTTACCTCTATCCTCTTTCCCCACTTCATTACTCTTTGCCCTTACTTCCCCAAGTCTGTTATGGTCTGACGTTTCTTTTCTTTTCTTTTCCAACTATCTTTTCTTATCTTATCAGGCACGTGATGTATTATGACTCACTACTTACATCATCCGGGCCGTCTTACTAATGGTCTCAGTCAGTGCCTCGCCGCTACTGCATGGGCGCAGTCAACAAGCGTCATACTGCATGCAGCTGAGCTAAACATTCCATGGAAAGACGACAGGATACAGCATGTAGTTAGACATGAGGACGTAGCATGTATAGTAGTATATAAGTGCCCTAATAAACACCCAGAGACGTTAACTCGTTCTCTTGGGAATACCACTAATACTAGTGCCTAAGTCAGCGTCTTCGCTCTTACTCCCCTCATCTCTCAAATCAATTACTTCTCACGCTTATTCTTGTTGGGTCCGCGTACGCCTTTATAGTGTATTAGCGTCACCCTAACAGAAGAACGAGTTACCCCTTGTACGCCCACCCAGCAGCGTTAACTGCGAAGAACCGACGTCAAACGCAGGATACGTTTCTCTAAATCCATTTTCTCCAACTTTTAACCCTTTTTCCATTTCATTCGAGAGCGCCGTTTGCGCTTGATTGTTTATTTCATACCCCTGTAGCTGTGCACCCTATTCGAACAACCGACTCTACACTCTAGCGGGGTAACGTTTAGACGACCCTCTGAGTGAGTCTTTAGGCGTTGACTGATCACCAACCCTTGGGGAAGGGTCAACGCGCAGAGTGCTGGGCAGAGAAAGAAGGCCCTACTCTGTTTGTTCAGCAAGACGGTGTACCGCTTCGCATCTAGTAGCCGACGAAACCTAAATCGTTAATTCCATTTGCTCAGGCACCGGCGCGTGCTAGTTTGAAACTTGGAATTAATTGACAGGAACCCCTATATGCCCCCATCCCGCACACATCTCACCCGTTCGCACATTTACACCGTATTCCCTTACCTCCTCATCCCCGACCCAACTCTCAACCGACGCAACCAACGAACCGTGATCCAAGTTTTGAGAAGCACCCCATAGCTTTTCGAAACTATCATCATCCCAGTTTCCCCCCCAACCTTCGCAAAACACCTCGCCACACCCCCGGTCGACACTTCTTCAATGGGAACAATGTCGTTCTCGACGACCAGACCAATCGCCGCTCAGCCCTACGACAGGCAGCGGAGGCCCACACTTCTCGGGAGAGATACATCAGCGGATGCGGCGGCCGCCGCAGGAACTAGTATCTGGGGAGGGGGAATGGACCCCAACATGCCAGCCACGTTTATCCCAAATCCACCAATGCCACCACAACAATCGAACAATATGATGGCGGCAATGAGGGAGATGATGGAGAGTATGGAGGCGAGAATGGAGGCCCGGATCCAGCAAGCGCTGAATCAACGAAGCAGACCACCCAGCATGGGTAGTCAAAGGCCGCTTCCCCAAATACCCAGAAGAGCACCACCACCACCCGGACCCCCTACACCGCCGCCGCCCCCAACGCCGTTCGCAGACATTCCCGACGCGCCCCAAGCCAGAAATGGCCCAAAAATGGCACGCCCGGAACCATTCGACGGAGAAAGGGCAAAGTGCCGGACCTTCATCCGGAATATTGAAGTATACGTGTTCGTGAATGTGTACCAGTTCCCCAACGAGGCCACAAAAGTCCTCTTCCTTCTTTCCTACATCCAGGGGGAAAATGTAAGGGCAACCTCAAGATGGCCGCACAGTGCAAGCCTAGCAGAGGGAGAATCCAAAGAAATGAATAAGACTAACTACAATACATGAGAGAGCTGCTCACCTAGCAGAGGGAGAATCCAAAGAGAACAGGATGGGGATTCTCCATGCTAGGAAGCAAAGTATATACTGTAGTAGCGTGGGAGGAATGAAGGGTAACTGTACAGTACACCAGCCACAGGTACGAACGAATATCACAAGGTACGAGGGGGCATGTGATAATGAAGTGGAAGGGGAATGTACAGGAGTCGTGCCAGCGACCTGGGGAAGTGGGGACAAGGAGTAATGAAGTGGGAAAGGAGGATAGAGGTAGCCCGGACGAGCCCCGAAGTGTATCTACGAGTCCGAGTGAGTCCGAAGCGTCCGAGACGAGTCCGAGCGAGTCCGAAGTGTCCGAAGTGCGGGAAGACTCCGGAGTCACTGGACGCGGCTCGGATGCGAAAGGAGTGGGTGGAAAGGAAGTGGAAAGGAAAGGGAGCGAAAAGGAATGAAGGGGAATGAAGGGAATGTAGGTAAGAGTCCATGGAATGAAGGAAAGGAGAGAAAATAGGAGTGTCCCCTTACATCACCCCCCCTTCAAGATTCCTGCCTGCCGCGCCACGAATTCACCAACCCCGAAACTCCGGACTGCTGCGAGAAGATGTCGAAGTACGACTGCACAGAGCCCGGAGCCTTCCGACTGCGCCAACGCTCCCAAGACTGGTCCAGTGCTGTAGGAGTCATCCGGAGCGGTGCGGGAGTCGTCGGACTCGTCCGGAGTGAGTGTACTGCGTCCGGATGACGATCATGGAAGTCCTTGACCTTCTGGGCAGCATGCTGGAGGTTGCTCGCGGGCTCCCAGGAGTCATGCTCGATGCCATAGCCTCGCCAGCGTACCAGATACTTCAGGACCTGACCAAACCGTCTGCTATTCCGGACCTCTTCTACCTCATGCTCTTCTTCTCCATCAACAAGCTGTGGAGGGGGTGGAGCAACAGGGCGTCTACCTGGAATGGGGTCCGGGACGAAGGGAAAGAGTTTGACCACGGGGAAGACAGGGTGGAGGCGGGATAAGCCCGGAGGGAGCTTGTAAGGGGACACTCCTATTTTCTCTCCTTTCCTTCATTCCATGGACTCTTACCTACATTCCCTTCATTCCCCTTCGTTCCTTTTCGCTCCCTTTCCTTTCCACTTCCTTTCCACCCACTCCTTTCGCATCCGAGCCGCGTCCGGTGACTCCGGAGTCTTCCCGCACTTCGGACACTTCGGACTCGCTCGGACTCATCTATACTCTTCGGGGCTCGTCCGGGTTACCTCTATCCTTTTCCCCCACTTCATTACTCTTTGCCCTTACTTCCCCAAGTCGCTGGCACGACTCCTGTGCATTTACCCTCCACTTCATTATCACATGTTTCCTTGTACCTTGTGATATTCGTTCGGATATGTGGCTGGTGTACTGTACAGTTATCCTGCATTCCTCTCACGCTACCACAGTATATACTTCGCTTCCTAGCATGGAGAATCCTTATCCTGTTCTCTTTGGATTCTCCCTCTGCTAGGTGAGCAGCCCTCTCATGTATTGTAGTTAGCCTTATTCATTATCTTTGGATTCTCCCTCTGCTAGGCCTGCGCTGTCGGCCATCTTGAGGTTGCCCTTACAGCAGAACAGGATCTCCCATCCTGGCACCAGAGCCCTACGGAAAACGTCCTGCGCCACTCCGGACTCGTTCTCGACGTCTCTCCGGTTTTGCGGACATTCCGGACGCTCTCCTGCTACTCCCACCCACCTCTGAGGACCCAAGGAACTCCATCCCTCGCTCCCCTGACGACTCCAAAATGCCGGGCGCTTCCAGCCAGATCCCGCCATCCGAGCCAGTCGCTTCAGGACCGGACTCCGAGACTTTGCAGACCTTGTGGGCTCAGACGTACGAACACCAAACCCAAATCAGCTCCATCCAGGATACACTTGCCCGAATCGAAGGACTCCTCTTAACACCCCGTCCGACTACTCCGAAAACGACTCCGGACTCCGAGCTGAGGGGCACTGAAGCCTCCCAGCACGCCCCGAGTCGATCCGAAAACACCCCACGTTCCCGCCTGAAGCCCGCCTCTCCCCCGATCTTCGACGGAAACCACAAGGATGGTCGCGCGTTCTACAACGCGTGCTCCATCTACTTCCAGCTCTGTCCGGACCACTTCCCGACCGAGCAGGCCAAAATCCTCTGGTGTCTCTCCTTCTTCCAGAAGGATCGAGCTAAGGAGTACGCAGACATGGTGCTCCGGAGTCCGAAGGATCCATACTTTGCGTCCTGGGCCGCCTTCGCAACCGAGTTCCGGACTCGCTTCCTTCCGGATCGGGAACGCGAAGCCGCCATGCTAAAACTGGAGTCCACCCGGTACCACCAAGGGCGTCGGACTTTCCAGGAGTACCTCGACGAGTTCCAGGACCTCGTAGACCAGTCTGGATACACCGAGGGCTCTAACATCACGATGAAGTTCCGTCGTGGATTGGACTCCATCATCCAGAGCCGTGTTGCCGAGTCCGCAGACTGTCCGGACGAGGATGACTTCGAGGAATGGTACAAGGCAGCACAGCGGGTTGCTGACAACCGTGCTGCTAACCAATCCTTCCACTTTGGCGTGCACTCCGGAAACTCCGGACACTCCGGATCCCTCGTCCGACCAGCAGCCGGCTCCGGAGTCGCTCGGACTCCTGCGGGTGTGCTCCCCACGCCTCGGACTCAGCTCCCACCTTTGCAACCCCGTTTCCAACCTCCGCCTCCTCCAAAGGCTCTCTCACCCGGTGTCCCAATGGATGTCGACCACACCCGCTCCCGACCTGCCACCTCACAGCTCTGCTACCGATGCGGCAAGCCCGGTCACATGTCCCGCGAGTGCCCACTCCGGTACGACGTCCGGTTCATGACCACCGAGGAGCGGATGTCCGCCATTGAAGATCTCTTGACCGCGGCCGACGTTGTAGAAAGTGCGGGGACCTCGGAAGGAATAGACGATGAGGGAACGGCCCCGGTTGAGGAATCGGACACGGCGGATTTTGTCCGGACCAACGAGTGATCAGTGCGACCTCGTTGGTAAATAACCGATTTGCTTGTCTTAGCGTAGACGAAATAGACGATTCCAATCACTCCGATGATTCGTCCGACGCTAAGCAAATGACTCCGGTTACAATCCGCACACTCCGAAGGTTTCGCCCGCAGTGGGAACGGCGGCTACCCAGTAGCTATAAGATCTCCGCGCTGCCCGGCAAGCTTTCGCTAGATATACCTGTTGAAGTGCAGAGCACGGATACACAACACTGATGCACCCTGCAGGCCCTGGTGGACTGCGGAGCCACCGGAGTCTTCATGCATCCGCGC